TTTTTTTTTTTTTTCTTACGTGGAGTTGACTGTGACGATAGTAGACAAGACCCTGGAAAAAAGGCCGAGAAGAAATGAATTATACAAGACGCTATTGCTGTGCCGATGCACGAGATGAATCTAATCGTATTGAGCCCTACGTGCATCTCTTCGGGTTGCGGCACTTCGGGCATCTTGCTCCGCTAAACGACCAAGTAACGTTGTTCTCTAAAACACCAATTGATCTGTCTTCACCGCTCGTCTAATCTCCTCTCGACTCGACTCAGTTTCTCAAAGGGTAAATCTTTTAGCCGTGCATTCTTACTCTCTCGGCATTCAACATACGGTAAACAAACTAAACATTATGGGGAATCTCATATCCAATATTTTTCGTACAAGCGCCCACCAATCATTGGACCCTGTAAAGCGTGGGGTTTCTATCTTGGCTCTGCTCTGACCTTTTTTTCCCCAGTGATGAGCAGGATCGTCAGGAATAAGAAAGGTCATGTTATGGGAAAAAATGGCATTCTGCGCTGATGGTCCCCGTATATTGTTGAATAGGGCTTTGATGCTTGAATGATCGGCAATATTACCTCATGCTTCTTGCAGATTGAGCTGCAGCTTGTTTTACATACATACAGTCGATAATAACGAATGAGGATCTAGATCAGGAACAAACAACGTGATTCTAACAGCATCAATTGATGCTATGGAAAAGATACTCAAAAGATCTATCCGGTCCGTCATCCCTATCTTGATCCACTAACCAAAACTCTCACGACATGACCTTGTCCTCTTTACCGAGCCTCACTTTGCAAAGAAGATAAGGGTCCCTTATCCTAGCAACCGAACAAAAAAGGGACCCCATTATGACACTAGTTCGCGCCCGGGTTCTTTCGGAATTCCTCTTCCAAGCACCCAGCTTCACACGTTTGGTGCGCTTTTCTTCCTCCAGTGGGGAAAATCCCGAGCTATCTCCCCTTGTCCAAGGAAAAAGCAAATAAAAAGTCACGACATGGACATTGGGGAATCTGCCCATTGTGATCATCTCTTCTCTTGCTGTTCGTGCGGCTCTCTCGGACATTGGTAACCGTCTGCCTTGCTTTTCGGCCCTCTGATCCGCCTGTTGCTTTTGCATAACTATTCGCCACCCCCAGGAACCGAAACGTCAGCCCAGAATCGGGGGACGTTGGAGATGAAGTGGGTTCACAATCCAGAATCCCTGATCCAGAACCGCTTCTTTTTTGTTGCGGAGCCGTGGGTTGGACTTGGGCCTACGGTATACCTCAAGAGGTGTAGTTTGGTCTCAGCGCTTCCACAAGCTTACCTGTTCCACGAGAGGGTGTTCCAGCCGACCGAATTTCATTTTAAAGTGATGATGTAGGTAGAATGGATGCAGAGCCATGAGTCGTGTGGTGATCTCTATTGTATCATCTAATTTGCCTTGCCACGACCAAGGATTGTCCCATCATGACATATCTGGTCCGATATACGCTATACACCATGCTATCCTTATCGAAGAATTGTACCTTGATAGCTAGATCCAATTGTGCCGTTAGTGAGGTCTTTAACGATATGTCATGATCCCCGAGCTCCGGACTTGATGATGCCGCTCCGGAAAAAAATACGTACCCCCGGTCCGGGGTTTTGCCCGCGCCGATTCGTCCTCCGGCCTTAGCTCCAGCTTCAGCCCGACGACAACAAATCCCACCACGATCGCCTCAACCACGGTATCTCAACCCACGTAACACGGACTTCTCCCCTTCGCGATGACGTCCGCCGTGGAATCCTCCCAGTCCAATCGCTGGTTCACCGTCCCCCGCCCTATTCGAAATCTCTTCAACCACTTTCCCCTCCAAGTCTACGGCCCTGAAGAGCTACCCGTGCGATCCCCCGCTACCGTGCGCCAACGACCTGCGTTATATGTATTTGTCGCCGATGAGGATGCATTGTCAGGGAAGCCGAGCTACAACCCTTCGTGCTTGAAATGGCAGGTGTGTTTTGTTCTTTCTCTAGGGAAAGCGACTTGGAAGTTGCTAACACTGATTCGGTAGACTGTGTTGAAGATCGCGGGTATCGATTTCGATATTGTACCTTCGAATAACCACGCTTCACCCTCCGGCGCATTGCCCTTCTTATTACCATCTTCGTCGCAACCCTCGAGACCCCTCACTGGCGAAAAGATCCACAAATACGCCCGTGAGCATGCCGCTCATGAATTCCCCAACATATCGTCACCACGCCTCGAAGCCTACGAAGCTCTCCTAACACAAAATATCCGACCAGCTTGGGTAAGTAAACCACGTGCAAAACAAAGACTCACGCTAATCTGATGTAGTTATACGCTCTCTACCTCCTGCCTGCCAACGCCCCGCTTCTCAAGAGTCTCTACCTCCCCTCCTCGATCCTCCTCCGCGCACCCCTCCACCAGACTCTACACGCCGCCGCGACTGCCGAGATTCTTAAGACGACACGCCGCGCGACCATCTCACCATCCCAGCTTTTTGCCGATGCAACAACTGCGCTAAAAGCTCTTTCCGCTCTACTAGGAGACGACAAATGGTTCTTTGGTGCTGAGGCGCCGGGCATATTCGACGCAGACGTGTTCGCCTACACATATCTTATGAACGAGGATGCGCTAGCCTGGGAGGACAACTCACTAAATGAGTGCTTGGAAGATTTAGAGAACCTGAGAAGACACAGACAACGTCTGTATAAGCGATACTGGGGAGCAAACAAGTCTTAAAATACCGGTAATGACTTAGAAGAGGCGACCAATCCGTCTTGTAATGCACTGCTAGTCTACTACGGACTGTTGAACTGTATATCCATGTATCATATATGTATCATGAGGAGTTTCGGAAATAGAATAAAATGGGTGTAGATGGTTCAATATCACTAAAACAGAACGAATTTGACATAAGTTGCTCGCTGCTCTTCAAAATTGATCTCGTCTATGCGGTAGACGTCTTGAAACTCGTGCTTCTTTGCCTTTAAGAGGGGAGTTGACCTGTCCTATTCCCCATCGTTGACCAGCCCCATTCCTTCACTCATCTATAGCAATACCCCCAAGGAATTCGTAACCTCCAAACAACATGCTGGCTATTTACAAGTTAATGACACTGCCGTATAGGCTCAGCATCATATGTGCTTCTGGATCAACAAGTATGATCAGGAACGAGAAACGCGACACGAGAAAAACTCCTTGTGATAGCAATATCCTTGGAACGCCGAATAGAACCTGAACCCCAACAATGCAAGGTACATATAATGTAAAAATAGCAACCCTCTTGGTGGCATCTAGTTCTGGTATGGCTGAGGGATCCCATCCAAAACATCGCTGACCGAGGCAAAGGCTCCTTCACCACCATCCTGACGCAGGTCATCGAGGAGTACGCTACTCTGAGCATAAATCGTCTCCAAAGCTGCCCGAGACGATTTTCCGAGAGACACTGTTCACATGTTAGACTGAAGTGGCTAGCCAGAGAGGTATTGCTTTACTTACGCAAAATGGCCGAGTTAAGCTCCTCCGCAACCGTGACTCTTCCATTCCTATCCAAGAGGTGACTCACTTGGGGCTCCTTCAAAGGGTTTTGATACGCCACCAAAGCCCAGATCTCATTCAGTGCTCTGCTGACTTCTACCCGCGGGTCGTTGGCGTATTCTTCTTGAAGCTTTTGGCCATACTCCAGCATACTGTGTTCGAGCTCAGCGAGCTCAGTCGCATTATCGCTTCCATCGGTTTCCCATGAAGTATTTTCGCTTCCATTGAGGTCAACATCCATGGTCTGATTGGTAACGTGCTTATTGCCATTTGGCTCGTTGCGCATATTCAGTTGCGCCGCCTTACGCACCAGCTCGATGAACTTGCGGCACCGTAATCTAAAGTAGACGTGCTCATTTTCTTGCAGAACCTGAGGGTAGTATGCATTAGTATATTTGAGCGCCCTGTCGACGTCTCCCTCAAGTATAGCTCGCCTTATGCCTGCGTCCTCGTTAGCAAACTCACATGAGCAGAGGGAAGTCACCTACGCTGGCGGTTATTAGCGTCTTCATCATCCCGAAGGCCAACACAGGTGTACTCGGTGTTGGAATCAAAATTCAAGGCATTTTTTTGTTGGACCATATCTTCCGCGAAGGCTCGAGCCGTTTCTACATAGCCATCATGCTGAAGAAATTGAAGAACTAAGTTCTGGATAAGGTCGGTTTCTGAAAGACCTGCGAGAAGAGTTGACCCGTCCGTAGCTTGAATAGCTTTGTGCACTCTGTCACGTTCTTCCTGAAACGATATTAGCGATACATTGTGCTGTGAGGTGAGTCATATAAACCTACCCGCATCTGGTCGTCGATGTTATACACAAACGGAGTCTGTCCAAAGTTGGCACGAATATAGTCGCCAGGCTTCTTGAGGCTAATTGTTGGGTAGAGCTTGCCTCTGGCAACATCATGGAATGCCGTTCCTAAGACTTGATTAGTTCGAAATAAACACGATCAATGCCGAACAAGACGCACCTATCTTGACTCCATTCTTAGTAAAGAAAGCATGGTTTTCTTTAAAGTTGACACCACATCCAACCACGTCGTTGGCGTTGTAACTAGGACCAAAATGCCTGCCGATGTTTTGGCCAGTAAAACATCGACCGTCATCCCCGTGATAGCCCCAGGACTCGGGTTCCCAGCCAACAGGTCTTGAAAGCCCGGCTATCTTTGTGCTAAATCCGATGCTGATAGTAGCACTAAAACATTCGTTAGCAAGACATGTATTGAGTGCGATGCCACATATTGTTGGCACTTACTCATCGCGCTTCGTGGACAGTATGTGCACCTCGAAGTAGTATATTCCGCACTGAGGGGGCATGTAATGATCAGCACGGATTCCACATGCCTCATGGTCTCTGTCATTCTGATTCTTAGGCCCAATGTGCTTTATGTCGAGCCCGTTGCTTTGGACTTCGATGCCTGGCATCTGATCCTCCTTGTTCCATCTCGTTGGAAGAGGTGCAAGATCGTCATCCACTTCGGAGGCTGGGGGGCGTTCTATCACTGTATGCGACATGCCTCGGTGAGAACCAGGAGGCAATGGATGCTGGTTGAACGATGTAGTTGAGCCATGTGAGAAGCCATTGGTAGAATTGCGTGTCGTATCGCGAGCCTGAACCTTCGCTTTGTGGGCTTCTTGGAGCTTCTGGACATATGTCGAGTTCTCAAGGTATGATGGGATAAAGAAGTCGTCCTCTTCGTTCTTAAAGGTATTATCGGCGCCAGCAGCCGCCTCCGAGGCCACCAGCATGTTAAAAGCTCGCGAGAATGATGGCAGACCGGTCCTTATAGTACTCGCCCCAGTCTCGATCCCAGAAGCCTCCATATTGATAGTGTTCGTTGGTCCGGAGTCGGTGATGTTCAGCTGGCCGGAAGCGTTGAATATCGAGGTACGAGCGGGATGTGTATAGAAGTTGGGAATATTAGCGATGGATGGGTTGTTCGGAGGGGAAAATCGAGCGTTGCGAGCGGATGGTGATGGCGCGACGGATGTTGAAGTTGATTCGGGAAGAGCTGAGGAGCTTGAAGCTTGACGGTATAGGGGACTTGCCATGTCCACGAGTGCAAGAGGAAAGGCAGAGACACTTATCACCCAGTCAGCCACCTAGTAGAGGCCTAAGGTGAGTTTATTCGTCGAGCGAGGTCCCAGTGTATGTATTTAGGTATGCTTGCTTGTAGTGGGGTGTAGCGTTGTAGTTGGAACAGTTGTAGTAGAGGTAGGTACGTAGGCGCCACGAGGGTGGACAGAGCACGAGCTTCGGATAAGTCCAGCGCCAACCGATCAGACGAGTTACTACGTAGTAAGAAAGTTGAAGGATCAAAGGTAAAAGAATGAACTGGGAGAAGGAAAATACAAGAAGAGACCCAAATAGTGCCAATCTATTTGGCAGTGGCTTGAACCCAGTAAATACAGTACAACAGTGAGTGGTAGTTGGAGGAGATGGTGGACGGATGGTGGATGGCGGAGAGCAGTGGACGAGGCGGATAGAGTGGAGGTGGCTCCCGTATGAGAAGCGTCACCGTCACCACTCGCTCTCACTACAAGACACCACAGCTACCTATGATAGAAAGAAACTGATGGAACAAAATCTTATAAAGTAACCCTTGGCTTATAAGAGAATCAGGAACAGAACACGATCGGTGAATGTCTGTTGACAAAACTACAGCCCGAGTCATGGTTGGATCATTCCTCTCCTCATTAACACATAGAGGTACGTATCACCGCTCATCATCGCAACTTGCGCTATCACTATCGGTATCAATCACGAGGGTCGCTCGCCTCCCCAGCGGGCTTAGCCTTTCAGTACCTGACAAGACCTTGTCTGTTAAGCCAACACCTAACAAACAGCAGCGTTAACTTAACAGTGGAGGTGTAACCAGCTTCCCCGCTAACCGAGCCGGATCCTCTCTAACCTGCATTGCTCCATGATCCGCCATGCAAAACGCCCCAACACGACCAAGTCCATCAAACTGAGACGAGACGAGGACTTGATAACGTGATATCAAAGCGTTTCTCTCTTCCTCTTCAGGCGGCCGAGTATGAATGCAGTAAGACGGAAACGTGGCCGATATACAGTACCTGGAGTTCAAGACAATACTAATTGAATGCGAAAGAGACAAAAGTCTCATTCGCTTACACGCCAGACGAGGTTGTTTGCTGACTTATTCCCAAAACCTCCAATGAGCATCCCAATCTTCCCAATATTGGTCTTGGTTTCAAACATGCTCACTGTTCAGTTCAGTTAGCCCCTCGCAGGATCAACCAGCCACCATTACTTGTCGCCAAACAAAAGTTACTTTCCTCTGATAAACTTGTAAATAAACAATGGAAGCCAGAAGAATAATAAAAACAACCGTATAACTAAACGTTATGCTCCCTCACCTGCCGTGGAAAAGTCACTACCTAGTTAAACTCATCTCGCCCGATGACTAAGCTTCGGTGCTCCCTGCAACCACACCACGACATCAAGACATGACCCCGATGAGAAAGACGAAAGCAAATTGTATCCACTGTCTGCCCATTGGGGCATCTCGTCCCCCGAAAACTCTTCGCCAACCGCTGAAGTCAAAGAATTCCCTCACATTGATGATGATTTCTCACCACAAGACCCCCAAATGTGAACAAAACTAACTTTGGCGCTTTGCATGCCATCATTCGCATCTTCATGCTGAGCGACTTTAGGGGACGTGCCAACGCGAGCAACACCCAACCACCATGTATTTGAGTTTCTCGCGAGAGGCACATTGCGTCAGCTATCTTTAGGATTGCCATCTGCCTAATTTCGGACTGCGAAACAGGAAAAAAATGAAATCCTCGATGTTACCCAGGCTGCGACAAAACGTGTCAAGCACCATCGGATGAGTACCCGTCTCTCAAATTACGGGCGCAAGGATCCATGCCAACATCACATAACTGAGAGGATTTGCTTCATTTGGTATTAAAGAATGCAGTATTTGTATGGATTATCCTCCAAATCTGTCTAACATTTTCTCGTCTTCCCGATAATTGTACATTGCCTAAAGCACTGCCAAAATTCCAATATCAATCCTTTTCCACAGCGCTTCCTCCTCGCTGTTCCATAACGCCGGCGACACCCAGTGTCGTACTCTTGATGAAAAACCTATGACCAAGCCCTTGTCCTCGCTCAATCTGAAAACATCTTGTCTGACTGATTGACAGACCAAGCGTCAGTTATGTATAGACCTAAAACGCCGTCGAATATCGTAGGATAAGAAAAACAAACTCTGGCAACAGAGCAAAATAAATAGGGAAAGTGATGGCGAGAGAGCGCCAATTACTATGAGGCGGCTGCAATGGCCAGAGGTGCGGGCGATGAGGCGTGGTTGCTGGGGGCGCTCTGCATCTCGACGTCGTTGCCGCTGTTACTGTTGCTGGCACTGTTGGCCTCTTGGCCGTTCTCCTTATTCTCCTTGGTGCTGCCCTCAGCAGACGCAGCGGCCGAGTCTTCGGTGCTGGACTCGGGAGCCTTCTTCTGGGGAGCTACCCAGCGAGGAATCTCCCATGTGACGCCCGTGAAGCTCTTGAGCTGGAAGCCTCCCTTGGCCCATCGTCGACAAGGCTTGCCAGAGCGGTCCAGAGCACGAAGGCCAGCGTTGATAGCTCCTTGATTCGCCTTGGGTCCCAATTTGTGGCCTCCAGCAGGCTTTGAGCCGGAATGATCGATCGTACCGTCTTCCCTGCAAAATAGTTAGTATGTGTAAAAATAAGATGAATATTGGAAGTAAAAAAAACTTACAGACGAGGCTTCTTCTTGGGGCCAGGCTTCCCTCTAGGCTTAGGAATACCATCTATTGTTCCGTTGGCAGCGGCAGCTGATCGCTTGACTCCCTTCTTCTTCGGTCCCTCGGTAGGTGGTCCCATAGCTGAAGGGACGGGTGTTCCATCGGCAGGAGTTGCGTCGGGGACGGGAGTAGCTGCGTTCGAATCTGAGGCATTGTCGCCATTCGTAACACTGGCTGCGGGTTGCGAGCCAGAGATGGACGCGGCAGGTGAGTCGGCCTTTGTTTTGATGTCTTTGGCTGGAGATTCCTCTTTGACAACGTCGGGCGCGATCAGGGCACGCAATCTATCAGGGGAGACTTTGCGAGTAACGATTAAAGTGGCCTTGGTGCTTGACTTGCGTCGCGCGTCGGAGGATTTGGCTGGAGGAGCCATGATAGTTGACGATCGAGATTAAGTAGAGCTATTGATGATGAAGATGGTTGAGGGATGGTTTGTTGATGACAGGTCGAGATGTGGAGTTGCGTTGCGTTGCGATGGTAGAAACGGCGACACGACGGATGATGGTGAGAAGAATGGGAAAAGAGCAGGTTTTGAAAGAATGGGAATAGGCTTGTTACGGGAGAGGCGGCAAATAACCAAAGACCCGGTGGTGATCCCGTGGTGGTCAGGGGTGGTGGGCTTTTGGGGCTTGCGTGGAGCGAGTCTTAGCAGTAGTAGCCGGAGTAGTAACAGTAGGCAGAGGGAGAGATCTCAGCCAAGTCCGAGTGTAGGTGCAGGTGGTGATGATGGTGATGGGGGATGCGATGGTTGGTGGTTAAATACAAGTTAAAAGGTTCAAGAGCAGAGTGAAAGCCCTGTCTTGAATATTTAGGGTCTTGCTTAAGGTTGTCATTTTTGATTCTGGTGCTGGGGCCGAAGGCGGCGCACAAGGAGTGAAAAATCGGTTGGGTTGGATTGATTTGGTTTCCCGCGTTTCTTTGCACTCGCACTTTCTCACTGTCAAGCAAAGCAGGAGCGCAGCGCAGCGCAGCGCACGAGCAAACTTGGGGATTTCAGGCCAGGTCCAGCCCGTTCTGAGTTTCTTACTCTATTTGGTCTAGCGCCACTTTCTTCCGCATCGCAAGGGTGCGCTTACTTCCAGCCAATCAGAGCCCCGGTATGTCCTTAATCTCTCCCAAAGCATTGCCTCGAATTCTATTGTTATTCCACTCCTCCCAGCCAAGTGAGCGATTCAGCGACCAAATGCCCTTTCAAATCAAGCTCCCATGGGCCCTCGATCACGCTTCAGCCCCCGAATCGCCCCTACGATGTATCAATCATGATTACAACACAGTTTAGACCATGCAAAGGCAGATTTTACAATGCCCGACATTTCAAACAGTCATTTAAGCTCAATATATCCAACTTTTTATTTTCAGCTTCACATCGTGATGCTCCGAAATGGCCACCATGACACGTATGAAAATTCGAATACATAGAAATCTACTCAACAAAGAAAAGTCAAGCTGCCTTGAAGGGATAAACACCTTAACTCATCTTTGTCCCCTTTTATTTCCCTCGTTCGGCTACTTTGTCCTCATTTTAGACCCTCCCTTAGTTCAGCTGACGATGACGGTATAAAAACAGCAAGAAATGGGGACGCTCAATGTCACTCACCAAGCCCCTGTAATAATCAGGGTGGCGGAACTCTACAAGTCAACCCACCTGCAGAATAACTTGGCATTTCTTTTTGCAATTCAGACCTTTGGCATCTGCTTAACACTTAACTAACCTTAGCTGAGGACAGTTGGTGCATAGTATCACCAAATGACTCACTCGCCTACTGGGTTCTGGAACATCATCACATAAACTTCAATGCTGAACCTTCCAGTGTCTTCATTTGTCTGACTGGTGATGGAAAGAACGAGCGACTGCTTTGTCAGTACCGAGTACAACCTTCGAGACGGCTCCTACTGTAGTCGCCAAGCGGACCTGAACTTTCGTCATGACTCCGCCGAATCTTAGGTGATGCCATCCAATACTGTGAATTTCCAATCACCGAAATCGTCATCAACTATACACCGTGAAATAATTGGGCATATTTACCTCAAGCCCCCGCCGAGATCAACATACCGAACAACCCCTCCTGGGCAACGACATCAAAATACCAGCTTGAACATATCACCGCACCGCAGCATCACCTGTCTGGGTCATATCAGGGTCTTGATAAGAAACCTCCCGCACAATTTTCTCGTATCGCTCTCTCATCGTCAGGAATGAGAAACGCGTCCTTTGTCCGACGTGAAACAACAAGTGTTGATCAATTCATTGTACATCCGCCCGAGACTGAGACATCGTGACATGACTGTTGTTATTCCAATAGTTGGAATGCGTTGCTCCGTCACAACCTGAAGCTCATGGCAAAGATATATCATGGCAACCCATCGAGTTGCATTCAAGTGAACAACACACAGCACACTGATTATTCAATACTTTACACTGAAATCGACAAAATGATACGCTTATACATACTTCTTTGTCTCCTACCTTGCCTCCTCCTAACCGCCCCCTTCACCCGTGCTGCCCTCTTGCCTCGCCTCAAGGTCCCGTTCGACCTACCTGGTGCCATCTTCCATGAACCAGAGACGCGGTCTCTCAATGTAGTCCCTTTCAAGGGGCTTCCTGGACAGTCTCATCATGGTCATCGACTTCATCACACTCTCAGTCTGGTGAAGCGACTGGTTGAAGACCAGGGTGATATGGTTGAGGTAACTGAGGAAGCTCTTCAGGAACTGCTAGATCAGATCAGCAGGCTCCATGACCAGGTCAATGGCATGATGCCTTCCGGTGCGTCGGATAGACAACCTTCTCAAGAAACGGGTGCTTCATCTGGAGACCAGTCAGGTCAGTTGCCTGGAGGTTCTTCCGGCGGATCTTCTGGCGATGGTCAATCAGAACAGCTTCCTGAGCAATCAGCCGAGGCTGATGTTCCTGAGTCAGAGGGCACCCGTGATTCATCTGTGCCTCCTGTGGTCTCTGACCCCTCCGTGCGGCCAGAGTTGCCTGCACCAACAGATGAAGATGCCATTCCTCTCGAGTCGCAACCTCCAAATGCGCCGGACCAACCAGGCTCAGATCGGCAGTCACAACCAGAAGGAACCGACAGCCAAGTAGATTCAGCATTGGCTGCGCCGGCTGGAGATCCTACCCTGACAGCGAATGATGAATCTCCCAACCCCCCTAGCGAGGATCTACCCGAAGACCAACCTGATGGCGATGCTCCTGAGGCGTTGACAGAGCCTGCAGCTGTTTCTGAGAACAAAAGTACGCTTCAGTCCAACGACCTGCCCAACAATGCTATCGTGCAACCGACGGGCGAAGCGGAGGCTCCCACCGAAACACAGTCCAGCCCAGCACAGGATGCCAGGCCTACCGAGGCGATCCAGGATGACAACGCCGATTCCGATCTCGGTGACCAGGATTCTGGAGAGACCAGTGCTTTACCTGGAGGTGCATTCGTAGAGAGTCCTGAGGATGTTCTTCAGACACTCTCGAGCGATGTTGCTTCTGCGGAACAGACTGGGGAGCCAGCACCCGAGGGAACCCAGGGATCATCGCCACCGGATGATGATGACGACGAGTGTGTTGAAGATGAAGAAGTAAGTGGCCTGCCCGTCAGACGTAGAAACCCTAACTGCACTCCAGGTAATAGGCAATTCACGAGCGAGCCAACGGAAGACGTTCCAGCAGCCCTTTCTCTTGTTGCCACCACAGAGAGAGGTCTAGCCGAAGTAGCTGCTACAGCTTCCGAGCTGGCAATTTTTCAACCAACAACGGAAATTGCTCTTGCATCCAAGAGCGTCGAAGGACCAGCCCCAGCACTGGAGATAGAAGCCACCTCGACGCCAGCCATAAAGGTGGTAGAGTCCCAACAGCTCGATGCGCCGACGCTGATTGCAAGCCCTCCTGCTGTCTCGAGGCAGGAGTCGCCGACTACGGCGAAGCTTTCCGTACCGCAGACGTCTCCTAGTTTGAGGACTCTGGTGTTCACCTCCGTGCTCACAAGATCCTCTACTATCAAGACGACTACGACTCGTACTGAGATCGTCAACGCCAGTGAACCCACTCGATCTCTTAAGCCTCCTGGTCATGTATTCAAGGAAGATGCAGATGCAGGCGCCGCTTTTAACAAGGATGGAAAACTTGCTGTGGAGGACGATGAGAATGAGGATGAATCGCCAGGTACAAACTCCATAGTATTCACAAAAAGGAAACGCTAACCAGTCTGTAGAAACACCCCTTCAGAGAACTCCCATTCCCACAGAAGTGGTGACAGAGACCACCTCTCTCCGCACCCCCAGGATGGCAATGACCACCACAATCAGCCTAAGCTATCGAAGCACCATGTCAACTCCCGAGGCCACTCAAGAGTCATCCGTTCCTTCTCTGGTACCATCCGGTATCAGAGGTGGTAATGGAACTTACGATGTGAAACCTACCACTGGGTTCAGAACCATGCCAAGGCTGACGGCAAGTTTGGCAGAGAGAGGAGGGGTGTAGACGCGCAGAATATGTTTTTGGAGTTTATAAATTTACGTGGTCTGGATTATCGATATTAGAATGACTGAAATGAAATTGTTTTCGACTGTTTGCAATCTGAGTTTCCTAAATCGCGGCATGCGTATAGATCAGACTTGACTCTGTGAAAATGTTCACAGCATTTTGCCATTAAAGAACGCTGTGGCCTCGTTATAAATAGCTGTTCTAACATCATCCCCAAAAAGCTTCTGAATCCCATCAAAGTCGTAGCCTGCACCGAGAGCAAGCTGAAGCTGGATGCGGGCATTTTCTCCACGCAGGACTCCAGAGCTGATACTACCGAAACGTTAGTGACCATGGAACACAAACGAATGTTTTTACCTACATCTTCTCCGTCTGGGGGGTTGGAACTGCCAGTCCAAAATAGGGGCGGAACGAAGCGACGGTGACAACGCCCTGGTTGTGTAGATCTTCGGCTGCCTTTATAGCAGCATCACTGAGAGCACCGGGACCGGCACCCATGATCACAATGCCCCTGGAAGTGTCAGTGAGATTGGAGATTGTTGAATAAGATCTAAATACTCACCTGGTGCCGTCTTTAGCCGCAGCATAAAGAAGATCCGCGTCGAAGCCCTCTATCACGATATTAGTCCAAGCCCATGAGTAAAGACATATGAAGACTTGCGGTAGCCGTAAAGAACATCAACCTTGGGTAAAGGCAAAGCAAGCTTGAATGGGCCAAAGTAGTTCCTCGCTTTAGGCAGAGCAGGAGAGTAAAAGAAGTACGGCTGTCCAGACATGAACTGTGCGATATACCCCTTATCGGGCGCTACAAAAGTTGAAACGGTATTGCCATTGGTCTTGGTAGCGTAGAATGCCGATACAAGATGATCGTTCAAAGCAACCATAGCTCCGCGGTCTCGAGCTTCGGGGTGGATAGCAGTTCGAACAGCGTCGTAGAAGTTGAAGGGGCCATCGGCTGAGAGAGCAGAGTTGGGGCGCATGGCACCTGTTGCGACGAAGGGCTTGGAACAGTTGAGTGTGAGATCAACGCCAAAAGCCTAACTTATAATGAGCAGCTTCTTTGTTTAGGGGCAAATTCCTTACAGTATCAGCCAATGTGTTAGTACCATGAACCATGACAGCCCCAACAATATCCGAACCCTCACTGCAGAGACGCTTATGAGCATCCATAGAGATACTCAGGAAACGATCGGGATCTGCATTGACACTACCAGCTCCGCCAGAGCCTTCTGTAGTAATGTTCACGACAGCAATCTGAGCAATATCTAGAACTTCGCGGGCACTCTCTATGAGTGTCTCGGGAGTAAGACCGCCGATGGGACCACCATAGTTGGTAGTGTCCAGTCTACCATTGGGCGAACCAGCGAGGATTGTACCATCACCAGTGTTGTAGAGCCTGGTTGGAAGTCAGTGACACGTCAAATTCATTCAAATCACACTGACACGATCTTGGGCAGACTGGAATCTTTTGAGATCCAGGTCAAGCCGGCATTGCGATCACTGCGCTTGGAGTGTCTAGTTGGTAAGCCTACTGAGGTAGCGACTAAGAGAGACAAGGTCGTCAGAGACTTGAGCATTGAGTCAGATATCATAGAAAGGATTGAAAGAGAGGCGCGATAATTTTGGTTTTCTTTTTAGAAAGCGAACAGACATTGTGTGTTTTTTAACTCCCTGGTAGACTTTTGTAGTTATAGATTTTACAATACAAGCACATCTCAATGATTTTCTGAGTATGATAACAAGACAGTTTACACGGAAGTCTTTTTGTTACACCTATTCCTTGCTTTCAGCCAATTGGCTGTTCGCGAACCTGAGAAACACGATTTATCTATCGTTCAAAAGTCTCAAGTTGCCCTATCTAGGTCCACAGCCAAAGCATATTCTCTTACAATTGTCCCCTAACTGGCTCCAAGCACCTTAATTCGAGCCTTAACTTCGTGCATGTTTATTGTGAGTTTGCGATCCAATTCATCTAGAAATAAATCCGATGTTGTTGTCACATCATGGCTACTCTGAAGATAATGTTATCTGCGAGCAAGCCAGACTCGGTAGAAACATGCGCCGTAAGATCCATCTTCAAATTTAGATATCAAAGAATCAAGCCGGATTGCAGGGAACAACTAGTAGAGAAGATATAAACGAGGGAAGGAAGTGCAAAATAAGAAGGTTTCATATCAGTAGCATCTGATAACCAGAAGAATTCCTATACGACAAGGGTTTGTCATACTTTAAGTAGCCACACAATTCATACATATGTACCATATCCCCCAGTATCTGAATTCCTTCAAATACCCTTGCGCTTCATTCTGATCTCTTGAATCGTGTGTCTAAAAGGATACCTCGCCGGATATCTCATCGATCGACAAACCGTTTGATAGAGACTATCACCTGACAGCCTCATAATCCATCCAAAACATCCTCCTCTTCAACTACCATCAATATGTTCATAACCATAAATATCAATTTTAAATCTCCGGTGATCAGCGGCGCTCTCTTCACTATTTGCGGGTTTTATACCGATTTAGGCCATGTCATCCAATGTCATGTAAGCACTTGGGCCCCATCAAAAACGGTGCCCTCCCCTCTGCCACACTTTAAGCAGCCCAGACAATTGAGAAATCGGAAATGAATCCTTAATGGATGATGAACGTTGGCAACTACTTGACAGCCAATGATGTTACTTCAATATGATGGGTAAGACAGCTGACAATGGACCTCGCCTGCAGGGTCTTGCGCCTCGTCGGCGTTGGTGTTGGTTCCCATGGAGTCTTACATGCATAGACCTCTTTTGAGGTCTTGGCTCCTCATCTCATTCTTTTTCTTTGTTCTTGTTCATCTCAACTTGCGCTCTTTCTACACAGTCAGCCTTTCTTTATTTCTTGTAGATCCGGTCGTGATATTCAGTGACCGAGTAAAGAATAGACGACGAGATGCGACAATGAACCCAGCAAAACTCCATTGAATACATTCTCTCATGTGCTGTGCTGCGCCGCTCATACCACACCCACCATGAAGTTCTTAACCATCTATCTCGTCTTTTTCCCTCTCACCATCGCGCACACACGACAATATGAAGCAATCCAAGCTGCACCGGGCGACCTTATGCCACGATTCTTTATAGATCGCTCGTTCCCTCTAGCTAAGCGTGCTGGAGACTGTGGTTCAGACCATCACAACTGTAAGTCCCACACTCTTCTATGCAGGGTTACTCAACTCACATAGTCCAGGCCTCGAGATCGGCTTCCCTGATGACTGTTGCGACAACGACTCTTACTGCTACGTCAACCGAAGTGGTGATCCGAAATGTTGTCCAATAGGCTCGAATTGCTCCTCCGACTCGCCGTGCAACTCGACCGCTTACTACTGCACTCGCACCGCCACTGCAAGTGGAACTACCACTGAGCAAAAAGGTTGCTGCAATCGTAAATGTCCAAAAACGAGTCTTTATCTTTGTCCTAGCAGTCTCGGCGGGAACTGTTGTGGTTACAACTCTGAGTGCCGTGCTGGTAGTGTTTGCGCTTCAACAAGGCCTGCTTCGAGAACAGATCTGCTGTCACCTATACCCTCTGGCTGCACAACCTCGCAACATAGCTGCACGATCGGAGAGGGATGCTGTGACAATGACCAAGTGTGTACGCAAGTCAGCGGTGAGGGATACTGTGCTTCAGCCACACCGACAGAAAGCGACGCAACGATCATTGATGACGATAGTAGCGATAACGAGCTGTCAGACGGTGCAAAGGCGGGTATTGGTGTTGGTGTCGTCGTGGGAGCAAGTATCATCATTGGCGGTCTCACTTGGATGTGCCTGCGAAAGCGAAAGCGCCAACGAAGTACTATAGGACCGTCAGCTTCCGGCGATGGAGACGGCAACGCCCTTCCTCGTGATGGCATGACAGACGTATCAGGGAGTCATGCCCGGTCAGGGCTAACTCAAGATTACTTTGGACCAGATCCTGCAACAGGGCCATACACAGAGCCAGCCAGTTCACGGGTCACTTCACCTGGCAGAGACGCTGCAGTGCCTATGCACGCACAAAGTCCAGGCGATATTGCGGCGCCAGTCGAGATCGATTCAACGACAAGAGATGGTAGCGATATGCTATCACCGATGTCCAGTCCAAGTCTGTATCATACACCTCTTTCCGACACAATAGACGGCCGGTTCGAGTTGTACGGTAATGATTCAGTGATAACCCCTGATCGCCCGCTGTCCATTGTTCCGACGCCACCGCAAAGTATAATGGGAGATAAAGGTACACGGAAGGATTGATATTACAAGGAGAGGTTCATTCCGTTCTATTCTTTTTTAAATTATTTAGAAACGCCTAACCAGTTCGTTCATACGAAGAGAGCCATCCAATTCTTGAGATTGAATATGCGACTAGAGAAAGAAATAAACAATTATGTGTATCAAAGTTGATTGATGATGCTCAGAACTCCACGCCAAGTAAAAGGGGGGAAATGTTAAGGGCGCCGCCTATCAGTCCCAGCAACGCCGTCCCATCGTCGAATGAAATGCGAAGAAACACAAAAACACCCATTGTCCATGACAATATTTTTCATTCCATCTGTATTTAGCAGACAACACCGCCAAAGGGTGCGCAGCTTCGTAGGTCCTTGACAAGTTCCTCCACACTGCTCAGATGTTGGCTGAGCAGCTCTTGCTTCTCCTCAGTAGTAAGATAAATGTCTCCTTCGGGATCGGAGCCAGAGCGCTTGCGACGGGAATCGGCGTTAAAAGCACCGGCTAGCTTGCTAGGGCTGCGCTGGTGTATAGCGGGAACGCTATCGCGCTGATCGGCTCGAGGAATCGAGGGGATCTCGGGCATGAGGTAAAAGTAGAGAAACTCGACGAGTTTCAGCTTCACCTCACGAGCTGTGGATCTCGACTTGAAGAGTGATGTGACTGTGAGGAGGCCATCGAGGCTCTCAAAGGTGCGGGTGTTGAGGGGAGTGTCGATAAGAGCGGTGACTAGTGTGAGAAGAGTCGCGGATTGGATGGCGGGGCAGTTGTAGGGCTCAAGTAGGTCGAGCAGAAGCTATACATTGTCAGTTTATATTTTCGTGGGACACATTATTGAGCCACATACGTTCATGTTTTGTTCTCGTGCGAATAGAGTTTTGCTTGGAGGATGAAGCAATAATAATCCCTGGATGAGATCAAGAGAGCTCAATATCAAGAGATCGTTACCACCATCACCGCCCTTGGCCATAAGTCGATCGAGAGTGCTGATCATGCGCATTGCGACATTCCATTCGAAACCCTCCTGCAACTTGAAGAATTCTCGGAAAGCGGGATCCCGTGAAAGCTGGGAGAGATCCTTCTGGGGCGGTGTGGATGTATCGCTTCCATCATCGTCTGAATCACGGCTTCGATGCGAGCTTCGAGAGCTGGAGTTTGTGTTTGAGAGGCAGATCTGGGCGAGAAGACCTTCGACCTGGCGAAGGCCTTTTCGAACTTTGGGTCCATCGTAGGACGAAAGGTTGTCGAAGGCAAGCGATAGTAGTGACTCCATCGTGTTGTTGTTGTTATTGTGTAAGTGGGAAAGACGAATAGTGGGCAGCTATCAAGCCGAAAAAGATAAGGTTAAAATAAAAAAGAAAGAGACACCTAAAGACTGAAGCTTGGGTACTCGTATTTTATTTTATTCGAAAAGAAAAAGAGTGTTCAACGTACGATCCCGACCGGACGACGAGCAAAAGAATGGAAAAAATAACTGATGATCGAAAATGACGGTGACGGAGCTCGAGCTCTGAGCGCAAGAGGCAGAGAGAGGATCGACCGTTAAGGTGGATAAACCTAGTGATAAACCAAACAACTGAGGCGGGTGGATTATCGGCACGGCAACGGCGACCGAGATTCCAAGGTTTAGAGGGTCACAAGCCGAAGGTGGTCCGGGGTTACAGGGGCCGTTTAGAGGGGTCTGCGGCCTAGAACTGCGCTAGGACCGTGTTGTCGTCCTGTCATCCAGACCGTTGGGAAGAGGCTGAAGGGAATGTCCTGGTAGAGAGGATGTCAAAAGTTGTTTCTAAAGGAGATGAGGTATGGAATAGGGAAAAGGTATGTGACTAAGGGTCTCAACTCAAATAAGAGTTGGGCTTGTGCCTTGGAAGAATTATTGTTTACATTGAGGTTGGTATGCTGAATGTTTATATGGCAACTGATGAGCTCCCAACCCTGAAAAGAACAACTGACATTCTAGTTGCCGATAAACTATGAAAATTATTCAATGGCTATACTTGTAATATGATATGAATCCTATTCTGCTCAAATCCTATTCAATCACTCTTCTAATCAACATTTCGGCCGAATGTGGATACTCGGCCGATACTCATTAAACGGCATAATGCCATCGTCTGTGGATAACCGATTGGCGAAAGAATGTAATATCAAATGGTCGGGGTTATACAATTAGTTATTTTTAGAGCTTGGCTTAAAATCTTGGCTTTTTAATCTTGCTTGATCCGATCTTTGAGTATGTCCATTCTGATCTCTAAGCCGATATCAAGAACTAGACTCAAGTATAACTTCACTTGGCCGAGTCCCACATCAGCCCCCCTCAAGGCTCGTGCTTCAACGTATAAGCATGGGCAATTAATCTTTCAAAACAGTGACATTTACACCGAATAGATATATGACGTATTATACCTTGGAGCCCCAGATAATATAACTTGGCATTCTAATTACGCATTACATCATCGCTCTACTCACCAGACTGGCGCAAAATCGTCTGCACGGCTTCATCCACAGTAGAAGCGATAACTGTTGGCTTTACATCCAATGAACCTGCAAGACCATCACTCCATCCCTTTCCCTCGCGATCGATCCATGCACTTTTGAGCCCAGTAGCACTCGCACCAGCCACATCGAATGGATTCGAGCTCACGAGCCAGAGTTTGTTAAGCTCCGACTCTAAGCCTGCTGTCTTGGCCATGAACTTATAGGTGCGAGGGTCCGGCTTAAACACCTGAATTGAATCGATGCTCACGAGCTTCTCCTGAGGAAACACATTGCTTGCCTTTGAAAGCGAAGGTGATGTTTTGAGTGATGAAGCGAGCATATTGAATGTGCCGTTGGAGAAGATGTATGGGTCAATAGAGGGGCTTTCTGCCAGCCTCTTAAGGGCATCATCAACATCCGGGAACGTATCGAGACCATTGTAGGCATTCATAACACGTTCCTCTTGCTCCGAAGTGAGCTCAACGCCAATTTCCTTCGTAGCTTGTCGGAACGACCACCTTGTGAGTTCGCTAAATGAGCGATATGTGCCTTTGAACACTGTCAGCCCTATTCAACGGATGTCTCGGAAGAAGCTCCAACTTACCCATACTGTTCGCACGCCATGTATACTCAAGCTGATATCTCCTAGCGAGAGATGCGATGGACTGGGCTTTGTCTTTCCCGTAAAGGCTTTCCAACTCGCCTGCAATTGACGCAGTTGAGAGGATAGTACCGTAGAGGTCGAATGCTACGACTATTCGTGTCATTGTGCTGAGTGTTTGAGGTTTTTGTAGTTGTTACGATGAGATGAGAGAGGTGAGCTCAGTGATGAAGGAAAGAGGTTCAAATGGCGACAATGTATATCTAAGATGAGTCATGGATTTGATTGGTGATGGGTGTTGGAGATACTCCAACCTCTGACATCCGAATTACGACTCTGGGTATCATGCATAGCCCTATGGATCTTTCGCAACCTCCTTAAAGATATTTGATACCGCGTCGCCTCATCAGGATATTCTGAGGTGATTTCAGCTGCATTGACAATTCACCACAAACAGGCGTACCAGAAATGACGGGTTTCTTATCATACCTATCGATCAAGAAATAATTACAAGTTCTAATCAATATCTACCTGTATAACAAAAGCATTCTAGTCAACCAAGCCGTTCTATCTTGCAGCTACCGTAGTATCCGAGCCAGTGTCATCAGACAAGACACTGTTCTGTCTGTTGCCGCGACCGTTACCATTACCACTGCCTTGCTCCTCGTCCTTCTCCTTCATTTCCTTCTTATTCTTGGTAGGTGCAAACTTGCTTCTGACTCGAATCTGCTTGCCGTACTTGTAGAACAAGAACGGGATGACAGCCAAGATAGTAGCAACACCGCCAATGAGACTACCACCACCGCCGACGCCAAGGGCGTCAAACATCTGGTTGGTAAACAGGGGAGCGGCAGCACCACATGCTGATCGTGCTATGGTGTTGGCTGCAATGGCTGAAGCTGCGTACATAAGATAGACATCAACGAGGTATGTCAGGTAGGCGACAAAGATGAGCATCAGGGATGTAGCAAGAAAGGTTCCTGCAATTGTCGGTACGATCCAATGGATGGAGCTGCAAATCATGTTAGCTTCCCTTCTGAAGAAGTATCATGGAGGTTTATAGAGCCATAACCAGAAGAATATGGTGGGATACTTACTTATACTCGGCCGTCCATGCAAACCAGAACATAGTCACAGCAAACCCAACACCTCCGATCATGGCTAATGGCAATCTGTCTTCTGGTTCCATCTCTTTGCCGCCTTGTTCGATCTTCTTCTTTCGAATGCGTGTATCAACCAAGACAACACCACCTCCAATGAAAGCGCCTATCTCAGTGTTAGCATCTGTAAACATACATTCGTCAGACGTTCATGAACAACTAACCTATGACGGTGCCAATCAAGGGAAGCTCTCCCACACCACTGTTCCAACCTCGTTTCTCCTGGAACACGATGGGGTAAATACTGAACAGCATGTAAAGCAATGTGTAAACGACCGACATGTAGACGGCACATAGGAAGGAGATGGTATCGAAGAAAATGACGAATGGTCGAGTAAGCGCAGTTTTGTATATGGTTGACAAAGACTGATCTGTGTCCTCGGTCTGGGACTTGACATTCTCGTATCCAGGAATTTTTGCCTTTCGAATTCTTCGAGCCTTCTTCTTGAGAAGTGTCGGGGCATGGGTCTCAGGGATAGTCAGCATGATGATGGCGGTCGCACCACCAAGCCAGAGCAGCACATAGAAACTCCATCGCCAATCTTTCTTGAGCTCAAGGAAACCTGCAATGACAGGACCCAAAGCCGGTCCAACCCAGACCATGGCAGAGAATCCAGCCATAGCATTGCCGCGCTCAAGAGGGGACCAGAGATCGGCTAAGACACCTGGTGCATTGCTAAGGGGTGCGGAGACAAAGGTTCCAGTAAGGAAACGGCCGACGAGGAGTGCACCAAAGTTGGGTGCCCAGGCACATAGGAAGTTGAAGACGAGGTACAGAGTAAAGGTGATGTAGAAGACCCATCGTCGTCCGTATACTTCACTAAGTGGTGCAAAGATAAGTGGTCCAGCACAATATCCAAGGAGGAATAGAGTGATGGTTAGACCAGCTGCTAACTCAGACACACCAAAGTGTCTAGCCATAGATGGGAAGCAACCACTCGGAGAGCTCGAAGCAAAAGTAGCATTGAGGACGAGCAGCACAGCAGAAAAGGTAACTGCCCATCGTCTAGGGGTGCTCCAGTTGTGTGGGTTGCGAACATCTCCAGGCGAAAAGTCGATATACCCATCCTCGTTCAGGTAAGGAGGGTTTTCATCTTCGAGTTCGGTGGTTCTGTAGGGTTTGTTGTTGGCCGATGAGAAGAGTCGATGTATAGGCGCCATCTTTGCTGGGCTTGATGTTCTTGAGTCGAATGTCATGGATGGCCAAGACTATGAGACAACCAAGACTTTATTTATATCTCATTTTGAGAATAAGGGTCCAGTCATCTACACCACTACGTAGATGATAATTTTCCAAAGTCAATGACACTTTCCCGCTCTCCTAACGTTAGTGTCTCGATACTCGTGGGCTCGGAAATAAGTTACAAATCAGATTCAGGGACGTTTCCCTGATCATCATTTTGCATCACCACTTTCGCTCCACCATTGTCGTCATATCTTGGGCGTCCTTATTATGCTATAGGCTGAAGCCAAAGGGACGGTGGTTTACTAGCACTCGCCTTGGGAGACTAGAAAGAAGTTTCGCGGCTCGCGGTTCGGATCTTGTTGCCGTCCATTACAAATGTTTCGGCCGGTACTGAAAAGAGCGAATCGGCAAGGTGGGAAAAGACATTGGCAACGGCCGCTGGAAACTCCATGGGGCTCGATCGGGAAGGATCTGACGTTGTTAATCTGAGGGTATATCGGTATTCTTAAACGCTATCGCCGTTTGCTTCAAAAGTGAGGTTCTTAACTCCGTAAAGTCGGTATATGCCGTAGTTAAATGACCGTGGTAGTTTTGTTTTTCTCTTTATTCGAGGAGTAGTATGTGTACAGTTCCCCCGAGTCATCCGAATAATACATGACGGAGTGAGTCAACGGGTGAGTCCATCAATAGGTATGTCGATTGAGCTGAGCGATAGAGAAAATAAATTACGGCATGACTCGTTAGAGGGAATCAATAAACAAATACAAACAATGATCAAACTACTTTCTTTTCCATCTCTTTTATCTGACTTTTCAAGTTTAAGGATTGGATGGTCCCGGGTAGGTCCACATCTTCAATATAATCGTGAATACCAGGGTCCATGCCGTCATCTCCATCTCTTCAGCCCAACATGGATGACATGACATGACATGGCCCCATTGATCAGCTTGTTGTCCCTGGATTTAACTCAAATTCGCACGTGAAATCTAGAGTTATCCCCAGAATCTGGATCCATCAATGGCGAGATCTCACATGTGAGCATGGCCTACCTTATGTAAAAATGGAGACATAATTGCAACATGTTCGTCTTCGCCTTGTTCTTCAGCTGGCTGACTGCCTACTTAACATGTCGTATGGTAGTCGTCGCAAGCTCTGATCTTATCATGAGCTGAGGTATGGTTCGTTCTGTCCCAACGCATTGAGTACTCTCATTTGAGAAATGGAAAATGTTGATAGATAAAGGGAGAGCTGATATCTCAAAGAATGTACTGTCTTTGTTTAATTTCTGTATTTACAATACGGTTAATAATACGGCAACGAACATTTGTTAACATTGCTGTACGTCTCACATAAGCTCTTATCTTGAATGCTTTGTCTGTAAGTTATCTCAATTGCACGACTCCAAGGCAACAGTCATCTCAGAGCTTGCAGATTACAGCAGGTATCAAAAGAGACTGATTTGCTCTTTGGACCGCTGTTTTACCCTCCTTTCAACCAATAAAATACTCTCCTCGGATCATCACAAGCCTCAAATCAAAGTACGTATGAATCGATACGAAATCACGTCAACATGTCTTCAGCTGCAGTTGAATGGAATGATCTTCATGATGGTCCCCCACAATCCTACCTCAATCTGGGCTTTTCGCCCCTGGCAGCCCAGCCCAGTCTCCGCTAAAGCACCCTAATCGGGAACCCCTCCATAAGTTTGTTCCCTTTTCGACAGCAAAGAGAAGGGAAGCAGAGCTCCTCAAGCTCCAGCTCCAGCTCCTATGCCCAAGCTCCCTTCCGCTCTGCATTAGGTTGCGTCAAAAAGTGGCCTAAAAATACGGGAGCCTTGGAAATCACCAAGCTTGTGACAGGTACAGGTACAGGTACAGTCCAGGTCTCAAATCTGTTTGCTGCGCAGGACAAATACGTACCTTGGTACCTTGCACCCCTCTATTGGATTGGATCACATGGAAGACAAATCCTACAGCTTGCCTGGGTGAACCTCATCCTCCAAGTCAAGTCAAGGACTCTCGACTCTCAATCTGGAGAGCTGCAGGACTTTGAACCCTGCTCCTCAGCGCATGTGCAATTGGGCGCGTGCGTGGTATTTCTAGGCTTTTTATCCACATTGCGACCGCAGGGCTAAACTCTATGATCACTCTATCGTCGCTTTCGGTAGGCTTAGACATTATCATCTGGATACTCAATGACGTCGACCACTTTATAGATTCCCCCGAACTACCCGACAATCATTTGCTATTGTGCGCCAAGACGAGACAAAACGAGACAAGACACGGAAGCGCGCGCACGGCATTTGTTTATTACTGAGTGGTTTTTCCTCTCCCGACTCTCGATGCGTTTCTTCTCTTTCTTGGACGTCTGTCTTTAGCATCACATTCGCATTCGCATTCTCTATCTATACTCTGCAGTACTAGTTCAGTCCAGCTCAGCTCGGACGCAGTCAAACATCTAGACAAAACAGCTCTAGATACCTTCAACCATCGTCATCGTGACTATCATCCGTCCGTCCCATACGGAACCCCTCCTCCGACTCCGAACTTAGTCTCTCCTCGTCGAATCGCATTCTATTTATACCCCCAAAATACTCAAAACGCAACACGTATGATCCCCACGGCCGACCCCATTCTCTCCCTCAACCCTGAGACCTTGCCCCCGTCAGCTTTGCACATGCTATCGCTGTCGCCCAAGGCAATGCATAAGATGCCCGTCGTCTCCAACTCACTTGTCTCTCCAAATGCTATTCCTCCTCGCACCTCAAGCAACGGCGTCCCGACCTCTCTCAACGCGACCCCAACTAAACCCGTCTTGCGCCCCGTCCCCGAAGGCGACTGGTTGAGCCAGAAACAAGAAGCAGCAAAGACACAAGTCGCAAACCCTGGGTACGGCGTCATGGCTGCTCCCAACCCTCCTCCCGACCCCGAGCGCTACGCTCACGAGGATCTCGAGTTCACGGCTAAGCGCTCTTGGAATCACGACAAGGAGAGCGTTGTTCGTGGTCCTTACGACTATGTCATTAGCCACCCCGGCAAGGACTTCCGCGCCCAACTGATCGGCGCCTTCAATGCTTGGCTTGATGTGCCCGCACCAAGCCTCGAGGTCATTACCCGCGTCGTCGGCATGCTACACGAGTCTTCGCTCCTTATCGACGATGTACAAGATTCGTCCGAGCTGCGCCGTGGCTTTCCCGTCGCACACAACATCTTTGGTGTCGCCCAGACTATCAACTCGGCCAACTACGTCTACTTTGTCGCTCTGCAAGAGCTGCACAAGCTCAACAACCCAGAGCTGATCACCATATTTTCTGATGAGCTCGTAAACCTCCACCGGGGCCAGGGGATGGATCTCTTTTGGCGAGATACCCTGACCTGCCCTACCGAAGAGGATTACCTCGAAATGGTCGGCAATAAGACGGGTGGTCTATTCCGTCTTGGTATCAAGCTCATGGCCGCGGAAGCCAACGGTCCTACCGATTGCGTACCCCTCGTCAACTTGATTGGTCTCATCTTCCAAATTCGCGACGACTACATGAACCTATCTTCCAAAGAATACAGCCATAATAAGGGAATGTGCGAAGATCTGACTGAGGGCAAGTTCTCGTTCCCAGTTATCCACAGCATCCGCTCCAACCCCACAAATCTTCAGCTCATCAACATTCTCAAGCAAAAGACCAACGACATCCAGGTCAAGCGCTACGCCGTCTCCTACATGGAGTCCACCGGCAGTTTCGAGTACACTCGCAAAGTCCTTGCTGTTCTCGTCGAGCGAGCCCGCAAGATGGCCGAGGACCTTGACCAGGGCCGCGGTAGCACAAAGGGCATCCAGAAGATCCTCGACAAGATGGCCATTCCCTAAATCTATGAAACTTGGTCACTGTTTCTCTTCTTCTTTTCTTTTGTTATTATGGGTACCGATATGATGTGTTATGAACAGAGCGCATATAGAATGATCTAGCAGGAGTCAGAGATATCTGACGATACCCCAATTTTGCAATACAGCAGAGACTGTTGAGCATGATACCACTTGGGTTCTGGAGAGATGACTTTGCAAACAGCGTTGGATTTGGTTATACATACTTTTGTAGTCCAGCCAATTGAAATCAACCCAATTAATTAATATCTTAAACCAGTGGTTGCTTTTCAACCCATGTGATGCCTTAAGCTTTTTCTCAACCTCAATTATGCATGCTTACCATTGCCCACTCGCCGCCTCACCAACACCTTATATGAACGGCCAATTGTCAGGACTTGCGGAAAGATGATAGATGTTTAATTGGGCTGCACAGGAGCTGCTTTACGTTTCACCAGCCTGACCCATCGTCTTCGTCTCCAGTCCCCTCTCCTGCCATTGCCATCTTCATTCTCCTCCCAGCTTGGCCTAGGCGTCGCTTTCTGTTTCCCCTTGTCGTTGATAGGAAGGTCTACAACACCCGTACGCTCATCTCGCTCGTCCCAGATGTCATATACCCAGCGCTCGCCTTCTGTCTCAACTTCGACGCCTGTGATGATGCGCTCCTCAACCCACTCACGGCTCCAGAGATCCAGTGCCCATTTCTTCTCACTCCATTCCCAGGCTTCGGGTGGCATAACGTCCTCGAAGAAGCGCGCACCGCGAGGTCGTTCACCAGCAATTCGAGGCTGTGAAAGAGGATCATAGGGGGAGGGGCAGAACAACCAGGGCTCCCATTCACCACCCCCAGAGGTTTTGCGCTGTAGTTCAAAAATTTCGACCTCGCGCGTCTCAGGACTTGTGTCGAGAATGACGTCTGAATTGATCCAGTTATCCAGCCATGATCTTGCCTTGGCCTCCTGCGGTTGTAGGCGCTCGCGGTGGGCGACAGCGAGAAGGCGCGCAACGTATGGATGGCCCATACCGACGACACCCCAACCGCCAACAAGAAAGATAATCCGCCAAGGGAGAAGTTGCGCTGCCACTGTCATGAAAATGCCGCCGACTGTGAGAAATAAGAAAAGCGCAGAGCTTAGCGCCTCATCACTGAAATTTGTCACCGGTACGAGTAAAGCAACGACTTGATCATGTCCCCGACTAAAGTCATCCATGCAATTCTGTAGGTCGCGCATATTCCTAAAGAAATCCTTACTAAGCTCTTTGACTGGCTTTACCGTCGGCGCAGGTGCCAAAGGTGGTCCTTGGGGAGAATATCCAACATTTTGCTCACTTGATAGTGTACCTTTTGGCGGTGCTGGATGCCGTGCCATGAAGGCGGGGATGAACACGCCTAGCAGAAGAATGGCGATGGGTAGCACGAAGAGAAGATACGGATCTAGACAGACGAAGCTATAAACAGCTAGAAGCGAGAGAGTATGCGACGCCTGTTTCCAGGACAAGATACGCTCGACTTGAGCCTGGAATTTGAAGACAACACCTATTCGGGCATTGAAGCGGCGGAAGTTGTACGACATGGTAGTAATATTGAAGTTTGGTCTTTCGGTTTGAGCGGCTGTTTGCTCATCGCCCACAAAGTGGACGTCGTTCTGGTCATCGCCATCGGTAGGAATAACTTGTTGTAGAAGTCTATCATACAATTAGTCGGAGAGCTTGATGCTGTGGTAAGCCAGAATGCCCAGCATACTTTTCTACCAAACGATCCTGTATGTTCGCCTTTTGACGAATAGCCGCCAAGCCTCCACGAAGGCCTGTTTTTTGAGGAGGCGACTCTGGCCGTGGAGGTAGATTCGGAGGCGGGTTTGAGTCGGTATCAGGAACCGGCGTCTTGCTGTCATCGTCATCATGGCCACGACGCCTACGAGGATCCTCGGGATGTTCAAAGGGTCGCCCGGAGGCCAACATCTCTGCGGTGAAGTCGTCCATTAGGAAGAAGGGCTCAAGACATAGCGCGGGCGTGCAACATCGGATGGTGGAGGTTTCAGAGGGTTGTTGGTAACTGGGGATTCTCGATCTACGTCCCGCGTGGAGGTGTCACGGCACGATCGCGAGAGTGCATGTGACACTGAGTGACATCACCTTTGGCCGACGGTTGAGGGACAGCTTTGGCTGAGACCCCGTGACAAAGAGTCCTGAGGTACACAGAAGCTACCTTAGTGCCGGGTAGAGGATGCCATATAATTGGAAATGAATCCTTATTTGCTAGGCAAATACTGTAGTTACCCTCCATGATATTCATGGACCGTTTGATGTGGTAAAGTTCAACAGTAGCGTTGAGCGGCCCGTGGCGCTTTGAATTTGTCTGTTCTCGTTGAGCAAAAAAAGAAAATGCAAGACCGTCTAATCACGTCGATGGTCATTCAGCCAAGAGAGTTTAGGGGAACCTCTAATGTAACACGAATTATTAAAGCTAAACTCTCAAATAATTAAGGACGAGGTTCTGCGATACTGACATTCCGGACAGAAATTAACAGAGATTTTTATCCATTCCCATACCCAGGGATGTTTATCTGTTCAGGTTATTTACCCCACACTAACCCGGCAGACATAATAACCCTCGTTATTTCGGGTTCATGCTTATTAGTGTATCCAGGCATTGTGACAGATTGAAGATCAAGGGTGCAGATGGACACGTTAATTGAATTCAATGGACGTGCCCTGCCTATGTATTGAGTTTCTCCGTGCATGCCCAACCATAACAAGTCTTGAGTTGATAGGCAATGCGCCTCACGAACTATTGTCTCCATTCAGTGATTGTCCATGTCCTGTGACGACGGCACCTCATATATCACATCCGAGATGTCTATCTTTCGTCCAGCATCAATCAATCAGCCGTGTCCGGCTGCGGGGCGGTCAGGGTTCTGCTGCCGGCAGAAAACAACAAACGCGACTCGAGATGCACGATGAGATCCTTGGTGTTTGGCAGGACAACGATGCATAAGGTCAGGTACTGACAACACCCTCAATACACTGGGTTTAATTATTGAGTTACTATTAGGTCTGATTAAAATAGTTACAGTATGTGTTGTCCAGAAACGAGCGACGAATCCGTATGGCCCTATCGGTAGGAGATGCCCGAGATAGGTCCATACCGGGGCATGGACCATGGGTCCTTTAGGTCCTTCAAAATCCGAGACACGACTCAATCCTTGTGCTCACTTCAAGTGGCTGGTCTGAGCGGGAGGCTTGCTGAAGACGACATTCGCCAATTTATCAAAAGGGGAGTCTTAAAACTTGGCAACCTGGTTGCGAAACAGCGTCACATTGTCGTTTCGAGACCCTAACCATGTTCTGTAGGCAGGTAGATGCCCGACCTTATCTCAAGTTTGATAGCTCTAATATCAAATATCCGAATACAGAACAGTTGACTGAGGTTGACACCAGTGCTTGTTGGTGCGTCAACCGGTTCACGCGTGAATATCACTTGGCATCTTGTGCGCATGGTTGGTAGTATCACGATGTCTGCTCTAGTATCCACAGTGCAGTGCAAATCTTCTACACAGAATCACCGATGGAACCACTGCTTTAGAGACAGACAGCCAGGGTACGGAGTACTGCAGTATGGATAACGGAACCTCTAGTATGAGCATAGTCTGGGCGATGACGATAGACCACGACATTGACGGGGAGGTAATTGCGGCCTTAATGCGGGCCCGGGTTGGCATTCCATTATGGTTGAACGAAAGAATGTCTCATCTCTCTAAACGGATAAATAATGATGATTGACGTTCCTTCATATCTGCATCGCCGGTTCGAGGGAGGCTAATAAGGTAAGGGGATTGCTGTTAAGGTACCGCGGTTTAGCTTGCATATAGAGGATACACTCTTGATGCCGGTAGGAATAGTCCGCATGTACCTCGCATCTACTAAAATGGCGGTAAAAGACATTTCTACTGGAAGGTATGGATAGTACAGTAGTGGTAGCTAATTCAGGGACCAATCTCCCAGCTTGAGCAACCAATCATGCCATTCTTTTTTCCCGTGTCGAGGTCCACCGCTCAACTGTCCAAGTGTCTACTGACCGTGATACATCTGCCTTCACAAGGTCCCTTTTGCCATTTCAGCCTCTTAGGCGTCTTGGTTCTCACACTAAATTGAATGATGCCCGCTAACGGTGGCTCCCCAAGGTAAAAGGCCAAGGGCCCCCTAGCTCTAGCATCCATCCATAGAAGTCATCCCCATGCGCCCTTACGGAACTGCCTGTGGCAACCTCTGACAGCAAGTGAGGAAAGACCGTCCATCCCAGGTCCTCTCCATCTTTCCATCTCGTCCCCTCCAGTGGAAGAAAAAAACAACCAACAACCTTGCCTTACCTAACCTGCCTCCACTGCTGAACCCGTCCAACGACTCCATCTTTTTTTAATCCATCTCCATCTCGCATCTTACTGTACCATCCCTTTCCTGGGACGCCCACCGCAATCAATCAATCAATCACTCCGAGTTCCAGCTCGGTGCGTCTCGTCTCGCTTGTCTTGTTGCCGACCGCTCCCACTCACGCACTCATTCACTTGTTTGCTCTCCTGCATCTCAACACTCTTGTCCGTTCCGGAATGAGGTAGCCGTTCGAATGCGCTCAGCTCCCTGACCGGACTGAGTCTGTGCTAGCGACCCCGTGAAATCCACCTCCGTCGTCGCATTGCCAGCCACCTCTCGACCGGACCCTATGAGCCGCGAGCACAAGGCACCTGCTGGGCCTCGTCCAGCCAACTTTTCTCCAACGCGACTGTGAGCAGTATTTTCATCTTTTCTCGTTTATGTTTTTTCGTTTGACTCGGTGGCCCATGCTTGTTATGGTCTATCATCGTCATCGTCTAAACCTCTGTCGCCGCACTTCCTTGCACATGGCCAAGCTGACCTTGATCCCTTTGTGACAGGGGCAAAACCACCAACCCTCAGCCTCGACCACCTCTACCCTCGACGAATCCTGGCTTTGCCTCTGACGATCCAATGCTCAGCGCAACTCCTTCCAATAACCATACTCTTTTTTCTTTCAGTAGTAGGGATGGGGAATCAAATCAATTAAACGATTCGACTACGTCTTTCGACTTTTTGCCTTCCGTCAGTTTTGACGATCTGCAGAGCAGTATCGAATCCGCTTCAACAGACTTCAAACTCACCCAATTCCCGTCCCCCACCGGCGAAGGGGGCATTCTCGATCCCCACGGAGCAGATGATAGCAGCATGTCTTCCCGGCCTCAAGTAGCTCCGCCTTCGAATGGTGCTTCCACTCGTCCTGCTGTTCATACGAATACCAGACCCGCCCGATCAAACTCACTGCTGCGCCGACCTAGTAACTCTACCAGACAGTTGAACAACACCACTGGCGTCTCAGTACAGACTGAAATTGCCAACGGGCCAGGTACTGCACGCGCTCGCCGGCAGAGTCAGTACCCTCCTGTGTCTGGCACTAACGCCGCCAAACCTCCTCGGAAATCAATCGGCCCCGGAATTATTAGCGATGGGGACTTTGGGTCTCGTCCTGCACAGAAGCGACGCCCCAGCCTGTATTCTGAAGGAGCTCCCACGGGCTCGGCTAGGACTTCGATGGACAATAACTCGACATGGCTGGAAAACACAACAAGGAACTTTTCCAATTCGAGGGCAGCAAAGGCTAAATCAGTGCAGCCGCCACCACGGGCGAATCAAGGAAGCTTAGCTTTCGGAAACACTCTTACGCCGGAACAAAACAGACATTCAACTCTTGCCCCACGATCACCTCGTGTTGGAGGTCGATTGAGCACACCGTCGTCCGCCAACAAGAGAGTCTCAATGATGCCTGGTGCTCATCACTCGTCGCACGCAACTGGGCTTGGGGCAAGGACGATCAGTCCTACTGACACAAGGAGGATGAAGCGTATGTCCACCATGCCACAATCTGTGAGCCTGGGCCAGGTGTCAACTCCCCCGCCTCCGCCGCCAGTGTCGATGAACAATCCAACAGAAAGGGCAGAATCGAAATCGCCCTCGATGATTCCACGACGGACTTCTGGTACTCCATCGTCCTCGCGAACCACTCCAGATCTGCACCGCAAATCTTACAACTCGGTCTTATCAGCTACCTCTTGTTTGAGCATGAATTCCGCAAGAACGTCAACTGGGTCGCTACATCGTATATCCACCTCGTCATCCACGTCACGCCTCCCTGCACCGAAACACACGACTGTCCATAACCCCATAGCAGGCGACGACGACGAATATGTGCCTCCTGTCCCTGCCATACCAAAAGCATACGAGTCACCGAAGGACTCGCCTGCTGATACCTACTTTATGGAAAAGAAAAAGACTGCACTCAGCAACATGGATGCCATGAGTGCGAATTCAAACCCAACTGGGGTCATATCCATGCCTGTCTTTCCTGAGCCTACGAAGCTGCAAAGAAAGCCAAGCGGTCCAAGGAGCTATGTCCCAACTGTCGCCGCTGAACCTGAAAACAAGGCCACACCTCCTAGCAAGAGGCACCTGCAGCCATTACGGCTACCGCCAATTAATCTGGGGCCCTTGAGCACGCCAACAGCTAACAAAATTGCAGCCTTGCAGGATCAAAATACTGTAGAAAGACATGAAACTCCCCCACCGCCTCGACATTTGCCCAAGACACCAACGACCCCGATGACAGCTTCTAAGAGCTCTTTCTTCGCCAAGACTCGCCACGGAGATACTCCTGAGCTCCCATCTTTGAGGAGTAGCAGCTCGGTTCATCATGCTCATCTCACTCCCACACCCCCCGATGCTAGCTCAACTGAGTCCTCGTTGGCTTTCAAGGACCTCGACCATAAGCAAAGCATGTCGCCCTTCCTGTCATCTTCTCTGCCCAAGGGAGGTGCGGACCCCGGCCTTTTCAAGAGGTCAAAAACAGGTGCCGATTTCATGACAACGGACGCGAGTATCTTCCAGGACCAGGTTCATCAAAAACCTGCAGGCCCTCGAGCACCCAAGGATGCCGAATCTACCACATCCAAGTCTCCTCCCCCCGAACCTACACCGGAAGAACCACAAACCCCCTCCTCTATGAGCTCCATTCGACGAAAGCTCAGCCTGTCTTGGAAGCGTGGAAATTCCAAGAGTAACAGTACGGCCCCTGGTGACGGCGACAAGACCAATGTCAAGCAGCCCGAAGAACCTATGCCACCCCCCAGGATTCCAATCTCAGCTACCCTCAACAATCTATCCAATGCCAAGCAAGCTAGCCCATCACCTAACACGAAACAGCCTCCTGGCGGCTATTTGGACACAAGAAGACGCAAGAGCTCAGGAGGAAGTCTTAATGGGTTCATTTCGCACGATAAGACCAAGAGCGAATCTTGGACTGCGAAGAAATCTGTTCCTGACCTTTCAACCATGCCTGTTGGCCGAAACACGTCTGTTATGCAAAAGATCCTCCGACCCAGGAATTCCTCTGCTATTGCAAAAGGACCTGACTCATGGTCTGCTGATCTTGACAAGGACGATATATCAGCTGAAGAAGAAATGGCCAAGTTGGGTTCTCGACGCAAGGAAACAGACGTTGCTGCTCGAACACTGGATGCGCTCAGAAAGCGCGCGACGCCAAAGGAGCGAGTTGGTGCCCATGAGGCCATCCGTATTGCTATGCTCAACATCTATGAACGAGGCGAGATTGTCGATTACACAGATGTCTTCTTCTGTGGAACTCAGAACGCCCACAAAGTGGTTGGTGATCTTCAATCAGATGCACCCAACTTTGGCTACGATGACGAGCGCGGAGACTACACCATTGTGCCTGGAGATCATCTCGCATACCGATATGAGATCATTGATGTTCTCGGAAAGGGTAGTTTTGGACAGGTTGTTCGATGCATTGATCACAAGACGGGCGGCTTGGTGGCCATCAAGATCATCAGAAACAAGAAGAGATTTCACCAACAGGCTCTGGTCGAGGTCAACATCTTGCAAAAGCTTCGCGAATGGGTAAGTTGGCTCTTGATTAATCTCCCCAAATTGCTTTTGTGCTAACTCGTTTACAGGATCCAAAGAACAAACACAGCATGGTCAACTTCACACAAAGTTTCTATTTCCGCGGCCACCTCTGTATATCCACCGAGCTGTTGGACATGAACCTTTATGAACTTATCAAGGCGCACGCTTTCAGGGGATTCTCGATTAAGATCATCCGTCGCTTCACCAAACAGATCCTCAGCTCACTCAACCTCCTGAAACAACATAAAGTCATTCATTGTGATCTCAAGCCCGAGAACATCCTTTTGCGACATCCTCTACACGCAGAGATCAAGGTCATCGACTTTGGTTCAAGCTGTTTTGAAAATGAGAAGGTGTACACATATATTCAGTCGCGGTTCTATCGTTCGCCCGAGGTCATTCTCGGCATGACCTATGGCATGCCCATCGATATGTGGAGTGTCGGCTGTATTTTGGCAGAGCTATATACTGGAGTACCTATTTTCCCTGGCGAGAACGAACAGGAGCAACTTGCTTGCATTATGGAGGTATTTGGACCCCCTGAAAAACACTTGATTGAGAAGAGCACCCGAAAGAAGCTTTTCTTCGATTCAATGGGCAAACCCCGCCTCACAGTGTCTTCCAAGGGTCGTAGACGCCGGCCTTCTTCCAAGACTCTGTCTCAAGTCCTCAAATGTGACGACGAGGTATTCTTGGACTTTTTGCAACGTTGCTTACGCTGGGACCCTGAACGACGACTCAAACCTGAAGATGCGATTCGGCACGAGTTTATTACTGGGCGTAAGATGCCTGTTCCTCGTATGCCACCCACCCGGGAATCGTCACCCATGAAGCGACATAACACCATCTCCACTCCACGACCTCTTCCTGACCCTCCCGGAGCCGCTGCCAAACCCCTGGGATCCTTACGGTCTGGAGCCAGCCCCCACAAACCAGTGTCTGGCCCTGTTCGTAAAGCCTCAGGACAGATGGGACCCGCCAGCTCAATGCCTGCTAAACGAACCAGTGCCGGTACTACTGGGCTCGCACAAGGAGCGAGCGGGTTACCTCGAGCTGCGGGCAGGAGCGTGAGTGCAAAGCAGGACCTGGCCGCTGCTGGTGCAACGGCTGCTATGAGTAGACGATCATAGTTTCTATTTCAGACAATGCCTTTTTATAACGATTGGAGTTCAGGTCGTATCGGGCATTTCTTTCTTTCTTTCTTTTGTTTTCCACTCTTGTGCGCCATTGGGTAACACATACATTGCGCTGCGGCGTTACCTGTGACGACATATCCTTTCTTACAATCACAAAAACACGATTGCGTCACAACAACTAGGGTCATGAGGGGCCGCAGAAGGAGGAAGGCGTATTTGTGCCATGATGACTCATCTCAACTCGTCAATCCAAAGCATGTCGCCAGGCAAACGGAGTCAATGAAAAAATTCGCTTTGTAGTTGTCTTGCGATGCATTCACATGAAGGCAAAGTGGTACGAGCAAGTGACGCTCAGTGAGTCAAGATAGTTTGGAATTGGGGTTGTAACCTAGCAGAAGGGTGTATATCATGAGATTTGACGACCGTTTCAACTGAACTCGATAGATGTCACTGTCCGTATCGAATCGGAGGGTTATAGAAGTATAGGGGCTGACAAGAAGGAGGTACGACTCTGCTCTCAGCGCGCCATTCAGGCAGCCAAACAGCTTTACATACACATAATGGAATATTCGAGACTAGACTCACAACCCGCTCCTGATTCTTGACTGAGGCCTCCCTTTGATGGAGAGAACTATTGGTGACCGTTCAGGAGCCGCAAACTTGTACAACGCCAGATGCTTATTTGATCTTCCAAACGTTGGAGCCTAGATGCTTCGAAGGATGGTGCAATTTCGAGAAACATCGGCCCGGGTGCAGATCAGCCTTACGCCTTTTGATGTTGGACAAAGTACGGACCACGTCAAGATTCGCGAATCGGATCGCGGCAGCGCCAAATATCGAGACAAGAGACGCGAAGCTCGGCGGCAATGTTGTGTTAGGGGGTTCTTGTAACTGTCTTGGGCTAACTGTAAGCGGCGACATCTTTCGCTTGATGAGTACTCAAGCAAGGGGAAGATGTGACTGCATTGAAACACAGGCGCGGCTTCAACCAGGGCAGACGGTGGTGTAGGGAGCTAGGTCTCTGGATCCGCGGTTTGTGTCCCGGTAAGTGGGAAACATGACAGTTAGAAAGAGCGGGAAACACGATGATTGGCAAATGCACGATGTCGAGTTTGCTTATGTTAGGATTGGGAACGGGACCCGGCCGAGAATGGTGTCTTACATCCGTTGCAAGACGTTTGAGAGACTGCATGTGTACCTGGCATGGTTCGTTCTATCGATACAAGGCAGACTGAAGCCAGGACGAGTGTCTGAAAGAAGAATAGGAAGGGAAGCATAAGGGTGGGTCATCTGGAAGCCTTACGTCCGCCCGCAACAAGCACAGTATTGATTTTTGGTATAAGATAGCTTCTGCAATGATACAAATGAGGGTTAGAAGTTGTCATGATATGGCCAAAGACTATCATGTAAGTCAAGCTTCTCCGCCGGCGACTCCGGGCGACCAACCGGGGGGGGGGCAAGCCACGGCGGGAGGCGCAGCCAGTGGGTCATGCAGTGGCGCCCCTCTCCGGACTCCGATTATTGGGCGCCGTCACCGGACGAACAGGGGACCGACCCATCTCCCCGCAGACGACAAGGTTGTTTAATAGGTTCGACGCGAGGCTGAAGAGACTCTATCATTGTGCAACAGAGTGTGAGGTCATTGAACCCTCCATCATGATAGCAGTAAGCTGTCAAGGGCGTCATGGGCAATTGTAAATTGGTGGTGATGGTGGGTGAGGAATATGAAAATGACGATGCTGCAGCACTTGGTCACCGGACGGCATGAAAAGTCAACTAACAAGTTGCTGGTTTGTACAGTGTTGTGCTCTCACTGTTTAGGCAGACAAGGCACGAGTGACTGTTACTATCAAAGGAACAGAAGTATACAGCTTTCGTTTGTATTCTCCCCTAAGCCGTCGGTATTGGCGTTTGACTGGACCTTGATCAGCCAGTCACTGGCTTGAACTGGAATTTCCTTGATGCCTATTTTGGATATGACTCCTTTATCTTCTGCATGGAAGACGTCTCACCGGTTGCAGGCGCACCAACCCAAGAATAACTTTGTTACGTTTGTTGCTATGCACAATGCTTGGTCCACAGTATTAACAATAGGGAAATAACGTTGGGTGACAGGAAGGATGGAAACGTACCTGAGACATGATCCCCATTCGCAAACCTTGTGTCAACAGGTGGTGTTTTGGCAAGACATGTGAGCGGCAACGGTTAGTCAGTGTGGGGGTCACACTGAGACATTCGATTTGAGATCAATCTTCCAGGCTTGAGATGGTAACAAGCAATCTGCAAGTGAAGATTGGCTATTGCATAGTAACGATATGCAGGTGTACACTAATCGACTTCATACAAAGACTCCGTCCTTGAAGCATCCGCCTGTCGTCTTGTGGGAAATACCAGTCTTGCTCGCTTTGAAAATATACATCTTCAATTAAGAAAGGTTAATAACACAGACTTGTGAGGCCTCGCAGTCAGCAATTCGAGAATTGAGCCCACGTGAGGCAGACGAAAGCGCATACATCCCTCCGACAGCCAGGTGTGAGGGTACCTATTTCTAGGGGCAGACAAATTTGTGCTCCGTTCCAATAGGAAGGCATCCTTGAGTAAGACAGAATGTAAGGAGTGGTAAGGGTAAAGGGCCACGGGAACTTGTCAGCAATCTCATCGAGGTATTTCTCCAATCTAGGTTACTGCGTACGGAATGTAAAAGGACATGCTGAAGATTCAATATGCTGCAAAGATAGTATCATGCAGGTTATCCCTACCATTAAAAGCAGACAATAAAGATTAATTACCTCAGTGTAGACTATTCCATTCTGGCACAGTACTCGAGAATATTCCAGGGTCGAGGTGATGCTGCATGTAATAGTAAGTTGCAACGCAACGCTGTGCGACAGCCCTGGACGAGTGCGGTCAGGTTCCAGCGTCTCGGTCGTGGAGGTAAGCCACAAGAAATCTGGCTTCTTCCAACATAATCGCAGTAGGATACGAAAGTAAGACACCTTCCCAGGAACAAATGATCCAAGTCTGTTGGTAATCTTTGCGAAAAGTTGAATGAGAGCATTAAGTTGTAAATGACCTCTCCAGACTTTATCGACGTCCATACGTAGCAATGGCTTTCGGTAACTCATACGGTATCCATTGGAGCGGGTACTAAGTTAGTAAGAACAGAAGACGACGAGCGAGCGTGAGAGAACAAGCTACTGAGCAACAGAAAAGTCATTCTCGAAGGCTGAGGGCGCTAACAGAAAGTGGCCTAAATACTAGCCTAAGTTAGTTCAAAGCGACCAAAATACATATCTCGTCTCTGATGCTGTCGGCGACCAATACTTCTGATACCCTAACAGCAAGCATTGCCAAGGCCGGGGGTTGATGCAGACATAGCCTTATGATTGACAGGGGATCCGGTTGCTAAAGACTACCAGCAGGGTGTCGGGGTGGTGCTTGATAATGTGGTCCTACCCTGATCTGCTTCCAATGATATCAGTTTGCGGGCGACATTTGAAAGTTGTAAACGAATAAATAGTTGATACGCATTGAGAGTATGGGTATATGAATAGAAATCCAGCATATGGGCAACGTCTTTCGTTCTAGTTGAGGAAATGTTAGTCACCGCCTTGATGTCATAGAACTCATCATGAAGTAATGACAGAATGGCGAAATAAAGTATCAAGCGACCAGCCTTTGGATCGTCGACCCCTGAGGTTCTAGGCCCGTTAGCTGAATAGCTTCTTGACTCTAAATTCAGGACGTGGCTTGCCTAACTGCGGAATTAGCTGGGTATGAAACGGGAAACAAGAAACAACAAGCCGAATCAGATGGATTGGATTCCAGGGGGTATCCGTAGGTAACTGGTAATTCCCCAGTGCCCTAGCACCGGGACGTTTGGCCGCAGCAAGGCCACCCAAACATCTCGAATCCCTCCGTCGTGGTTCACCCACCACCACCATAAGTGCCGAGCAACAAGGGTTAGTGCTGAGAAAAGAAACAAAAGTGACAGTGACGTCGAAATGTTTCTAGGTGGTGATGAGGAATTCAGTAAGCCCCATCCCGTCCCATCTGGTGCCTTTTCTGTAGACATATTGGCACTCGATCAGTTTCCAATTGGCCTCTCTTCCGTTCAGAGAAGGCAATCCAGGCATCAATCAGTTATGGAGTCCTTTGTACTGTAGTCCTTTGTAGTCCTTCCATTCGCTTGTGGCTGGGCTCACTGCATCGTAGCGCAACACAACACAGCGCAGTTTCAAAGTCCCCTTCGTATTGCGCAAAACGAACAAGGAAAAATGAAGATTGTTACTCATTCAAGATGCGACAATGCGAAAATAGAGTCTCTCTGCCTGATCTGCCTGCCTCAGTGGGTAGGCAGGAGGCACGTGTCCTGGATTCCATTCCTAAAACTCGGCAGGTGCAACTAGCACTTGATTTTCAATACGCAAGAGCCGGGCGAACCATTGCCTCGAATGACTAACTTTCCAAAGTCCCCTAATTTTGACGCTATTTTTCTCCACATCCAATCCATCTCAGATCTTTTGCTGGGTACGGGTACTGGCTGGTACTGTACTTACATCACCCATCCAAATGGATCTTCAACACCAACACCATCGATCCATCACCTTGCGCCCTTCACTATGGGTCTAGAACTTCCAACGGTTTCTCAGATAATATCGGTTTGACGTCATAAATCTGCTTTCTCGTATCAAAGCTGATTATTGGTGTTCCTTTATCGGTAACAATATGGTTTAGTTTCTGTCACAGGCTCCCGAAGCCACCCTCGGCCGCTTCAAGGAGTCGTCCCATATTATTTCTTACATGCATCGGCATGGATGAGATGGTGGTAGTGTCGGGTGCCATGCCATGCCATCCATACTATACTGTACAGTGGAATCTGGTGCATTTCAACTGTCTGTATTGCATCACATCACTTCCAGACCCTGTAACCCTCCCCTTCAGCCCTGCTGCAGGTCAATTCAACCTCCCTGTCTCAGACCAATGACTGAGATGACTCTTCACGCCGAGCCATCTTGAACGGACCGGAACTGCTTCCAAACCATGAACCGAGGATCGACCGCCGCTTTTTCTTACCTACACTTGGTGTTTCCAAGGACAGTACTCTGTACCTACATGACTCCATATGCTCTACCTCTAGGTACCATCCCAATTGGACCCCTGCCCTGACGTTGCGGTACGGTGCGGTACGGGTACCCAGGTTCAATCCATCTATCCACACGCACACATTCGCTGCGCTGCGCTGCGCCTTGAGATCAAGCCCATGCTTTCGCAGTCTCACTTCAAAGAAATAGTCGATGTTTATGCTGCTGCATCTCTCGGGACAAGCACCATCCGATGAGACAGACAGTATAGATCAGGGCACGAGAAAGCCGACACACAAGGTCCCAAAAAGTCATAGCCTCCGAGACAAGAAAAGCCCCCAATTTCAAAGATCCATTTGACCCCCCTCCCCCTCCAGGCCCAAGGCATCTTTGGTGGTTTACTTGTGGGTCTGCACTATCCCATGCCTGCAATAGACGCGCTCAGCCTTTATCACCTGTCAAGACAGTCAGACTGAACTTGCGGCTATTGCTCTCACGCACTCTGACTGGCGTTTCTGGCGTCACTGGTGCCTTGACGCATATCCTGGTGGTGTTTCCTGAGGGGGGGTTTCTGTCAAGAAAGGGAGTGTCGCTATGAGCTTCGACGCTCTCCTCCAGGCTACAAGCAGGCCTATAAGGCTGCGATGTCTTTTCTGAGGTCAATTGTCTTATCCTCACTTCTATCTCTTTATTCACGACTCTTATAAAGCAAGCTCTACTCCATTGACATCCGACTATCTCGCTCATAAACTCTACCTCTCTTGTGCTTTACTCTCTGCCCTCATTGCGATCAACAACTATCCACCTCGACGAATCTGCAAATCTGCAAACACACCTTGGTTGGTCCAAACATTTGGAGACCTTTAACCGAATCATCTGCAACCTCTTATACCCTTGCGCCGACACCTGGCCAACAACTCGCGGCCCAACACTGCAACAATGTGCTATCAACTTGTCGAGCTGTATTCGGGCTGCCGATGCCCCTACTACACGCACGCTATCGACCGCTGCGCAGCATATGGCCGACCCGGCCATTCTATCCAACAGCGAACGATACTCGTTGGTTACCTATGCTCAGCACACGCGAGCCATGGCGCTCAGTACGCATCACCACACAGCTACTCCGATAGTGGCTACCACAGTGGCTACTCGAGCTCAAGGAGCTATCGATGAACAATCATTTCTTCAGACATGGGTTCTCGCTCCCCGCAGCTGATTCCATTCGAGTTCGACGGCTGGGTTTTCTATCTGATCTCTTTCAACCCATCGCTGCTCTCCTCTTTGCTGGCAGGATATTTCCGCTGCACTGGCCATCTTTCAAGCGAAACTCATTACTATATGCAGATTGGCACATTTTCTGGCTCTTGAATAGCCATCAGTGTCAGTCAGCCATGTCTTGTTGATCATTTGTTGGGTTACGAGGACACCAAAACGTCGCGGAAGACCTGGATGAGATATGAAATGGATTTGGAACAAACCACGACGGAACGTTTCTTTTTTAGCCACGACTGCATTGGCTGTTCTCTTCTAAACGCATCATTCTTTCTTCTACTTACGGCCTATCTCCTGAACGCTCTAAACGTTCTCCATTTGGTCGTCGGATCGGGCATTCGTCGACACCAGTCTTCCATCTCACATTGTCGATGAAGTTTGCTTTTCTGTCATTTTAAACTGCAAGGAGGTTTATTCTGGTGCCACTTCATTTTCGCTTGGCTGGGAACAAGTCAGGATATACAACTACTGGGTTACATTTCTGGAACAGCATTTGCTGCGAGCCTCACGGCGCTTTTAGATGGCGAGATATTTGAGCTTGGGCATGAAAAGCAGAGACGTTACAGGTAATAGCTCTTTGCTTATGGATTGCAGTTTCTTGTTTTTATTTCATGTTCTTCTTTGTTGTTTCCCCTTCTTTTTCTTTACTTTTTCTTCTTCTTGGACCTCTTTTTTGACAAAAGGCGGTCCACTTTAGGGCCTCAAGGATTTTGATCATCTTTTGCATTTCAACTGGCGGGGCTTTACCATAACGCATGCAGCGATTGTTGTAAACGACAGATGGCTGGCCATTGTTTCATTTTCTGGGGGAGATATATGATGCTGAGCAAAACCTTACTCTTCTCTCTTTATTTTTACAAAACATGGACTGTTACAGTCATAACCACCATGTATCTACTAATGGGCTGGGATCCCTATCATTTGGCAAACAAGATTAGAAACGCAGAGCGTTTAACACGAGGCAGTGAATACAATCAATACTCTTCTCATTTCATTCAAGTCACCATGAAACCCAACAATTGTCTATCTTGGGGCTGTGAAAGGTGTATCCGACCCCAGCACATCTATCTGGTATTGCTGAAACCTCCCATGCTTGCGTTCACGGGTACTCTGTACAGTGGGGTCAAGCAAACTCAAATTCTCCACAAGTCCTAGACTGAAAGTCATTTATACACAAGCAGCGTCTCTTCCATCTGCAGCAAATTGAAACACAGCTGTTCTGACATTACTCCCCAAATCTATCAGAACTGTCTTGGGGAGGCCTCGTTAAGCCATCACGTTCGAATGCTGAGCTTAGCATCCATTCGCAGGCACAAGGCAGACAAGTCTAAAAACACTTACAAGAGGACTAGACTAGTTCGACTCACCTCACAGCCTTGCAGTAGCAATAAGCAGGTTCGGCATTTTCTAGACCAATAGCTCGGCAAGATAGTGCCTAACGACCTATAATTAGGCCTAGCACCCTAGTAGATTACCAGATCGAGCCACGCGGGAGAGATGGGTGTACTAGACGTAAACAAAACCAATCATGTCATATGGCGTGAAACCTTGCTCAAGAAGGATTTCGGCTGTTTATCCAGGAAGTTTTTTGGCGCAGCTGACAAGGGTGGCTGGGCGCTGCTATGATTTGCCGGCGGTGCGCGATTAGGCGCACTGGCGCGCTGCAAGGAACTATCTGAAGGGTGTGAGACAATCGGTCGCGTTGCTAGAGTCTGGTTTAGTTTCGAGCATGGAAGAAAAAAGAACAACGAGTTGATGTAATAGAAATGAGAGATTGCGGCACAGGACTGTGTAACGGTAATGTACGAGGAGTGTGAGTCGAATTTAGAAACTCGCTTAAGAGGTGATAAACCTCACTGCCATGGTAGGATGATAGACGAGATTCGGATGTACAAAATTGTAATGGGTGTTATTCGTTACCCAAGTTCTCGGATGTAACAATCCAGAAACGTCAGCATCCTGCGAAGTTGGACAGGATATCAGTGTCTATCCATGAGAGGAACTACAATTCGTGATGATTATTGGTCGTTCCAATATCAGCTCACCCCTTGTTTCGACGCTGCTGACATGGTAGAATCTTTACCTGAAGCTTGCATCCAGCGTTTTGGAAAGATGATTCGCTTGCACAGCTTAGGTGAGCACAAGAAGAGCCCTGCAAACGGGAATACGGGTTGAATCCATGTTACAGAAATGCGGTTGATATCGCGATATTCGGAATGTCAGAAAATCGGCTGGGATTCTGCTGGGTCCCGTGCTGACGGTACCTAGTATGTAGCACTGTAGGCACGTCAGGCAGTGGTGAGCTGTCTAAGAATTAGGCGTGACGATCCCTGCAAATGCCGGGCAGTTTTTCCATGCAGGGATATGACGTCTAGTGGCAAGGCGTTTTTCGACCAAGAACTGACAGGGATGTTTCGCTTAAGTCAAGGAACGGGCGCGGCTGCGCTTATGCTGTGGGTAAGGTACCGCATGTAAGTGAACAGCCAGCTGAGTTCCAGGTAGAGGATCCTCCCTTGTACGACAGGCTTGGATTATCCCGATGGGATCTTCCAACCACTTACAGCACTCGTCTGCGTGGATCAACATCATGATGTTGAGTTCATGTCATGCTCAGCCTTATGCGCGAGTCAGGCTCTGAGATAGAATATGTTTCTATATCGTCATGCGGATCATGAAGTTGAACTAAAATATTACATACTCGGCTAATACAGACCTGTTATTCTGGCGCGGTCTCCCCTTCCTGCGAAATGACAAGGGGAAAGAGCAAGTGAGATGAAATCATCTGTATCAGGAAAAGAAGGAAGTTGCTCGGATCCAAGCACCTGCCAACATTTTACGGCAGATAAACAAGGTTCAGTGACAATTCCTCTGCCTTCGTGATTCAGTAACCCTTAATCACCATTCCCTTCATCTCGGACTTGCATCTCTTCTTCCCCTCTTTCCCGGTCCGCCCGTATCCTAGTATTCATCCCTTCTGATATCATAGACAACATTTATACGTCTCTCTCGATATTCCTATTGGGAATGCCCTCATGTCCGATGACGGTGTGAGTCCATCTAGCACTTCATCAACCCAAGCACCAACCACAACCACGTCTACTCATCGTCCTCCCCCACTGCAACCCTTCACAACACATATTCAAAACAGCGACAGATCTCAGTCGTCATCTTTGGATAGTGTCGTTACTGTTGTTCATAGCTCATCGCCACAAGCTTCTCCATCGGGACAGAATACACAAGACTCTGCGATGTTTTCCACGCTCATTGGCCATACTCGAGGCCTTCTCCCTCCAAAAGAGAACAAGGGGCAAGCCGTGGCCGACATCGGTGATTTCGATCACACTCCTCCTCCCAGCGGACGTGCATCCGTGGATTTGTTGAAGAGTAAGGAGAAGCGAGGAGATACCATCTCTGAACAGCTGCTTCAAAAGCCTTCTTTCGATATCGCGATCGGTGACGACGACTCAAGTTCACCAATGTTGGCCCCTCTTTTGAAGAAGCCTAACACGATATCTGCAGAAACATCTGGCGCTTCGCTTGACCTTCCCTTTCACAAAGTCGCTTCATCACAAAATGAAACTGTCATGGGTAGCATGCGTAGAAGTTCACGTAACGAGACACAAACCCAGGCATCGCCGAACCAACCCCCACTTGTTCTGAGTAACATTAATTCTGGAGAGGAATAGGAATCTGGAACTCTTCAAGTGGGCGGTTCGGGCCAAGAAGTTCAATACCAACCGACTCCTTGTCTGAAGGAGCAGAACCACGTTGATGAGCTTCCGTCCTGGAGCTTTCGGCCCATCAATCCTCGATTTTCTCAAGATGATAAGGCTCGGCACCACCACAAACCTAGTCAGGAATATCAGACCAACTACTTCTCTGGCAAGGTAGAAGATTCGTCTTGCGCTGGTGATGACAGTCATCCAGTTTCTTCAACACCCGAAACTCGAGACGGGAGAGCAAACGAATGTGTTGGAATAATCACCGACTCATCCGATGTCGAGATACCAGAATCGAGGCTAAGGAAATTGAGTTTCCACGACAATGGCCTTCGCGATCCAAATGCACAAGTATCGCCATCATCTGGGCCTCGCGAGGCGTCGACCGCATATGTACCTCCATCAGGTCGAAGCCGATCTTTAGGGTCAATCATGGATTACCTGTGGAAAACCCAGTGGCTGAAACGTTTATCGCAAAGAAACAACTCGTATCGTCCCGTGCTTACAGATCTTCCGCCCCGAACGAAGTCAGTGAGAACTGATGACAGACGTCCGTCAGAACCCGTACTACCGAGTAGCCATGCTCTCCGCCGGCCATCAGCGTGGTCCATTTTACCTGGTAAAACAGATCGCCATGTTGATGATAGGATGTTCAAGCGTGCTTTTAGTGATCTAGAGAGGCTCGTGGATGAGGCCCTCTCGCTCGCCGTAGAGGTTGCCGGCCATCCTGAACATGCAGCTTACGAAAACGGCCGTTCTCGAGCTGAACAAAGTGATCCGGATCTCCTTGCCGAATCAGATATATCTCGAAATGCCCAACAAGCTACTCGGGCAGCTCTGTTGGGTGATGATGGCCAAAACTTTGCCGAAAGACCACAGTGTAGACGTGCTGCCACTTATACCTCTGTGCCCAGGCGTCCACGCTTAACGGATGTTGTGGAAAGCTATTCAGGAACATATCAAGAGCTTCGAAAGAGGTCTCATATTGAGCGAACACAGCAAGAAAGTTGCTCGAGGCGCACATCACGAATGATATTGTCTCAGCTGCACAGTCAAGCAACAAATATGGAACCCAAACGCAAGTCCGTAACGCTAGAAGACCTCCTCATTGCAAGGATCTTTCCCAAAACAGATGAGAAGAGCAAATCCCCTCAAGGTACGCATGTCGTTCACAGGCGTGCTTCAGTAGCGAACCCCCAAACTATCGGAAGTGGAACTGGACAAGATGCCCTACCAGAGCACGACATTGCTGGCAGAGGATTGCACTACGAGCATGGGGTCAATTTGCGAAAGAGATCGCATGTCAGCCTACGCGATACAAACGGATTCAATCTTCCCAAATCGCACACAAGGCAGCCAATTGCAAGAGACTGGTCGCCTGGCCGGAAACGTTTTGTCGCTTCTGTCGCCTGCTTGAGCACAGCTCTCATAGGGGTACTTCTTGGAATCTACACAGGCATGGTTCCCTCAATCCAGTACTATATCGTGGATCAGTCGCACGTTGCTGTGCATGGAAATACAGGTTGTTTCCTGGCCCTTGCTCTGCCATCTTTCTTTCTCTGGCCGTTGCCTCTGCTCCACGGTCGGAAGCCGTATATCATGTCAAGCCTCATTATTGCAATGCCGTTGCTTTTCCCACAAGCAATTGCTGTCAGCGACCAAAGACTTACAAATACTACCTTCTGGCGGACAATGCTCTTAGTCTGCCGCACTTTAATGGGTGGTTCGCTGGGGTTTGCCAGCATGAACTTTCACTCCGTTCTGACAGACCTGTTTGGTGCATCTCTAATGTGCAGGCATCCCCATCAAGAAGTTGTTGACCAGTTCGATGCACGAAGACACGGAGGCGGCATGGGTATCTGGCTCGGTATCTGGACTTGGTGTTGGATTGGGTCACTCGGTGTTGGTTTCCTCATTGGTGCTGCCATTATCGACAAACACCCCCCAGCCTGGGGGTTCTATGTCAGTATCATAATGATTGCGGTGGTGCTGATTCTCAACGCTATATGCCCCGAAGTACGCAGGTCTGCATTCCGGCGATCCATTGCAGAAGTACGAACTGGAGGAAACATCTCACGTCGTCTGGCTCGTGGAGAAGTCATGATGCATCGAGTCAAGACAGGCCCCAAGTGGTGGGGTCAAGAAGCATATCACGGTATTCGTTTATCCCTGGAGATGCTTGAACAGCCTGGTTTTGCCGTCATGGCTCTTTATGTCGCATGGATATACGCCCAAATTGTCCTCGTGATCATCCTAATGGGTTCGCTTGTCTCTCGACTCTACCATCTGAGATCGCCATTTGTCGGTCTTCATGTTGCTACAGTGGCTATTGGAGCTCTTCTGGCAATTCCATTCCAAAAAGCCAGCATATTCTCGAGATCTCGACGTCGGGAAGGCAAGTCCAACCGCGAGACTATAAGCAAAAGGGTCGCGTGGTCATCACATCTCATTCGAAGAGCCATTTTTACCATATCTTTGCCCATTTGGGCCGCCTGCTATGCTGCTGTCTCCTCTGGTCCACCAATCAATTCCGGTGTGCCAGCTTTCTTTGCTCTTTGTATAGGGTTTTTGTCGTGTCTTGCGATATCTGAATGCAATGGACTCATCATGGAAACGTTTGATACGTCAGATTTATCTCCTGGCATGGTCGGTCGTCACCATGATCCATCAGGTCAGGACCAGCGAAGGACCAACTACTCATCCTTCCCTCGAGTTACAGCAGGATGTGCTGTCATACACTCTTTCTCGTATATTCTGGCGGCCGGCTCAACTGCTCTGGGTGGACATGTGACTCGAAAGCTTGGTCAACAAGTTGCAACCAGTGTTGTTGCTGGTATACTCTTCTTGTTGACGGTCCTACTTTTGCTCGTACTCATACGATTCAAGAATGTACTCATCATACCTCGATCAAAGTCTGAGGAGATGGAGAGGCTGACCCGAGCTCGGCGACAATCTTCTAAGCGCCGAGCCACTATGCCCGGCGACGTACGTGCTTTGATGGAAGAGGATCGTGCTTGGCAGCCTGCGATGACGGGGAACCCAATGGGAAAGAATCGCCGGATGAATGTGCTCGAGATGGGAAACTTGACAAGATGGCAGGATATACGACGAAGAAATAGGCTCATAGATGCGGGTGCACATATCAATCGCGATACATTGGACCATGGGCTTGACGCTGTGGTTGTTGCTCTCGAGACCCAGGTTGACGACATGCGGCAGAATGACCAGGGGTTTTTCAGGCGAGGAACCTTGAGAAAACACGGCAGTCATTCGCGACGCAGCAATCAAACCAGAAGCAGCGAACAAACTTTCCATGACCTAGAACTAGATATGCTTGATCCTATCGGAAAGCCCGGGGGATCATACCAACGACCACGGGAGTCTCCTGAAAATGATTGTGTGATGGGTCAGCCAATTAATGAAGAGGTCAAAGGTGACAATCAAACTGGGCGAAGCAGCTCCCGGAAGGACGCTTGAGGTCAATTGAGATTGCAGGATAGGCGAGGGAATGACCTTATAAGATTAGAATGAACGTCTAAGGTAGTGTAGTGTATACAGGTATCGATCCTAATAACTCATTTGCGCTCCTGTTTCCTTTTGCTCTCAGCCTATGGCCAATGTTCATTATAGCTCCAAATAAAAATGCATACTATTATACAAGAGGGTCTTGATTTTGTTCTCATAAGATAAAGGAAATACTTAGTCATTTGTTGTAAATGCGGTGGTTGTTCTCTTCTTATTGCACATTCAGAACCAGGTCGTCCCCTCGCCGAGTAGGCGTTAATGTTGGCTTCCAATGCGGTGACATGGGATAGCTTGGGGGAGTCTTATTTTCAACATCACGATTCCACTTTGATGTCCTGGCCGGGTCGGTGCCAATAGTCATGTCAGCAGCTCGATTAGAACCGACACGTTTGGCAAGAAGCGAGTCCTGGCTTCCGGACTGGGCAAGTGGTGTGGTCATAGGTTGAGGGGGACGATAGTTCTGATACTGGGAGGGATGTATTTGGGTTTGCTGAGATGCAGGATATGGCTGAAATGATTGATAGCCTCCCTGATTATGAGGCTGGGACAGTTGGTTTTGTCGTGCTTGGAACGATTGGTACATATGAGGTGGTTGCTGGTAAGGGTTTTGCTGAGGTGGGCGTTGATAAGGTTGTAAAGGAGGTTGCTGCTGGAAAGACTGGTACGAAGGAGGCATACGCTGTGTGGGTTGCCAGGCATTCTGCTGCTGCTGGGGCTGTTGGCGTCGTTGCTGATGTTGATGAGAGTGCAGGCGTTGTATAGGTTGCCAAGCTGCTTGCTGTTCTCGGGGGGACGGTTGAAAGGAAGGAGGTCTTTGGTACGGTTTGTAAATCTGAGGCTGGGATCCCGAAGCTGAACGGCGATGCTGCGATTGTTGATGGGTTTGGAGGGGTTGGGGATACGGCGGATTGAAGTAAAAGGGAGATGCTCGAATCTGCTCTGGGTTGATGGCAGGTGGCTCCGTGGGCTCCTCTGGCTCAGGAGAGGGTTCAACAATGCGCATGGTTGGAGAAGTTGTCTCAAGTCCCGCATTAGGGATAGGTTGTATGTTCTGCGAACCTGGCTGCTGTCGTGCTGCGTTATAAGCACCAGGAGGCTGCATCATTCCCAAAGTTGGACTTGGCTGGCCAGGAGGACTGTAGAATATTTGTCTCGAGGGAGGAGCTAATCTCGTATTGACATTGTCGCCCAAATTGCCCATCTGGCTTGCACGTCGAGGATCTCGTGGCGGTATCTGGGGTTGTTGTTGTTGCTGCTGCTGGCGAGCTCGAACTGATTGGGGAGACTCAACAACAGGAGAGAGACTGACTTGTTGTTCGGGCGCCACAGAGGGGATACTCGAGGAAGACTCAGTCGATGTGGTGATGATTGTGGCACTACTGCTACTAGAGTCCTCGCGTGGACGGGTCAGGGGTCTGGCCATCGAGGGCCGCGAAGAAATGCTACGTCGTGGGTGGGATTGCGACGAGAAGAACGGAGAAGGATACTGCGGGCGTGGCCCGTAGGGTTTACTTGGAGCGCCCGCAGGAATGATCTCAGCTGGGGGAGCGAGTGTTCGGATGGTACTTTGCCCTGGGTAGCCAGAGGGACCGTTATCGTTCGGCAGTGGCTTTAGGTTGTCTCCCTGAGACCCCTTTGAATCTTGTGACCCTCGTGCTATCACCGAGGCACGCTTTGGGTTCCCAAGAACCCAATTACCGTACTGGTCAGCAACATAGTAGGTCGTAGCAGAGAGCGGAGTCGTTGGTGGTGGTCTCCAGACCTGCGTGTTGTTGTTTGGCGACATCGATGTGCGATCTTCTTCGAACTCAGTCACATTGCTTTCGCGGTTGTTTGTTCCCGGAGCGCTTCCTGCAGACGCTTCGGTTGGAGGAATGTGCAGCTTTGGTGGCATGGGTCGCGATCTTGGTGGTGAAGCAACAACGGCGGCGGCGCCAAGTGCCGGTGGTGGTGGTTGGATACTCTCATGTCGGCCTTGTTGTCCAGTCTCTTGTAATCCTGGCTCGATAACAGGGAGAGACTTTTCATTAGTGGATTCAGAAGACAGATGCGGTATTGTTGGTTTTGCAGGCAGTAATTTCGACAATCTCCTGAGAGGAGAGGCGTTTGCCGTATTTCGATTTGAAGAAGGTGGTGATATGGCAACGCCAATGTTCTCGGGTCTAGAATTTGCTCGATTGTACGCAGGTGGGGGTGGTGCTTGACTCCCAGGATCCAAGTCAGGGCGAAGTTGGTGAACCATCCAGGAGTTGTGTCCGCCATTGTCAGATCGATCTGCTTTGTAGCCCCAGGTATCTCTCATAGGAAGGAAGCCGGTTTTGATCTGAGGGTACTTTCTTCGTCGGTAGTACCTCGCGAGCACAATAGCTCCGACTGCAACTCCAACAGCGGCCAGAACACCTATTGATATTCCAGCAACTTGCTCGGTAGAGAGTTTATTTGAATCATCATTGTCCTCACCCTTACTCGCACCACCAGCACCGCCTGATACTTCTGTAGTAGTTTCCGTTTCTGAACTTGAAGTGGATGTTGTCGTTGTGGTTTCAAAAGTCGTGGAACTGGTGAACGGGAGTTCGGTAATCGAAATTATCTCTGGAGAAGTAGTGGTATCGTCAGGCGAGTCGGTGGAAGAATCATCCCTCGTTGTTGACCGTATCCTTGTTCTCGTCGATGGTCTGGGAATAATAGGTGGTGATGATGTATCGATGACTAGGGTTGTTGGTAGTGTTTGAGTAGTGCTCGATGTCTCCAGACTCGACGCTTCTGAGCTCGATGTTGTCCTCGTTGTGGTGAGAGGGGGAAAGGTGACAACTCCTCTGCCTGAAGGGTCCAAAACTAACGTTGCTGTGATGGTGAGATGGGTTGGGTGAGCTGCGTTCGGCCTTCCATTGCAGACACCATACGCCCGCTCAACAACGCGTTCTACATTTGTGTAAGTGACGACGATTAATTCCCAGGTGGCTGGTAATACATACCGTTTGCTTCGACTGAAGAACAGAACCCAAAGGACCGCTCAGCTGATATGCATTGCATCGCACCTTCACCTAAAGTAAAGCCCAAAGTGCCTCTTCGAGAACACAGACAGTCCAACAGGGGCCTCCCCGTGCAGGCATCGAGAACATAGTTGACATTTAGGAAAGAGGCGAAGCATTCCGAAGCACAGCTAGGAATGAAGCCGGAGAATTCGCCCGGGATATTAGCTGCCAGTACGGCGGTAACACAAAAGATCAACCATGAAGGCACAAAGGAAAATGGCCTACTGGCCATTCTACAACGAAACATCTGTGGATTCGAATGTTAGTCCCAACTTGGGGCCGCATGTCTTGAGCAAATTTCTCACCTATAAAGAAGGGTATCCTATTAAAGGAGATGACCAGCATCTCAACGAAATGTATTCATGAGCAGTCGTGACAAAAGAACAAAGGGAAAAGAGATCAGAGAAAGGGAATTAGACGTGACTGGTGGTACAGACAATCACAGATGACAGAAGGAAAGAGAAAAGGGAAATACGAAACACGGTCACATCGAACGGATAAGGTAGGAAACAAGGGGAGATATGAGGACTGCATTCTCAGCAGCCGCCGTCTTTTTTCGCTATAGCACGAGAGCTCATGATGACACCGACATAGATAGTGAGAGTGAGACCAGCAAAGGCCAGCGCTTGCTAGCCAAGTTGGGACGCTGTAAATCCTGCAAGACCAAGCCTCTTGTTCAGCTCAAAGGGTCCTCAAGGGCCATAGAGCCGCCGGAGCGGGCCCTCTCAATCCTCTCTGCGTCATTAGACTAGGGAAGAGGCTGGATCCGAAAGAGGCTGCTGCAAAGAGCTATTTTTGCCTGGAGAGACATATCGGTCGATACGAAACTCGACCCCACGGCCTCGATGTCTGCTGCGGCGGTTAGAGGTGGTGACATGACTGGTTGACGTTGACCGAACCGCCGATAGACGCGGGAGGGTCCTTTTGGGCGTCAACGGCTGACAGCCAACCAGCCAACAGGCAACACTGTGACTGGTCACGTGAAGGCATATTGGTCCAATGATGGTGTTGGTATAGCCCTCGGCCAGGTCTACCAACTATAGGCCCATCTATTGCAGATCGACAACCTTTATTGACGAGGTTAACGTTAATGTGATGACTCTACCTCTATACAGCATCCTAGGTCTTGGCTGGTTTCGAAGTGGGCTAGCTGGGCTTCGTGAACTTCTCTCAGCGAATTCTTTTTGAAACGGTCACATGTAGGCCGGCTGAAAAGAGCACAGTTTATAGCGTCACTTCGTGTTGAATCCACTTGGACATCTCGGTTCGTTGCGAGGAATTAAGACCAGGGATGGAGCTGACCAAAGAGACTGCCCTTGTTTCAGTCATTCAGTCGCTCACCGTAGTCTATTCTGTATGGGTCAATCATTAAGTGATTTGACCCACACCATCTTGGCTTGCTTCAGATCTTAGTAACCAAAGAAGCCAAGCACTTTCATGGTTCGCGATACATGTCTTACCCTTACTAGCTGTGCCAAAGATTTGGTACCGGGTCTGTCGTCTGGTGTGCAAGAACATTAGTAACCAAAGTTTCCCACAATATCACGTTACCAAAATATTCAGTGCCTCCTTCATTAACCCCGTTGATCTTGGTCAGGACGCTTCGTCGTCAAAATTTACTGGATATATTCGCATTGAAGATCTAGACTCTCTGCCACTCCAGTCTTATCAACCATCGTATAGACAAACTGTTTGATCAAGCGATACCCTTGCATCATATGACCGTCAACAATGTCTTCCGTAAGGTCAGCGGCGCAATGCTCAAGCCAAATTCCTGGGCAAAAGATGGAAACGGTTTCTTAAACGAAAAAGGGTCAACAGCCTCAGACGCCGACGCCGACAAAACACCCACAATAGAACAACAAATCCGTCAGGATTCAGGAAACTCAGAATACCATCGGCCAGCTGTCTCTTGTCTGATATAAAAGACGTGGCAGATGGTGTAGCTTCCACCCTAGGTTCCAACCAACTAAATGCTATGCAATCGTCAAACTTCTCTATTGGTAACCTCACATGGCCATCTCGGCCTGCAGTTTCCGGAGCTCGGCTTCTTCGTCGTCCTCCTCCACGGCCTTATTCTTGCTCGATACAGCTGCAACATGTTAGTCTCCCGAAGTAATACAATGTGGCCAAAGTACATACGCTCAGCAGAAGCCGGCGTCGGCAGCTTGTGTACAGCATCCGACACAGGAACTGTGCCTGTCTTGAGCATCTGCTCATCAAGTTGCTCCTGTTGTAGCTCATCCAACTCGTTCTCCAATTCGTCGTCGTCGATGGCCTCGCCCATAGGGGTTTGAGTTATAGCGTTGACGATCTCGTCGCTCATGGCGTTCTGCTCTCGCAACTCGTCCCTGGAACAATATTAGTACATGCACAACTGCCAGAGCATCAGATATGACATAAGGCGAGGACATACATAATCGCATCCACCTTATCCGCTGTAAGACCCTTGTGGATATGTTTCATTGCCGCGTTAGCATCGCTCATTGCAGCCAAGGTCTCCTTGTTGATGTTGGCCGACTCGATAGCGTTGATTTGCTGCTCCAGAGTACCGATTTGCGACACAGTTTGGTCCAGCGAGTGCTCGTGTGTCTTCTTGCGCCTCAAGGCCGCCTTAGCCGCTGTCATCTAGATCAGTATCTCTGCCCCGCATTACCCTGACCGCTGAGATAACCGCATACCGTTCTTGTTTGAGCTCACGTTCTTGCGTGCGATGCCATCCTGCTCGTCAATCTGGTTTTGAAGATGTCTCTCGCGCTTCTGCAGCATATCAAGCTGCGCTCGCAGCCCGAGGATCGCATTCTTGGGAGTATCCTTGCGCTTCTGGGCCGCGGCGCCACCGAACCAACCCCACATATCTACGGTTGCTGATCGCTAAGGTTGATGGGTGGAAAGAGTAAAGTAGATGAGGATAAGGAGTGTCCGTCCTGTACCTCTTATATAATCGATCTCGTTTGATGTTGTCGAAGTACGAAAATAGCGTAGCGAGCCTCGAGTCAACGTCGGGTAGTGGGGTCAGGCTGAAAGAGGGTTACGGTTCACAGGGTCACCTAGGATATACAGGGCTATCGGACTAGATGAAAGCGAACAATTTGATGCTCTGACTTCTTCCTTTGGAATCGTCAGCGTCGTCGTCTTAGGTAGTGTTATGTTAAAGGTAGCCTGCGGGACTCTTATCGTTGCCTGTGTGATGACGGCACGCTTCCCTGCCCGCCATTTCCTCTTAATTGCATAATGTGGGGGTAGCCACTCATATTGCAAGAGGGAAGAAACTTCGCTCAGGTGCACAGGCTCCATGTGACGCAATATTCACATGGCCAATTCCCAAAGTAGAAAGTCAACTTCATGTTAACGTCTATCTCGGGAACCCAACATGAGGTTATTCCCAGAATTACCATATATGTATGAATTGATAGGGTGCTGCCTTAGCATTCAATAGGCAGCTGTCTACATTCACCTCTATTAGTTATATTTTACAGATTCGGACTTTTGTCAATTCCTCCGGAAGAACTCGTATCAAAGTCCTACCCAGGAAATACTCATGGTAGTCCATGTGCTCGCTTTGACACGACTACCATGAGCCTTCATAGTCAGAGCTGACCACGGATCGTATATTTAATCAAGTCTGGCATTATAACTGGTCCACTGCCCAGTCTTCTATAGCCAACCTGTACTTTGTTGCGGTTACATATCCCTCCTCTTGTGTCGATTTGCTCGGAGACCTGATTCCCCTATTAATACACAAAGTAAGTCGGATGACACGATCCATTTCCAAATGATAACCAGAAGCCAATACCCAAATATTACACTAGAATTTGCGTCGTATCAAACCCATCCATCATTAAGTTCCGAGAGCGCCAACACAGACCGTACTAAAAGTGCAATAGATTGGGTTAAGGGTGTAGCAGGATATCTGCGGTTAGAACAATGTTCTGTAGAGTATGCCAGGCTCAAATTGAGACCTGGCATCAAAGCAGTTGCATGAATGTTGGAAACGTTAACAGGCGTAACGTCATGAGTCTGCATATATGATTGACATAGTCCAAAAGTGGTAGGATACGCTGAAGGTGGTGCGTATCCAAAATCCAAGCTTCAAGCCTGCCGTTCTTACAGGTTGCCACCCTTTTCTTGTGTATCATAGTGCCAGACAATGTAGTTGGGAAGGCCGATAACTTGGTAGCCGGCTCGTTTGGCCATCTTGGCAAAACCTTCGGTCTCGGCCTGGTTCTCAAAAGCGTAAGCTGGAAAGTTGATGCCTAAAGACGATGTTAGTTGTGGGTTGTGGCCCATATCGTTTTGAGGCATACCTGATCGATGAACATCTGCCTTGACGAGAATGTTGACACCGCCAATACCATCGAGCTGAAGTTCAACGTCCTTGTTCTCCCGCCAATCGCCCATTCTGCACATATATTCACGCCCCGTATCGAACTCTTTGTAGCCTTCTACAATGATGGTGTCTTTTGGCAGACTATTGGCCAATTTTCGACCCTTGTCCGACTCTATCCACGAGTTGTAGTCGACTGCGGCCGAATGTCAGCAACCCTGTGATCAACATACGCCAAACACACTTGTACTTACATCGACCCTCAATATCAACCCCCTTCTCGAATCTATGGAACCAAATGTCTCGGAATTGTCAGTGTCATGATTGAGAATGTGATTTCTTCCTGACTTACTGGGTACAAGAATATCTCTGTCGTGAGCGATGAAGTCCTCCAATATCTTTTTGGGCGCCTCTTCAATATCAACATCACGCCAATATACCCATGAATGCTCCGGCTTCAGAGCTGTGGCCAGCAGGTAGTTTCTCGCTTTAGCCATAGCTCTACGACGCGGCGCTTGTACTTCAAAGCCATGTCTCTGCTTCGCATCTTGGCTAAGATGGAAATGGAAATTCTTCTCGACAATAGTGATGCTGTTGAACGGAACCCCGTCTTTTCGCTTCTGCAAGTGATCCAATTCGGAAGCAAGTACGGCAAGTGTGTCATCCTTTGAATCGGATACTAAAAACGCAAGATCGATCAGGCGATGTGGATATGTAAGCTCAGCGATAAGCTTAAAGTAATTCTTCAAAAAGGGAGCGGCGTCTTTCAGTGGCGTTAGAATCAAGATTCGTTCGTTCCGGATGATAGCTTGGGGGCTTGAAGTGATCGGGTTCAAATCGACGTGTTGAATTGAGGGAGATTCAACTTTAAGAGGCTTGTGGTGGTTGAAAAGGACCGGTGTTTGCATATGCGCATTCCACAAGGCATGTTCGTTTGGTGTCATTTCCATGGGTGACTTATTTGGGCCCCAGCATCGAACACTGTACAGTTGTCAGCCATTGTACGGTCTCGATTATGGTTGTGAGTGTAAGTACTTCTGTGGTCCAGGAGGTGCTGCTCGAAGACTACGGTATAATAGCATCACGATGCCAGTCAAACCCAGAAGGAGAAGCAACCGAGACCGTGTCATGTTGTTGCGCAACACTCTGCTCTGGGGCATCTGTGCCCTTGCAGCCTTCCAGTTGAGCCCACCATTGGAAAGAAGCATAGCGACTTTCTCGAGTGGTCGTTCCGACCACTGAGTCGTCTATAATCGTCTGTCGCAAGTTCGATACCGGAGCTGGCCACAGCCCTTCGCACGTTGTCGTCAGCAGGTAGATGATGAGAACTGCCTCTTTTGGTTTCGGTACGTTCGATGTCGTCAATTGCGCTGTAGCAATTCGTTGCCGTACCACAGAGCTTCGGTGAGATTTAGGACAGCCCTCGCGTTATCGGTCGTGGTTGTGGGCAGAGGATACCCTGATATGCTTCGTACAGGGGTTTCGCTAGACGCTTTGAGGCTGTTGCTGTTTGCGCAAAGACTCTAGTGTATCCAAAGTAGCCACTTAGGATTCGATAATATTCGCATTGATCGAGATTCGACGGTGAAACCAGAAACGAGTGTGGTGGCTCTCAATAAGCAATGTGTGCAAGTGAACTGACGTGGGATGTGAATAAGCCAGGTCAGGTAAATAAAACAAACCAGTATGGATGGATGACATTACGTTGCAACAGCTCACTTCCACGAGGTGCAGTGTAGGAGCCCCCAGGTGTTACACGGGGCAGGGATCCATACCTACCTCTAGGCTTTGTAGGTATCCGACGGGACCCTTTTAGTGCTTCCGGAAGCAATTCTCCAGTGGAGTTAGCTGTCAGGTCCGCTGTACTGTGACTGATATACCTACCTCATGCCTTCCATGGATATCAAGAGTGGGTACTATAGGTGTCTACTAAGGTACTTACCCGGTAGCATCTAGAATGAAATGGCTTTCAGTCCTTGGTTCATCGTCCGATGGATTCTGTGTTGTGCTATTGAGATAATAGCACAAGAGCGATTGTGTTTAATCTCCGAATTTCTATCATAACCTAGCACGTGGATATATCAAGTTAAACTCTTCCGATGTGGAACCCGTTGTGAAACAGTATTGAGTTGTAACCATTCGCATAAGATAGGATCAAATGGATAAAACACACACATGTACCTAGGAGAAAGTGACTTATACTCTACCGATAGATAGGTAGGTAGGTATACCGGTATCCGCCTGATTTGAAATCAAGTGCCAGGACAGGTGCTGTCGGGTTGATATGGATTAGCAACCCTACAACAATGGCGCAACTGTCCACTCACTTCTTGAATGACTACACCAACCTTTCATTTGTCTCCATTCGAACAGATGAATGATCAGATGCTTATACTGCATATCTCCATAGCTAGGTATTTGGCACCTAACAATGATATATCTTGTTGTTTAGCATCTGGATAGGTATCCATGATTGGATCTTCATCCGCTGACGTCTTGTGTTCCAGAAGCGCCAAGAAGATCGACCAATGACATAGGCAGGGCGCACTTGCCACAACCTACCTTATACTTCCTTCTGACGAACGTGAAGTAGAGCAAGACGACTTCATTTATCATCAGACATAGTCGACGAATTTCATGAAACGAAAGACCAAAATCTGTCGAAGACACCGAGCATAGCGGGTATTGATCGTCAACTCATTTATCTCATGCGCGCTGTGCTCTTACGACACTATCACTCTTTCGTCACCCAGCTATTCGCATCACAATCACAACCATTTAGGACGAAGATAAGATCAGGTCACATCATGGCTGTCACAAGGCGCTCTTCACGTATCAGCACCATGGCTGTGGCGAAGGCCGAAATGCCTGCCAAAACGACATCAGACACTAATAATCGAAAGCGCAAAGCTGCCAAACTCCAAGACGGGGCACAAGCACCTGCTACACCTCCAAGAAAGCGTGCACAAGGCAAGCCTGCGACTCCAGCAGCTCCGCCACCAGTAACACCAACGCCGGCTGCTGCAAGAGCTTTTGCTGATCCTACAAGTTCGAGCAAGAAACCTCGCAGTGCGGCGGTTACACGACTTGCGGACCCAAAGCTGACAAATGCGACACTCCTCTCACCAGAGACATCAAGGCTTGTCGCTTCACGAGGACTTGAAAATGTCTCGCCCAGTAAGGCTCCTCAGGTCAAAACGACAACGGAGAACCTGCTGAAGGAGGCCTGTGATTATCTTATCAACGTTGATGCTCGCATGAGGCCTTTGGTCGAGAGCCATCACTGTCGAGCCTTTTCACCGGAGGGACTCGCAGAGAAGATTGACCCGTTTGAAAGCCTGTCGAGTTCCATAATCGGTCAGCAAGTGTCAGGAGCAGCAGCGAAGTCAATCAAAACCAAGTTCATTGCGTTGTTTGAGCAACAGCCTGGTGTACGATTTCCCCATCCATCACAGGTGGCCATGAAATCCATCGAGGAACTGCGGACAGCAGGACTATCACAGCGCAAAGCTGAGTATATCAAGGGACTCGCCGAAAAGTTTGTCAGCGGAGACCTGAGTGCCCAGATGCTTCATGATGCTTCGGACGAGGAAGTTATGGAAAAGTTAATTGCGGTCAGGGGTCTCGGGAAATGGTCTGTCGAAATGTTCGCGTGCTTTGCCCTCAAAAGGATGGACGTCTTTTCGCTCGGTGATCTAGGCGTTCAGAGAGGAATGGCTGCCTTTGTCGGACGTGATATCGCCAAACTCAAGGCCAAGGGCGGTAAATGGAAGTACATGTCGGAACAGGATATGATCGAGTTGTCGAATAAGTTCTCGCCATATCGAAGTCTCTTCATGTGGTACATGTGGCGAGTCGAAGAGACAGACATTAGCATCATGGAGTAAACAAGTTACGTTGCCAGGTCGGCGATGGCGCCTGTGTTTGTTATCTTGGTGCTATTCATGTGGTGTTGACTGCATATGCTTCCACAAGCACTGTTACATTGAATGGTGATGTCACGACACCGACTCTCATGCAAGTTAGTGCTCGATGGTCCAGACCCGGGAAAATGAGCCCGGAATACGCGTTCAACAATGGTTACATACTATAGTGGTACTCTTTGTCCAAACGCATTGACATGGTTGAGAATGTTTTCTCCTACAAAAGTGCATGGTAGTCTTCATTGGTGCAAAGTATCGCATCAAATAGTCAACACCCATTGGCTTACAGTAGTTTCGTGAAGACATGATTCGTCATCGGCGATCGGCCCCAGGGGAGGCCTTCTTTTGTGGATTGGCTCCTGCAACGGCGTGAAAGACGGTTGCGCCACGAATCGGACCTAAGACGCCCTTGCCGGACTGCGGCGGGCCTCGATGCATCTACAACGCAAAGGTTGCGATAGACAAAGAAGAGCAAGATGGGTTTTGCAACAGATCAGTCGCACGGCTACGTGTTCAAGATTGGCCCTAGCTCATCCATCCGGCTAGAATAACAGTTTTAATGGCTCAAGCCGAAAAGCCAAAGACGATTAGCCTCCGGAAAGAAAACTTTGATCTACATGCTGCGACCACTTCGCAAATCGCGAACTCGCTGGGAGTCTCCTTGGCACTGGATGCGGGATGTGGGACAGACTTGGCCAGCTTGGCTAGCTAGCGATAACTGGCTGGGAACGAAAGATATGGAAAAACCATCCTGGCCATTTGCCATCCCACACAAAGTTGCAGGCTTGGCTGCGTGTGGAGAGTACAACGCGTCGAGGAGGTGGACGGGTATGCTTGATTTACACGCGGCAATGGAATGGAGGCGCAGACTCGAGGCTCTTGGTCGTTGGACAGCGGGAAGATTCGGCCGAGCAGCCGACGGGAACAAATCATCGCATTCATTTGCACTAAACTAGTTCAGCGTTGCCTGTCATCTGTATCGATGACTTTTCTCAGTCAGTCAGGCAAAAGTTTCTGGTGGGAAGACATTCAGGGTTGACTGGCAATGAATGTGAAGTGAGACGAGGAACCCTGGAAAGCCATTGTCTGAGATAGAAGGTACGCAGGGGAAAATTGCTTTGTCGATTGGTTTTAATTACTTGGATGATTATCATCATGATTATGATGATCCTCGATTGAACCAAGGACTTTTTTCTTTCTGAAAGTGAAACCAAAATGATAACAAGTTTATGGGTTCTCGAAGCCTGGCAACAAAACAAACCAGGGGCGGATTTGGGTTAAGGGTGGTGTGAGAGAGTGCTTTTTAGAATCGCAACACTGGATCTATCCGTAGCATGCCCCAGTCTAATGAGTGACTTCTCTCATTATCCACAGCGATATACGGATAGGAGTGGCCAGGATTGATACAGGATGATCGCCTGAAAAGACTGAGACTCATCTTGAGTCCGTAAAGCACGTGGGTTCGGTGACAGGCGGGCTGCAGATTAAGTTATCAGTCAGGCAATATCTTTTTCAAGCCGCATAATATAAAGGACTCAGATAGCAAATGAGAGTCAATACTATAAGATTAGATAAAGATGAGGAATGACGATGCGAAGAAAGGGAGAAGCTTTGGGCATCCTTGGTTGGTATCCCTGAAAGCTTCCGGAAGCCCTGTTGCCGACCTAGATACGGATACATATTTAGTATCGTATCGTATTGGCAATATCAAATCTCAATGTCATTAATGCTTAGCGCTTCCAATTCTTAATGAAGATCAAGCAGATCAGTCAATGAATGTTAGTTCACTGGGCAGTGGAGGTATGGTTGGACAGCTTTTCGTGTCAGTACTGTAACTATACCTTGTGCGCTGCATGCTGTAGTGCGCCTCGGTCTTGACAGATCCGCCGTGTTACAATTGCCACAAACAAATATCATGGTGAGTGAGGCTGAGTTCTTGTCTTATAGAAGTCATGACGTCTTGGTGGGAGAAGGGGAACTGAAGCTTCTGATTCCAGACCCAGGCTGGATCGCAAGCGGATACGGGCGAAACATGAGAGGCAAATGGAACAAGACGAGTTTGACCGGGAGTGCGGTGAATTGTCTCCGTCTGTTAGCAGATACTTCAATCAATGCTTGGCGGAAGGCCTGAGACAGGCGAAGGCATCTGGTGTTGGAAGTTCCTCGCTATCATAGCTCGATTTACCTTCTGGGGACATGGGGATGATAACCCCTGCTAGTGGATATGCAAAGCGGATACATGAAGCAGCGCCCATAGCTGAAATGGGGTGCAAATCTCGCCTGCATGCGATGCGCTGGAATTAGAGGTACAGAGGTGAATTTGAAGCTAATTTAAGGAACAAACGCCAGGGAATATCATGATAGAAAGACTTGTCTGGAGATAAACACGAGGAAACTCACGTCTCTCAAAGGGAATGCATTATCCCGTTAAGGAAGGTTAAGAATTACGTTAGACGTGAATTCACGAGTAAAGGTAAAGGTAAAGGTAAAGTCTAACGGTACCGATGATACGGGTGCTTCGGCGGCCAGAGATGCGGTACCTGATAGACCCCGCTAATGCACCTGTAACGACTCTAGTTAAAGTCAAAGATTAGGTGCGGGCACCCGCGGCCTAACCTGTAAAGGACTGGACCTGTTGATTGTTTTGGTCTGAATCGATACAGGACTGGCCAAAAGCATGAAGCAAAGTGTTGTCATGATTGTTGCATCTCGGGCTGCTGACGCGGCCGTTAAGCATAAGATCCTGTCAATGCAGAGAGTATGAATGCTGTGGGTGTATATCAGACCTTGGCTCGAGTGATATGGAAGTAGCAAAAAAGAGCATACATATGGTTTACCCACTTTCATCTATAGTATGTCGCCAGCCGAGGCAGGAAGAGAAGGGGAAGAAAAAAAAAAAGTCAATGATTTCCATGCTAGTGTCTTGATAGACACTCAATGGTTGTCGATGGACAATAATTTGGTGATGCATCTCTCTGCACCGTATCCGTAGATAGGTACTGACTGAGGCAGACGTGGGCCCATCCATCCACGGGCATGTCTCTTAACCATTTAGTAGGAAATTAGTGCATGCCGCCCAAATGGAGATATTTCTCACACCAGGCTCATGGGCCGCCACACCCGTTCGCACCTTGACCTCGCCCTGGCATCTCCTCGAGCCGGTCACTGGCCTCTTTCGGGTCTTGTTGTCTGAGAGCCCCTGGATCGATGGAGCCGAAACTGGCCTGTTGGTGCCCTGCTCTGTCACTTTGCCATCCAACTTGGAACCCACCTAGCTTCCAAGCCACCCTTGTTAGCCATTGCCATCCTAGCTTAGCCAACCCCCATGTAGGCGACGCCGAATTCCCACCGTGCACTCATCTCGGTCGACATCTTTCATCTCCTCCCTCCCATTTCCTCCTCCTCTTTTTCTTCCCCTTCGTCGAACTCTTACTTCCTCTCATTGTCAGTAATATTCTCGTTCAGTTTTTCTCTTCACGCCACTCGTTTCCTGTCAGGCTCAATTGTGACTTTTCGTCCATACGCCAGACCTTTATCTACCTAATTCAAGGAAATATCTGTACGATTATTCCCTGCTGCATATCTCGATCGTTCGCCGAGAAACCACCCAAGGATTTTAAATAAACACCATCCACAAAATCGCAGGATCTTTTCCAATTACAAAACAGGTACGTATTGAACTGGACGATCGAGTCACTGGGTCGACTATTCCAGCTCCAGCTCGCCGAGACGCGAATTCACTTGGCTTGTGCTTGTGCTTGATTGGTTTCAACCGACCCGTTCCGTGTCTCCTACCTTCTGTTTTCTTTTCCTCCTCCCTCACCTGCCTCGAACTACCAACCTTCTTCACTACATCGTCTTCCTTCTCTATATTCTCAGCGTCTTGGGTCTTTTCTATTTTTTAGATCTGACTTCTACGCTTCCTTTCTTTCTTCCCTCCCTCCTTCCACATCTATCTCACATCTCCTAATAGGTTAGTAACCTCCAAAACACTCCTTTCCTCCAAAAGAAAAAGGGGTACACCAAAACATCAACATCTTCATGCAAACCTGTCCTGCCATTTCGCACTGCAGTATCACATTTTTCGAAACAACCACATCTTGGAGCGACATTCATACGAATAATCGCTACCAGCACTCAGCCTCCGCGCGATCGCTCTTAGTCGACAATATCTAATTGTGCTTATCTAGATCATAATGCATTCCGTTAAGGTTCTTTCTGCCATCGCGGCACTCGGTGTCTCTGCGGTTTCCGGTACGTTCTATACATCAATACGTTTGCGCTGGAACATGGTTGACGATTATCTGTAGCCGCCTCCACCTGCACCAGCAACATCAAGGTTTCCGAGCCCACCCCCAGCATTGACTGCGACGTTGTCGATGGCGATATTACTATCGACAAGGACGTTGCTGGTACCGTTGTTATCAACGGCCCCAAGCAGATCAAGGGTGACTTCATTGCCAAGGGTGCTGGCGACCTCATCTCTATTTCCAGTACCTCCATCAACGCCATTGGCGGCAAGTTCGAGCTCAGCAACCTTGAGTCTCTTAGCAACCTTGAGTTTTCATCTCTCACCAGCCTGGGCGAGCTTAGCTTCATCAAGCTTCCCCGTCTCGGTGAGCTGAACTTTGGTACCGAGGGTGTTACTAAGATCAAGACCATTCAAATCACCGATACCTTCATCAGCGATCTGAGCGGTCTCAGCGTTGCCACCGTCGAGAAGTTCCAGATCGACAACAACCGCAAGATGAACACCTTCAACTCTGACCTCGTCAACATTACTTCCGAGCTCAAGATTTTCGACAACGGAAACGACATCATGGAGATTACCATGAACAAGCTTGAGACCGCTGCCGAGATCCAAATCTCCAGCGCCAAGTCTTTCATGGTCCCTGCTCTCAAGGAGGTCACCAAGAGCTTGAAGCTCAGCGCCAACCCCGAGCTGAAGTCTTTCAGCGCCCCCAACCTGACTGTCATTGACGAGACTCTGTCTCTCATTGACATGAACAAGCTCACCAACGTCTCTTTCCCCGAGCTCGAGGAGATTGGTGGCGGTTTCACCATCCAGAACAACACCAAGCTTCTGGCCATCGATGACTTCCCCAAGCTTGAGAAGGTCACTGGTGGTATTGCTCTCCGCGGCAGCTTCGAGAAGTAAGTTGAAATCCTAATTATCTACAAACTTTTCTAACGTAAACTTTCACAGGGTCAAGCTCCCCAAGCTTGAGCAGGTTAGCGGCAGTGTCGTCGTTTCTTCCACTACCGATATCGAGGAGTTCTGCAAGTTTTTCGACGACATGAAGGATGACAAGAAGATTGATGGTGAGAAGACATGCTCTTTCAACAACAAGAACGCCAACAAGGGTGAGGACGGTGGTCAGAAGAGCGATGGTTCCGGTTCTTCCCAAAGCAACGAGGACGATGACAGTGCCGCCGGCAGCGTCAGCATCAACATGGCTGTCCTTGCCCTTGCCGGTGTCGCTGCTGTTGCCCAGCTCTTCTAAGCATAGATGAGGCAAGACTGTTAGCTTTTCTTTTAAAGGCGTCATTCTTTGTCGTCATCATGTTTTCCGACTTCTCTTTACGACATATTGTGCTTGGTCATCCTTCATGGGGCACAAATTGCTTTTCATGGGGGCGGTAACTGCGTGTAAAGGATAACCCGTTAGAGCTTAATAATCGATTGCATTTGGACTTTGAACGTTTTTCTCTTGGTTGTAGTGATGTCGCAGAATGTTACTAAGTAACTCTCTTACCTGCCGCTTGACAAAAACTCGGTCTTCATTTCATCGTGTTTGTCTTATGATCTTCTCGGTTGTTTCTGTGCAGTGGGACTGCTCTCGCTGTACCAGAAACAAGTAAACTGTCAACAATGAAGAGTGTATAAGTTGGACACTATTTATAACGATTATCCAGTTCCTGGTGTTCATGAAAGGGTCCTCCAGTATGGACAGCCCCTCGCACCTGGGAATATCACATCAACAAGAATGCTTTATCAGATATCCTGTACCTACAGTGTTTGACCTCTTAAGTCCTCCACAATTGGCCTTCTGGGTATCGTTGATTCTAAATACTGGGAAGAATCTGCTCATCTTCCTTCTTCTGCCATGAAAGTCATCTATCTAGTTATAGATCCCTTGTTCAAACTTCTCTGTATCATAGAATTCCGGTATGATCGTATTGCCATTAAACACGCGACCATCTAATTCGTTCACAGCCTGTGCGATCAGTTTAGCGGACTGAACCATAATCAGGTAAGAAAAGAAAACTCACTCTGAGTGCCGAAACCTGGTTTGTGAATTTGATGAAGACCTTGCGGCTCTCCTGGTCGATGTATAATCTCTCCACACGTCCGTACTGCGCCATCACCGTCAGCTTGAAGCACAGCATAATTTGAAGACGATACCAACATACCTTTTCTCCACACTCCTCTCCAATTTCTTGTCCTAGGCCTCCCGCAATTTCTTCCTGCAAATTAGGCATATTCTCCAGCATGTCTCGCAGTACTATAACATCGCTCATAGTGCCGAACTTGCCAGCATTTTCCTCCTTGCGTTTACCTCCGATGATTTTGCCCTTGCTGCCAGGCTCAGCCCAGCCACCGCCATCGGCATCGGCCTTCTTCCGTCGTTTCTCGACCTGTACGCGGAGGGGGTTGATAATTCCCGACTCGTTGGCGCCTAAGCCGCTACCTTTAGTCCACCCGTACTTGCTCATGAGTCGCTGTGCAAAACCCGTTTGTCCTGGGCGGCTTGACCGAGGTTGTAGATCATCGTCGGCTTGTGAAGGGGAGCCAGCACCGAGGGCCGGTGGCGGTGAGTATCCATCATCTTCTACATCTTCTCCTGCTGCTTCCTGCTCATTCTGAGTTTGAGTATATTTCACAGGAGCGCGTGATATCGTGGCTGAACTCGAAGTCACAGGGGGCGACGGTGGTGGAGCTGGAGGAGCCTGAGAAAGAGCTTGGCGACGAGCGAAGGCATCGTCTCCCGTCGCATCGTCTGGAGGAGGTACCGGGGCTGCCGCAGGAGGCGATTGAGGCGGTGGCGGTGGTACAAAGGAGTAGGAAGAAGGCGGTGCGAATTGATCTGGTGCTTAGTTAGCAGCAGAACACATGGGCATTGGTGATTGTACTCACTTGAAGGTACAGGTCGGGCGTCTTCATCCTCATCTGAAAGATCGCTCTCAACGCGTTTTCGTCGGTGTCTGTAAAGCAAAGCTTTCCAGTCTCTGACCTCTTGGACCTTCTCATCGCTATGAAGATACTCTTCCACGTTAGTTGGCCTCGTAGGATCGTATATGTCATCCCAATTGGTTTCTATATCTTCCTGTTGTCTCCTTTTCTTCTTCTTGCGACCACCGCGTTGCCGTTTCTCGCCCATCCCATACATCCACTCATCTTCTTCGGTAGCGGCCCAGTCGGCCAATGTAGTCTTTACTTGTGCAGGAGCTGGAGGAGCAATGGTAGGAGTCTGCTTGGAAGCAACGGCTTTAGGAAATGCTGGCTTTGTCTTTGTCTGTTTAACTTGTGGGCGGCGTATAGGTTGAAAGCGAAGGGCGGGATCAATGGGCTTTTTAGCAGTGGCTTCTGTCGATGCGCTGTCCGTCTGATTATAAAGGACGGGCGCCGATGAGATTGTGGCTGATGCTGTAGAGCTTTCGTTGGGATCGAGGAGGTTTTCGTAGAGTGAGAGCCCTCCCTGGGGAGGCGGCGGAGGAGGAGCGGCCATAGTTGTAGATAGACCAGGACGATGTAAGGCGTCTAGAGTTGGACAGTGTTTCAATCCGATATACTTTGTTCCTTTATTTCCTTAGCCCACGAGTAAATTCTGCAAGGCTTCTCTATTTATTCAAAACAGGAAACCGGGTGTCTCTTCGCATATCGTTTTTATGTGAAGTATTGTAGACCGAGACTGTTGGTTAAAGTATGAGCTTCCAGGTTGCGACAGCCCGAGCGAATGCGCCGGGTAAATAGCGGGAGCCAACAGGTGCCTGCAGAGCTTAGATGCCCAAGCCTCAGCAGCACCTAGCCACTCCGTGCCGGGCGGGCACCTACCTACTCTGTACCTGCCCCTCCAATGATTCACGTAGACCCCACCAAAACTTTGGGAAGCTCCCACTCAACCTAGTAGGCACCTATGGTGACTGCAGTTCTATGGCATGTCCATGTTTAAGCCCAAGTGATTTTAGGTTCTGCTTCATTTCTTCATTTCTTTCATTTGCATCTTACCACTGTATTACTGCGAATATCCGCGCATTACAAAAGTTTACAGCTGCTTCTAGCAGGCAGCCAAAGCTTGTTTCCTAGGTAGCGCAGATAAAGGAAGTGCTCTATTTCGAGGTGAAAATCGTCACTGGTCACCACCGCCTCCCCCACCATACCGACCTTTCTTCTTCACCCTGCGACCGAACTACTCTCTCACAACACCACAAATTGCCCACCATGGCCGACCTTGCGAGCCGCATTACGAAGCCCGAAGAGGGTGCCACCGAAACTCCCGCTAAGACCTCCGCTGAGACCCCCGTTGAGACCCCCGTTGAGACCCCCGTTGAGAATGCTCCTGCTGCTTCTGGCGAGCTTGGCCAAGTTGACGGCAATGTTGAAGACTTGGGCGGCTCTGGCCTCCAGGAGCCTGAATGGGATGTCGAAGTCTCCCTGAGCGAGCTCCAGAACAATGAAGCCACACCATTCCACTCTGCTACCACCTGGCAGGACCTCGGCCTGTAAGTGGAAGCCCATTCGCTGTACGAACCTCGCTCACAAATCTATTACAGCCGTGAAGACCTCCTAAAGGGCCTCCTATCCCTCAACTTCTTGAAGCCCTCCAAGGTCCAGGGCAAGTCCCTTCCCCTGATGCTCAGTGACCCTCCGCGAAACATGCTGGCTCAGTCACAGTCTGGAACTGGAAAGACAGCTGCCTTTGTCACGGCGATATTGTCGCGTGTCGACTTCAGCAAGCCTGACCAGCCCCAGGCCCTGGCTCTTGCACCCAGTCGAGAGCTTGCCCGACAGATCGAAGGAGTCATCAACGCCATCGGGCGCTTTGTTGAGAACAAAAAGGTTGCTGCCGCTATTCCCGGCGTCCTTGCTCGAGGAGAACCCGTCAGAGCTAGTGTCATTGTCGGTACTCCTGGTACAGTGATGGACATTATTCGACGCCGACAGCTAGATATCTCCCAGCTCCGTGTTCTCGTACTTGATGAGGCCGATAACATGCTGGACCAGCAAGGCCTGGGTGACCAGTGCCTACGAGTCAAGAAGTAAGAAATTGCAGAAATGATCAATACTTGATTGACATGTCGCTAATGAGTTTCGCAGCATGCTGCCTAACCATATCCAGGTGCTTCTTTTCTCTGCTACCTTCCCCGAGAACGTCATGAAGTATGCCACCAAGTTCGCTCCTAATGCGCACAGCCTCAAGCTGCAGCGCAGTGAGCTTACTGTGAAGGGCATCTCTCAGATGTTCATTGACTGTCCTGATGACAACATGAAGTATGACATTCTGTGCAAACTTTATGGTTTAATGACTATCGGCCAGTCTGTCATCTTTGTCAAGGTACGTGCCAGTTTGTATCATGGAGCTACAGAATGCTAACTTGACCACAGACCCGAGAAAGCGCAAACGAGATTCAGAGACGAATGGTCGCAGATGGTCACAAGGTTTCTGCCCTCCACGCCGCCTTTGATGGATCCGAACGAGACAACCTTTTGTCAAAGTTCCGTCAAGGCGAGAACAAGGTTCTCATCACCACCAATGTACTGGCTCGTGGTATCGACGTTTCCAGTGTGTCCATGGTTATCAACTATGACATCCCCATGAAGGGTCGAGGTGACTCGGAACCCGATGCCGAGACCTACCTTCACCGTATTGGCCGAACTGGACGATTTGGCCGTGTCGGTGTCAGCATCAGCTTCGTTTACGATAAGAAAAGTTTCGATGCCTTGAGCAAGATTGCCGAGATGTACGGTATTGATTTGGTCAAGCTTGATACCGAGGACTGGGATGAGGCTGAGGAACGTGTGAAGGAGGTGATCAAGAAGAACAGAGCCCAGGCTTCTTATGCCCCCAGTGCGACTGAACCTAAGGCCGCCGAAGGTGCTTAGTACACACCCGCGCCACAGGGACACGGTGCTGGTTACATGAACTTCCGCACTCCTAACTTTAACGGCGCATTTCACGGCATGGATACCAATGGAATGGCCAACAACGCCATGACCTATTAGGGCTGCATGTATCGCGATGGAATAATTTGCTGCGCCATGCAGTCGAGGCGAATATGTCGCCATCATGGATCAGCCAACTTTGACTTGGTTGTGCTGGCGCAGTGTTGAGATGAAGTATGATGACGGGCCAAATTTAGCTACCCTGTACATGTAGCATTTCATGCGGGCTCTGAGATACCAAATACAGAGAAAATCATTGTTTCTTATGACTTAACTTTCACTTGCTCCTTTCCCTTTCTGTCCTGTGACATATTATGTAAATGATGCATATGTAGTCTTCTACTTCTCTGTTTAGTTTGTGTTAGGAATAAATATATGTCTAAGCTATGAACGTCATGAGAACATTGGGGAGGTGATTCACGGTCTGAAGGTTGATCAACCTGAATTTTAAGAATAGCCTCTGCCTTAGGATCGTTAAAGACATATTGTGTGCTATTTCCGTTTCTTCTGGAAGGGCATCGTTGGTTGTAACAACGCAAGATTCAGATTGCGGTCTGTGTTGGAATTGATGCGCCGCTATTAATGGATGTATGGTTGACCTTTACCAGTACCAAGCTCCTTACAATCTTTTGCAGGTTCAAGGTAAAGCTCAAGCCAGTACAATAATACGGATAAAATAGTACGAAGAGTTTTAAGCTGAATAGATTATGCGTTAAGCATGCCTTTTTTCTCTTTTTCTCTTTCTTTTCCATCTCTGGAATGCGGATCTAGACTTGTTTCATGCGGTGTTACTGCAGCCCTATAAATGCAATGAGTAAAACTTAGGACGATAACTAAAACATGGAGTTACTGATAATTTAGGTTACAAATACCAACAAGTTCGTTCTCGGTTGAAGATTAGTATACGTAGCTAGATAATTGATAAATGTTTGTAAATGAGGTTGCTTCACGTGCTTGTAGGTAGACCGTTAGTTACAGATTCCAACTTACAAGAACTACTAAATCCTTGGCAGACCCAACCTTCACGATCCAGCCTCTTCATTTCTGACAGCCTCACTCACCGCTCTGCCAGAGCGTACCGCTCATGGCGCTACTGCCAGGAACAAATTTTATTCGTGTTACAAAGCAAGAAATACGACTTGCGGTGGAAGCTGTGGAGGCTCCTAAGTCACGACTCCAGAGATGGATGCATGTGATGATCATAACATCCATAACGGAGACGCAAAAACATGAGATCCGTGTCGTGGAGTGGACCTTTGTTTGAGATACCTACGCAGGTGTTAATGCTATCGTACATCCTTGGGTCTGTACTCTGCAGCTCAGCTCGCGCGACGCAGGTAACCTCAATTACGGTCGCTCATTACCAATAACGATGGCGAAGCGAGCAGACGACATGATGTTATCAGGCTCGACCAACCTCTTTTAGAGCCAGCCAACAGTAAGCCTGGAATAAGTCAGGCGTCGTTTCATCGAGAGGATGCGTTGTAACGGGATATACCAGTGAGAGAGTATCGTATCTATGTATGTATGTATGTATACATTGGATATCAACCATGATTGTCATCATTGACGACCCTACCCCACCGAAGGGGGAATGACCTACCTAATCTGAGGCCCGAGGGTTTCTGTGTCTGATATCGAGATGCATAATGGGTCTGCCGGAAGAAGCTTCAGAGGCGAGCCACGTTGCACATCTGGAGCAACTAAACCGCTCAGTTGCAGCTATCCACCACCGATCGACCTGTCGAGTCGTCCAAGGTTTCGAGATGTTGTCCTCCACCCGGGACGTACTAGCGAGGCCCGTACCGGGATCCGCCTGCAAGGAGCGGTGTTTGGCGTGGGGATGGCGGGACGAGACGACTTGATCAACCACCGATATTGATTGAATATTGAAGTCGACTCGGATAAGTCTGCAGTTGGCGGTGGACCAGTCCAGTTGCGTATATTGATCGACCATGACTTGAGGCTCAATCAATTATTACCACGCCTCCATCTAAACCAAGTCCTGCGACACTAAAAGTTTCTGCATTGGGCATTATCGCTCAAAAGGTTAACTTATTCATAGTTTGGGCTATTTCCAGTATCTACCTCATGGCTGTCACCATGTTGACTACCACGCTTGGTTCAAAATCGCTTAATTGTCATGCTGGCAGCGGGCCGTCTCATGCAGGTCCGTACTGATTCTGCTATCAAGAGACGAGTCTTATTGGGCCGCGATAGGCCTCATCGACACTTGGCTTGACCTGATGATTCAATGCATCATTGTTCAACCTCGTCAAGTCTTGATCGCCCCGTCTCCGTCAGGCTCGCCTTACTGTTAGGTGCTGTGCTCTACATGGAACCCAACCGCCCCAGCGACGTGGCGCCAGCCAGCGTCGGTCCTGCATGGGCCAATTGCGCATAGGCACGATGCAGCACTCGCGGGCTGTAATCCATGGGCCTTGGGCGTCTGTGGCCCATGGCAAGCAGGGGACTGGGCATTGGACCAGGCTTTGTCAGGCCTGCATGCTTTCCATTTTTTCTCCAGCAGTAGGGAAAGCCTTTGAAAGAAATGGACCCATCCAACGTTCGCCTCAAGAATACCCTCTCCATCGTGAATGACCTCTCCGGACCTCCCACCCGTTAGGTTCGCCCGTTATGATCCGAGCCTTGCATCTTGCAAATCAACGTTATTGACCTCACAACCCTTTCGATTTCTGTCTTACCGTCCAATAGACGTTTTTACTGTTATTTTCCCCCTGCTGTGCTGTCGCCTGCAGTACGCTGCATGATACCCCAAGCCCAAGCCCAACGCCTATCCACCCCCATCCGTCCACCACCCATTTGCGACACACAGACTAACTTAACTTTCTGTTGTACCGTATACGCTACAATTATTACGGGTACTTCCTAATAAGTTAGGTAGGTAGGTACGAGGCTTGATACTGTAGCTTCAGGATTCGGAAGCTATCACACTCGGTGCCCTGCTGCAGCTACCCGATTGCCTAACTGGCTTGCTACGTGCTGCAAGAAGCAAGATAATAGACTTGTTCCCCAGGTTTCTCTTGTTGAGATTCTTTTTTTCATAATGTCAGGTGTTGACACAGAAGAGAAAGTATGAGTTACGGCTACGGCTACGACTATTACCCTGGCCCCGGTGGTAGGACACAAATTGATTGGAGCAATGTACAGTTTTCCAATTTCTCGAACGTTCAATACTCAAGACCCGAGTTTTCAGATGCGGAGGATGATGCTGAGAATCAATACCAAGGTGAGTTGACTTGATATATTGCCAGCGTTTTTGTTCTATTTTTATACTGAAACATCCGTAGGCGGAGATGGGTACACACAACCACTCACAAGAGTGCCTTCATCACCACTATCAAAGAAGGATAAGAAGAAGTTGAAGAAGCAGGAGAAGGCGGCGGCAGCACAAGCCGCCTTTATCCCACCTCCACCCCCATCACAAGAACCTCCAGCACCTCCAGTACAAGATGAGCCTCCACCATCCCCATCCTCTAGTAAGAAGAAGAGCAAGAAGAGTAAGAAGAAAGACAAAGACAAAGAGTCAAAGTCCCTGCCACCAGCTCCTTTAGTACCAGTTCTCCCACCTCCAACTGCTGAGGAAAGCAAGGAGCCGGAGAAGGTAGAAGAAGTGAAGGAGGCAGAGACAAAGACTGACGAACCTGAACCGGCCGGAACACAGGACAAAGCCGATACTGAGGATGCACCAGCCGCGGAGGACAAGGCTACTGATGAAGAGATACCCAAAGCCGAGACAGTGCCCAAGGAGGACGGGCCAACTGAAGACACCAAAGATGACGAAACTCACAAGGAGGTAGCACCCGTTGAAGAGACATCTGTAGAGGAAGATGCACCTTCGAACGAGACGCCCACTACCGAAGCGGGCAAGGAGACTACTGAAGAGCCAGCTCCAGCTCAAGACGACACAACTGACAAGGGGGATGCACCCCAAGACGAAGCTACCCCAGACGATAAGCCTACAGACGACGCACCTAAGGAAGAAACTGCCTCAGATGAGCAACCTGTGGAGGAAACCCCTGCGGCAGAAGCACCTTCAGTCGACGAACCTACAGAGACTCCAGTGGTAGAGGAGACATCATCCAAAGATAATGATGCACCTATTGCAAAGGAGATGCCCGCTGGCGAAGAGTCTCTTTCAACGGGTGAGAAGGCAGCTGAGCCAGAGCAAGCTGAGACTTCAGAAAAGGTGGATGATGGTGATGATGGGCCTGCAGTTGCTGCTGAAGTCAAATCTCCGAGCAAGGCTCAGAAGAAGAAGAAGGACAAGGAGAAGGAGAAGGAGAAGGAGAAGAAAGAGAAGGAAAAGAAGGAGAAAGAGGAGAAGGACAGGAAGAAAGCAGCTGCAAAGGCCGATAAGTCTCACCATCACAAATCAAAACACTCACATTCTTCATCAAAGGAGAGTGGCTCATCCAAGGACAAGGCCCTCAGCCCACCGCCTGTTGCTGAGGACAAACCAGAAGAGGTGACCGCACCGGCTGAACTTGTCGCCGAGGACGTCAAAGCTACTGAACCTGAAGTAGAGGCTCAGCCAGCGGAAAAGACGTCGGCTCCTCCGGAAGAGCCAGCACCGTCGAAGGAAGAGGAGCATTCGGAAGAGCCAAAGCCTATCGAAGAGACTAAGGCCGTCGAGTCAGAACCTACCGAAGAGCCGAAGACTGTGGAGGAGCCCTCATCGGAGGAAGTGAAACCTGTAGAGGATCCAAAGCTGGCCGAGGAGTCAAAGCCTTCAGAAGAGACAGATCCTGTCGAAGAGCCAGAGCCTACCGAAAGGGCAGAGCCCACCCAAGAGGTAATGACTGAGGAGGATCCCGTGGCAGAAGGTGTGAAATCCGCAGAAGAACCGAGCACTGTAGAGGAATCCCCAGCGAGCGACAAGCCCGACGAAGCCGAAGCTGAGCCCAAGCCTACGGAAGAGACAGGACCTCCGTCAGAACCTCCAGCTCCAACTCCAACCGACGAACCTGACTCAACAAACGAAGCCCCGGCTGAGGAGAAACAAACAGAAGAGCCCCTACCTGCGCCTGTCGTAGCGGAGCCGTCACCCGAGACTGCTGAGGCAGAGGATGACAGCAAAGCACCCCAAGCTGCGGAAGAACCCCAAGCTGTGGAAGAGCCCCAATCTGCAGATGACTCCAAACTCGAGGTAGGCAAAGTCTTGGTAGCGGATGAAGCGTCTTCCTCGGAACCCGCACCAGAACCCGAGAAGGAGCCTGAAAACGAAGCCCCTGCAGCTGGAGAGGAGGAGAAGGCGTCTGGAAAAGACAACGAAGACTCCCCTGAGTCGGAGAACAAGTTGGAGTCGGCAGACGAAACCCCTGCGTCGACGGAGAACTTTAATGCCACCGAGAATGTACCCTCCAAGGATGCGGAAGGCGAATCAGAATCCAAGCCAGTCGCAGACGAGGCCCCATCAACTTCAGAAGACCCCATTCCCTCTGAAGATAAGGCCGATGAGAAGAAATCTGCCGAAGTTGAGGAATCTAGCGAACCCGAGAAAACAGATGCCGAAGTCAAGGACAACGCTGATGTAACCGCACCCCCTGACGTCGAGGACAAAGGCGCGGAAGATGAGGCACCAGCTGTCCTCCCCGACGAGAAAGATTCCGCCAACGACAAGGAGTCATCTTCTACAGAAAAAGCCGACGATGCGCCAGCCGTGAAAGAAACAGCAGTTCCAGACGAGCAGCCTTCAGAAACAGATAAGGTAGCTGGCGATGAGACAGCTGGTGAACAGGAACCGAAGTCGGCGACAGAACCACTAAAGGAAGACGCTACTCTCGAGGAAGAGGTTCCTAAGGAAGAAGCTCACATGGAAGAAGCTCCCAAGGAAGAAGCTCCCAAGGAAGAAGCTCCCAAGGAAGAAGCTCCCAAGGAAGAAGCTCCCAAGGAAGAAGCCCCTCCAACGGAGGCCACTCAGGCAGAAGATATGACCGCTTCAACAGCAAAGAAGAATAAGAAGAAAAAGAAGAAGAAGGGCAGCAAAAGTGGCATCGAAACACCCCAACTCAGGGCGGAAACCGAGCCAGTAGTTGTTGCTACTGATCAGGCGACAGCCGAAGTCACGTCCGAGCCCGCTGCCGAATCTGAAGCAGTTAAACCAGAAGTTACTGCTGAGCCTGAAGCTACTGAGCCTGCTGTCGAGCTTACTGCCGAAGCTACTACTGAGCCTGAAGTTGCTGCTGAAACTGCCACAGAGCCTGCCGCTGAAGCTGCTGCTGAGCCTGCTACCGAATCTGAAGCAGTTAAGCCCGATGCTACCGCTGATAAGCTGGTCATTGAAGCTGCCGCTGAGCCTGAAGCTATTGCCGAGCCTGAGCCTGAGCCTACTGTCAACCCTGCTGCTGAAGCTACTACTGAGCCTGAAGTTGCTGCTGATCCTGTCGCTGAATCTGAAGCAGTTAAGCCAGAAGTTGCTGCCGAGCATGAAGCTTCCGAGCCTGCTGCTAAACCTGAAGCTACTGCTGAGCCTGAAGTTGCTGCTGAGCCCGAAGTTGCCGCTGAAGCTACTAAGCCTGAGCCTGCTGCGGAACCAGAAGTTGCTGTCGAGCCCGAAGTTGCTGCTGAGCCTGAGCCTCAGCCTGCCGTCGAGCCGGCTGCCGACCATCAATCTGTCAAGCCCGTTGAAACCCCTGCAGATGAACCTGCCACTGAGCCTGCTTCCAAGCCTGCTGCTACTGAATGTGAACCTCTGGTCGAATCTGAGGCAGACGAGCCCGAAGTTGGTGAAAAGGCTGGCTCCGATGAGCCAACCTCGGATCCTGAAGCTATTGTTGAGCCGGTTGAAAAGTCAACCCCCGAAACTGCGGCGAAGGAGCCAGTCGACGAGCCGGAAGCTGTCGACAAGTCTCGTCTCCATGAACCAACCCCCAAACCCGAGACAGCTGCTAACCCCGGATCTGATGTGGAAGATACCTCCGATGAATCATCCGAGGACGAGCTTACGCCTGATCCTCCCAAAACTGAGTCTCCTACTGTTCAATTTGAGCCCACAACCGAACCAGTTGTGAAGTCCACGCCAGCCTCCGGGCCCGCCGATATTTCTGAGACAGACTCTGATGATTCTGCCTCTGAGCCAGACCTTGATGAACCTTTTACAACGACTGAGCCACCCAAAGCTACTGAGGAGGCTCCCGAGCCAGTCCCAGTCCCTGATAAGCCAGCCGCCAATACCGAGGTTACCGCTGAACCGGCAGAAGAATCTACACCTGAATCCGAATCCGAATCCGAGTCTGAATCCGAGTCTGAGTCTGAAGCTGCTCCTGAAATGGTGAAAGATACTGCCGAGGCTGTTACCAAGACAGAACGAAACTTGGAGTCTGAAAACGTGTCTACGTCCAAAGTCGATCTTTCTCCTGCACATGAGGACTCATCCGACGACGAATCAAACACTGAGCCAGACAATATTACTCTCGCAGAGAATGGTGATAACAAAGAGTCTGACAGTTCAGAAGACAAATCGACTGAACTTGCTACGACTGCTGATACCACTGTGAATCCTGCTGAGCCACCGACAGAGGAAGTTCCAGAGGTAGCCAAGGAAGAGGCGTCACTGTTGGAAGAGAAGGACAACTCCGAAGAGGCTCCAAAAGAGCCCAAAGTACCTGATCTAGCCGTGGAGCCTCAGCAGGAAGACACTACGAAGGGACCCGAACTGAAACCCGCCGCCACTGAGGATAAAGACAACACAGTGGTGACGGAGATGAGCGAGTCAGAAGCTACATCTGACAGTGAAGACGACGAAGACAGCGCTTCCGATTCTGAACACCCTCAAACAGAGAACACTGCAGCTGCAGGAACGGAGTTGCCTGTCGAGACTGCAAAACAAGAACCAGTAACTACCGCGAAGGATGAAACTGCACTCACAGAGCCATGTGTCGAGCAGAAGGATGAGCCCTCGTCTCCTGAGGCTACTGCCGAAACTGTTGATACACTTGCCGCCCCTGACAATGGAGAAGTCGAGAAATCGCCAACAACAACGACCCATGCTATCGAAGCAGAGGGACCGACTGGTTCTGTCGACAAGACGGAGCCAGGATCCACAGGAGAGCTGGCTGATTTACCTCAGGTGATGCCAGAATCTACGGATGAGAATGTAGCCGCAGTAGAAACAGGATCTGCTGAGGTAGCTGCCCCTAACGATACTGATCTTGAACCCAGTGCCAGTGAAACTGCTGCGTCTACTACGGAAAAGGTTGGCGATACAGAGGCACCAGAGCAGTCTGCCACGCCGGGAGATGATTCACCAGTGGACAATGACAACACCTCCCAAGTTTCTGATGCTTCCGATACAGATGAGGCAAAGCCCAAGGCCAATAGCGACGTAAACAAGGAAGTAGCTGTCAACGCCGAGGCAGCCGTGCCGGAGTCTATCGACGAGGTGGTGCAGGACAAAGCCGTACTCAACGACGAAACAACCAAGGAAGGCGAGAAAGATGACAAACTTTCACTCGAAGATGAAGCTGAAGAGGCGAAAGAGTCGATCACCTCTGAAGCAGATGACAACAAACCAGACGAAAGCCCTCCTGTTCCTGTGGCGGCAACGACAGCGCCAGATGAACCTGCCGTTGAGGACGAAGATAAGCAACCTGTCGAAGAGGCGACAAGTCTGGAAGAGAAACCAGAGAACGAACCGTCACCCTCGGAAGACAAGTCAGCGGACGCGGTGCCTACCTCGGAAGACAAAGGATCGGACGTGTTACAGCCTGTGCAACAGCCAGCCAAAGACCCTAGCCCTTCTGAAGAAGCTCCTATTGATGAAGTTCCTGCAGTTGATGACAAGGAAGAGACAACGGACGAGTCTTTACCTGGCAAGCCAGAGGAAGTAGGAGATCCGGTGTCGGAAGAGAAACCAGTTGTTGAAACACCTGTAGTCCCCGAAGATTCACAGGAAGTTGCTGAATCTTCCGAGGAGAAGCCAACAGTAGCAGAGGTGACGGCAGAGACCAGCGAAAAGCTCGAGGATGGCACAACAGATCCTAAGGAGAACACGGAGGAAGTGCTTCCAGCGACTGATGATTTGGGAGAAGACAAGGCTTCAAGCGCTGTACCTGATGTCACAGTCGAGCCTGACAACAAACCCGAAGAAGCAGCTCAGCTTGACGAGCCAAAACAAACGGTCGAGCCTACTGATGAGAAATCGGCTATCGAAGCTCCTGCACCCCAAGACGATCAACCCAAGGAAGTGGACATCACCGCCGACAAGGAGTCGAATGCAGAGCCGCCAACAACCGAAGACAAGCCAGAGGAAGTCACTGAGGCATCTAACGACGAGCCCAAAGAGGTGGATATCCAGGATGTCGCACCGGCAGACGAAACCCCTGCACCTGATGTTTCGAAGGAAGTCGAGGTTTCTGAAGCCGAGCCAGCTGTGGAGGTTCCGCCACAAGACAACGACTTAGATACAGGGGCAAAGGTTGAGCCAGCCGATGAGAAACCGGTGCCTGAGGTGAAAATGGCCGAGGAAGAACTGATAGCTCAAGCCCAAGAAGAACCAAAGGGAGATTCCGAACCGGCTGACAAGATTCCAGAAGAGGAGGACAAGCCTGTCGAAGAGGAGCACATTGAGACTCCTGCAGCCTCTGACGATAAGGCAGGTGAAGATACCAAACCAACGGAAGAGCCACCCGCCCCTACGCCCGGAGCCGAAGATGAGCTCAACCAGCCACCACCCGCTGCTGTACAGGAAGAATCCAAGGAAGTCGCTGCAGCCGACGAAGCTACGGAAGAGGCAGAGGCACCCGCCACAGAAGTCATACCTACTTCCGAGGAGCCTCCGGCCGGTGATGCAGTCTCTACTGACGACAAGGCAGCTGATGACTCCAAGGACCTTGAAGAAGTCGTGACACCAACAGCTCAGGAACCTTCTCCGCCAGAAGGGGAGGGAGAAGTGAAACCCGCAGAAGAAGCAGCAGCCCCGGATCCCGAGGACACCACTGCCAAACCCGTTGATGACTCTGCTGATGCACCTCCTGCTGAAGCAGAAAAGAAAGAAGACGAGCCAACCAAAGCCACTACCGAGGAAGATACGAGGGCGAAAGAAGATGAAGAAAGCAAGGACACTCTCGGACCAATTCCAAGGACTAAGAGGCCGGTCAAGAAAGGTGAGGAAAATGGTTTACTACAAAATATTTCTTTTGATTTTACACAAGAGTCGGGGAGTTCCATGGAGTTGCTTTCCGACGATACCCAGAAACTTCAACAAACACAAGGCTACGAGGAGAACACAGAACTCGAAAGAACCGCTCATCACCCGAGCCAGTCGTCAGCGACTGAAGTACCGGGTGAACAGAATAACCAGACTGTTACAGAAACCACGATGCCAGGACTACAAGAGAAGATCGCTACAGAAGCGGATCAAAAACCTACAACTCTGGAATCTGTGGAAAGTGCAGAAGATCTTGATCTACCTGGTAGCGATCTGGTCGAGAACGAGAACCCCCCAGCCACCAGCACCAGCACCAGCACCAGCACCAGCACCAGCAGCGCTAGAGCCCCCACAACACGCGCTCCACAGGAACAGGGGACTCCGGACCAATCAGCAGACATCATCAGGGAAACTGTCGCTGAGGACTCAACTGCTACTGCAACTCCCCAGCCTCTGCAGTTGGAGACTGAGACACTTGCCGGGGACCGAGAGCCAGAGTCTGAGCCATCTTACAATACTCATGATGGCAATGAGAAGTCTGATAGAATGGAATCAGATTTGCCAGCCACATATGCTCGTAGCACATCTTCAGCCTCGGCTTCGGCAATTTCTGATGATGATTCAGAAACTTCAGCGCCTTCGCACATAGCAGCTGAGAAATCCCGAATACATCCTCTCGACGACAGAGACAGCATCAGCCACGTCGAACCAGATACCAACAAGTCATCGTCAGGCCTATTACAACCTATCGATACACTGGAAATCGCCCATCAACCCAGGATTCTGGAAACCGACTTCGGCAACGTACTGCCGACTTCTCGAGAACTGCCTCAGGAGTCTCAGGCGAGCCTCATAGGACCCAATGGAGAGGAAGCAGATTCCAACCTCTCGGATGATGAATCCATTGATGATGATGAGGATGAAAAGTCGGAATCGGAGGAGCTATCGCGGAGATCTCAGGCCCCAAGCCATACTCAAAATCTGGAACAGCTGCAGGCCACAGAGCCAGCCAAAACTCAAGAAATCGACACGATTGTGGATGATGCCCCCAAGCATGAGGGCTTTGGCCAAACGAGAGAAGCTGTTCTCGATGAACAAAAGAGTGATATTGCCTCCAACGTCAGTTCACTAGATGATTCTGAAGATGATGGCCATCAAGCGTCCAAGTCTATCATGGACAGATCCTCTCCTGCAGCCGCCAGAACTGCCGGTTCTTATGAGAAAAGTTTCCAAGATGCCAACTCGGATGACGATACAGACGATGATGTCAGCAAGATTGACCAGCAGAGTGCATCCTCACGACGCTCTTCAATCAACCACTCATCTGAACTTGCTACTAAACGGGATCTAAAGGTTCAGGAAGACGACACTTCTTCCCAATTACGTGGGCCTGCTCCAAAACAAGACGAACTTCCTGGAATTGTTGGCGAGTCTAGTCAAGTCAACGATACCGACTCTGAGGATGATTCAGACGACGAACAATCTGAAGCTGACCCCGAAGTTGCGACAGCAAGCGACCTTCAGAAACCAGGTGATTCGAACCAGGAGTTGAATCGAAGTGTTGCCTACGGACACGCTCCACTAGCTGAAGCTGTATCGACGGCTATTGATGAAGACGATTCTGCGTCAGATAAAGACAATGAATCGGACTCCGAGCATGCTTCAGACGGGCCAAGTCTCCCAAACAGCAGCAGATCTTTGCGTCCCCTGCAAGCTGGAGCATCCGAGGTAGCTCTTGAGGACAGCGATGATGATGCCGACAACGACGATCTATCCATTGCAGATCAAGGTCAAACTATGAACGGAGGGGACTCGACTGCCCCGGAGCCAACTTTTACTTCAAAGGCTTCTGACACCGACCATCGATCTCAACTAAGTGACGAAACCCCAAATGTTCCGCTTGAGTCTCCTGCACCCGCTTCACCGGTTGCACACCAAACAAAGCTCCCAGAAATGGTGGAGTACGGCGCAGCTGAAACTGAGGAGCTTGATCTATCTGACTCTGCTTCGTCCATGTCCGAGGAATCAGGTGTATTAGGGAAGGAAATCTCAGATCTTCAGCCTCAATCATTCCCCCCAAATCCTGAGCTATTGCACTCTACACCGGGGGCTGTTTTGCCGGAACATCCACCCCATACACAAAATGAAGCCACCATAGCACCTGAAGTATTTGATGCTATATCTAGGTCTTCGTCACCTGAAGTTGCAGTGGAGAAACAGCTCCATGAGGCGCCAGCCCCTATTACATTGCAGAAGCTGTCTGATTCAGAGAGCGAATCTGAGGCCGACGAAGAGAACGAGTTTCAAGTCCGAGCTCCATCCCCACATTCTATCGTCCTCGAAGAAGACCATGAATCGGATTCTGATGCTGACGATGAATCGGAACACAATGAGCCGAAAACTTCTGTACTCCCGAAAGCCCCGACACCTGATATCGGGCCTGAGCAATTGGCAGTGCCTGGTGTCCTTGGAGATGATGAATCGTTGCAAAAGGAGTCGGAAGATGAAGCCTCAGAAGTGCCTGACGCCGAAGTCGATGTTAGAGGTGGACACGCTGCTGGCTTTGCAGAAAACGATGTGGACCAGAAACATGCAGAAGAAATTGCAACTGTGTCTGACGACGAAAGCGATGACGATACTCATGTTTCCAGAGATGTCTCTCCGATTGGCATCGGCAGGATTGTAGCACCGCGCAATTTCGAGCAATCGACTTCGGCACAGACAACTCAAGGTCCTGGGTGGAGCGAAGACAACTCTGAGGATGAACAACCAATGCATGACGCCAAGGGCGAAGGACTATCAGCCGTTCAACTTCCCGAAGCATCCTCGGAGGTAACCGGGGTAATCAGTGATGGGCATCGCGGTCTTGATGACAATGGATTGGGCACTGATCACTCCCAAGAGCAACAAATTCAGTCATCGGAGCAGCCTTTATATGAGGTCAAGACCCCAGACACAGACGACACTCAGCTTTCAGAGTCGCAGCCTGCACAAGCAGCTGAACTGAAGCCTGTGAAACTCAATCGGCCTGAACATGTAGCCGTTAAGGTTGTCGACATCCCCTCACGCGATAAAGGCAAGGCGGTTGCTACTGTGCCCGAGAGCCCAAAGAGATCCAGTTCTAAATCACGTTCATCACGCTCCTCCCGCAATGAACCTCCCCGGACCTTCTTGACTCAACAGCAGCGACCACGAAGATCGCTAAGGGTTCGTCCCGTGACCGAAATCTACACCAAAGACCCCATTTTCGTGCCTGCCGTGAGCCGGCCAAGCGATGCCAAACCTGCACAACGACCTCAGCCACCTCGTGTTGAAAGCGAACCGGCCAGAGTGCCTGTACGTCCACCACTTGGCCGCCCTTCGTTGGAGACACAAGGTGAATCTTCGACGTCAGGTTCACAGATAGGAGTTACTCCTAGACCTCATTCCTTCCAGGCCGACGGCGAGTCGTCCAGAGCTGCTGCAAAACATGATCTCAGGCATGCGACGATGGCTGTTGATGAGGGACTTAGAGATGCTGCACTTCGAACTCACCCTTCAACTGAATCGCCCGAAGAATCAGAAACCCAGAGGCCACCCAGTCCTGGCATCGTGATTCCTGATGCAGACATGATTGATCTACAGCGATCCCGCACGTTAAGGCGAACACGGAAGAAGTCGATTCAACGTGCTGAGGATACTTTGGCAGCAGCTGCAGTCATTTATGCCGCCGTTGAGGCGCTGAGTCCTCCTGGTAGCCCATCACCTTTTGATCAAATAAGGGATAGAAATCTACCTAATCTGGAGTATCAGATGAATACGGAACCTAATGACTACAACTTTCCAGTTGTTTCTACACCACGGGGGAGCTTTGAGGATGATGAACTCGATGAGTTTCACAAGTCTAATGCTGACTTGTTTGCAGACGACAGGAGCAGAGAATCTGACTCGTCGCGCAGCGATAGAGACAGAGACAGACACCGCAGGCGCCGACAATCGCACCACTCACAGCGTTCTGATGGTAGCCGCGGTGAAGAAGACCGAGAGCGTAGATATCGCACCGAGGACGAAAGGGGGGCTCACCGATCTCGAGATGGAGACGAGAGTCGTCGCCGAAGGCATTCTTATCGCGACGACGAATCTCGCCATCGTCGTCGCCGCGACGAAGAAGAAATGCCGTCCCGTGACTCACGTGGTGAAGCCGATGCGAAGTCTAGAAGTTCTCGTGGATCTGAAGAATCGAGAACCAAGGGCTATCGCCGTGACGAAGATTTGCGACCGCGCGAATCCCGTAGAGTTGAAGAACCGGCTTCGCGTAGCCTCCCCCAGGAAGACGAGGGTCGGGAACGTAAAAGGCGATCCTCTGGTACTCATCATCGGCGCCACCGCGCTGACACGGCCGAGTCAGGCCCACCCGGCACACCTCCCAGAACACCCAGACGAGATAGTGGCTTCTCTGCCGACAACAGTTCTGGAAGTTCTGGTCGCAAACGCCGAACAGGAGATGAACAAGCCGCGCACGATAGACGCAAATCAGAAAGACCAGAGCGACGAACGCGGGAGGAACCTGACCGAAGACGTGAACCTTCGCGCTACCGTGAGTCACGACAGGAAGAGAGGGAGAAGGAGAGGGAAAGGGAGAGACGAAGCAAGGGCAAAGAGCCCGAACGTCAGCCCGAACGTCAGCCAGAGGCAGAACCAGAACCACAGCCAGAACCGGAGGTGGAACGTCATCACCGGTCACGTCGACAAAGCCACTCTGGCAGGTCTCGGCATGAGGAGCCCAAAGAACGCCTTCGAGAAGAGTCAGTTCCGCCTGAGGCGAAGTTTTCAGCCACTAAGAACTCTGAGGACGTCTTTGATGACGATCCACCACCACCTCGCGAGGAGCCTCCAGCCGCAGAGCCAGTCAGAGAACGAACAAGAGATCTCCCACTGGAGGACTCACCCAGACGGACCTCAACACGACATAGACGCACCCGTCCTTCCACTGAAGAGCCACGTCCTCGATCGTCACGCCGTCCACGTGATGACCCTGCCCCTGAACCCCCGCGAGATAAAGATAGAGACAGAGAAAGGGTCAGGGAGAAGGAAAGGACGAGAGACAAAGAGCAAGAACCTCGACCTGTCAAGCACGTCAGAATGGACACAGAGGATACGCGCCGCAAAGCGAGACACGAAGAGCGACGCAGGGCACAGGTCAAGGAGGAAGACAGGAAGCCATCGGGCATTAAGGGGGCGTTCAAGAAACTTTTCAGCAAGTCTTGAACGCGAAGGGAAATGGAGGAGAGGGCCGATTATCTTTAAGTTGTTTATGCGTCCTGACGAGAATTGATGTAACATGCGTATGTGTAACGATAGGGAAGGGAATTGGGTTTTATTTTGGGTTTGTTGACATGATGATTTTGTTCTAAAGTTACGAACGACATGCTTGCTTTACGCCACAATTGCCATATAGATTGACGACAATTGATGATTCTAGTTTGTTTAATGAATTTACTTTCAGATCGGATTTATCTACAAGATGCTTTTGTGGCTGTTGTATATCCCATGCCTCTCGTACGACTTTGATAATGGCGTCTTGATCACCTGTGTAGAGGTTGGCCTAACATGCTCATCTGATATTTGTATGATGCTACATATCCATGGAACTCCGCTTTGGTGTGAGGGCCTTGACTCCAATCATGTCAGCCCTCAACCATGATTGAGGCAAAAGAGCGGCGATATTATGATGTTATTGGCGAGTACGCTGTCCATGAAGTAGATGGCTTCACTCTGAGGCGCGAGGTCTAGCCTCCCTCTAGCGTATAAAGTGTCGGCCATTTCCTCCTACTCCCCTCATCTATGAGACCGTTCTTTTGATCCTCAAGCGAATTTTGCAATTCGATTTGGCCATCACAATGCATCTCAGTCTTGTTCTTCTGTCAGCCCTTGCTGGGCGTGCCACTGCCACCCCTTGCCCACCCTGGATGGGCCATGTCGCATCTTCATGGGCGGAGGCTGCTTCCAGGCTGTCATCTGTTGTCGCTGAAATACCTACTATGTATCCCGGAGGGCGAACAGCGCCTCCTAATCGCGCTCCTGCTGCTACAAGCACTAAGAAAGGAAAAAGGCTTGTTGCAACATCACCAGCCACTGTTGACGCCGACAAGGTGTCAACGACTGAGGCGGCCTCTTCTTCTACAAGCTCAGTCTCCCCAGCCAGTGTCTCTTCAACCGAAGATGTGCTGGTGACGCAGATTACTACAACCATTACCGTAACTCCCACTGTCGCTGCTTCTACATCGGCCACTACTTCTACATTGACTACTTCTTCTTCATCGGCCACTGCTACATCTACCGATGAGACCGCTGACGACGATTCAAATCTGGAACGCCGTGACGAAGATGATGAGAACTCTGGAAAGCGAGTCGATGGAGAGGTAGACCTGCAGAGAAGCTCTAAAGAAGCGGCCCTCGAGCTGGAGGAGGCATACGACCTGCAGCACACATTCGAAACCGCCGTCCTAAAATGGGCTGAAGCTCAAAATGAGCACGAGAGGCAGCGAAAGGTTCTGAAAAAAATCGAGGCGGAAGTCAAGCGCAGGATAAACAGTGCCCTTGATTTGGTGAAAGAGATTAAGGACAAGCAAGATTCCACGATGTCAAAGGAGAAGGAGCAAGCAAAGACAGAGGAGGCGAAACCCAAAAACATCATCAAGCGCAACGAGGGAGATGGTGGCGGATGTGGATGCGGACGCAGTACCAAGCGTCAGCAAAGTAGTCGCGGTTCATGGGAGAATGGTTATGGATGCGGACGCAAGACCAAGCGTGGAGGAGCGCGAGATGACATAGATGGTCACGGATGTGGACGCAAGACCAAGCGCGGAATCTGGGAATATCCTTTGCGCAACAAGGATATCCGAGGCGCCAAGCATGTGCAGGAGGAGGACGAACTATACGAGAGCATTGGAAAGCAGCTGGAGAAAGGCCTTGAAAAGAAAGAGAAGAAAGACAGGCCCATATACCTGATCACTGAATCGATGAAAGTCTATAAGTGCTCCAGACCCAATGGGTGCGACCTGTACGATTTCCAAAACTTCGACGTGGAAGCCGACGACAGACATCATTTCAAGCAAGTCGGCAAGGAGACCCAAACAGACAAGGAAGAAAGGCTATCCGAGAAGGGGGCAAAGGAGGAGAAGCAAGACGAACAAAAGTCTGAACCTGACCCTGAAGCTGAAGCTGATAGCTCCATGCTTGCTAATGGAGACGAGAAGCAACAATACGAGCGCATCTCAGCACTCTATATGCAATACCGCAGCATGCTTGTCAAGCCCATCCAGAAAGATCTCGATCCTATCCTCAAGAACTCCAAGTACAAGGAAGACAAGGTAATGGCGGCGCAGTACCACAAGGGCAACGAGCGAGAACAGCGTAAGCGACTGACCCGGCTCTACATGGACTATCGTTACATGCTTGTGTCCAAGTGGCAGCAGGCACTTGACCCTATCCTTCATGATGAATCTTCCGACGATTAGTTGATGGGGTGGATTTGTACAATGCCCTGAGTTGGCAATATTGACAGAGAACTGCTAGTAATTAAAAGAATTTGCTTTTATTTTCTGATGTGTTCCGTGAAAGATGATGACAGGATTCACCGGGCAGGATGCATCAAGTTTGTACGCTTCAGGGGCTGCATGCTGACCGTAGATATGAACTTGGCGTGGGAGACATCCTGTAAAGCGTGATTCTTGTCGTACCTCGTAGATTATACTTGATCTGTAGAAAAGACCAAGTACGTGACGGTCAGAAAGATGGACCAACGTGTTCAAAATGGAGGGTGAAGCAGATGTCAGGGGGCTAGAGAACCAAGTAGAAAGTCACTCGCAAATCTCAAGAAGAAAGCGGCACTTCTGAACGGCAATTCTGTCTTGTCAAGACACAGTCGGGTCAATAATGGGCATGGAAGTGAACTTGATGTGGCAAGGATCAAGTTGACCGAGGAAGAATCAAGCAACACTCAACTGTATGGAGCAGGTTTCACACTCTTACAGTGTGCTTAACACTTTATGAATCGTTTCCTGTTCCTCAGAGAAAGATTCGACAGCTTCAAGGACCCCAATTATATCCAAGAAGATGCACGTCTCGTCTAGAAGGACAAAACTTGACCACAAAAATTCAAACTCAATCAGGGTACTCGCCAGCAGCAGGGACACAATTGTGCACTAAGGATCATATAATGCCAGGGAAGCAGTTGAAGTGTACATTCTATCCACAAAGGACCACGCCATGATACTTGAACGTAGAGGTTTGACGGCACGGGAGCCGTTAGCAAGGATGACAGTAGCCTGGATAGTAATTGCACACCATCCAGGCATGTAACAGCGTCTAGAGATGTGAAGAAGCCCCTCAATGGAGGAGCCTGAGCCGGAAAGACGGACAATATCACGATACCGAGTCGAATGGAGGAAATTGATGCTTCAAGGTAGTAAAGGTAGAGAGAGGCAAAGGAAAGGGTCTGTAGGATGGGTTGTCGTTGACGGAGTCGAGGCTTAGCTTCATGCAAGATTCGTATAGCATACCCTGGTCAGGTGCGTGAGACGATTAGGGCGATATCCGCACAAGCGAGCGATGAGGCTCAAAGGTGAAGGCATAAATTGTCTGGGGGAAAATGGGGATGTTTGAATTTGGTGTCCAACTTCAAGATGACATCCCTGTCAAATCGCTATACGAATCGTGCATTAGCGTGGAACTGCATGATTGGTGCGTAGAATTATCTGGGGCTGAGGGTGCTGAGTACCTGATAACTTGGTGATATTCCACCAGAATTCAAGGTACCTCAATTTCCATCTGCATGGATCGGCTGCTTTGCCTGTCAAGCCTTGACGTTGATAGGCTGTATCCCCTGAGGGAAATTGGCCCCGAGACGCAAAAAGTGAGCGCGCCAATCGTACAACACGTTTTCTTATTCGGATTCCCCATCGCGAGAATTGATGCCTTCCATCCTTTAGTCTACTGTACCTACCTACCTTAGGTACACTGCAGTATGTATGGCTCCGGGTTGGTTGGCCATTACACGCCCCTCCACTAATTTTCCTTTCTAATTAATTACTGTCGGGTACTGTAGGTTTTTTTTTTTTCTTTCCTCCCCTGATCCTCCAGAAAACAAGAAGATCTTGATATATCATCATTATCAAAGATTGTCCACTGCGGATACTCAGCCTGATCGGGGGTATTTTCTCCAGTGCTCTAGTCTTCCATTGGAGGTCGCCGTCACCGCTCGCTCCTCTTTATGGTCCACCCCCTACACTAACTATTTGTTTTGTTTGCTTCCGAGGGAGGGACCACGTCTGCATTTGCATTTGCATTTGCATTTGCGCCTGCATCTTTCGTCAAACCCCAAAGTGCAACTGAGGCGCCCAATTGCTTCTCTTGTCTATGCTTTATGCGCGCACTGTGAGACAAGCTCGAGCACAGTCTGTTGTCAAAGCCTGATTGACAGTCGGGCTCCCATCTCTTCCCCAGTCACTTCTGCAACATATATAGCTTCTCTTGAACCCCGTTGTTCAACATGTCGTCAAGATATTCTCTACGCCAAACGCCTAGGTTTGTCCACCTTCCTTGAAACCATCTGCATCATAGACTAACATTGCCTTCCCAGGAAGAAGGAACTCTTCGAGGGCATGGTAGAGACTCCTACTCGTCGTTCACGTTCAGCGCGCCGCCAGACTTCTCAACCCCTTTCAGACGTCGAGACCGACTCCCCTGTTGAACCCGTCGCCCAACCCATACGTCGACGAACCGCCAGATTTACAGAGGAACTCGACGACGAGACAGATTCTGACAACATGGGAGCTGTTAACAGAGCTGCCAACGGCAAGACCAACGGCCATGCTAATGGCAATGGCAATGGCAATGGCTATACTAATGGAGACGCGACCAACGGCCATGCCACCAATGGTCATGCTACATCCAACGACGCTTCTGGCGCTGCCCCTGTCCAAGCTGTCATGGAGAAGAGCGAGGGCGTTTCTCACGATCCTCATGTTGTCGATGGTTGGAGACCGGGCCAGGACGCCAAGATCGACTACTCTGGAGAGTTCGAGTTTGGTGGTTCTCTCGGCACCGCTGCCATGATGACTCTCTTCCCCGTTCTCATGTGGTATATGTGGATTGGTGCTACCTACTACGACGGCAAGTTTCCCACCAGGGCAGAAGGTCAGTCTTGGGGCGAGTTCGGTGCTCATCTTGTCAACCTTGTCTACACTGGCGCATACCCCCGTCTTCAGGTCTGGGCTTGGTACTGGTCTTATCTCATTGTTGAGGGTGCTTTCTACTGCCTTCTTCCTGGTGTCTGGGGCTACGGTAAGCCTCTCCCTCATGAGGGAGGCAAGCAGCTGCCTTACTACTGCAACGCTTACTGGAGTCTCTACACCACCCTGGCCTGCCTTGCTGGTCTGCACTTCTCCGGTCTCTGGCCTTTGTACAACGCCATTGATGAGTTTGGCCCTCTTCTGTCCGTCGCTATCCTGAGTGGCTTCCTTGTCAGCATTGTCGCCTACTTTTCTGCTCTCTGGCGTGGCAAGCAGCACCGCATGACTGGCTACCCCATCTATGATTTCTTTATGGGTGCCGAGCTGAACCCTCGTATGTTTGGCATTCTTGACTTCAAGATGTTCTTCGAGGTTCGCATGCCCTGGTACATCCTCCTCATCCTCAGTCTTGGCACTGCCGCTCGTCAGCACGAGCAGTACGGCTACGTCTCTGGTGAGGTTTGGTTCCTTGTCATGGCTCACTTCCTCTACGCCAATGCTTGTGCCAAGGGTGAGGAGCTCATCATCACCACTTGGGACATGTACTACGAGAAGTGGGGTTTCATGCTCATCTTCTGGAACCTCGCTGGTGTCCCCCTGTCCTACTGCCACTGCACCATCTACCTCGCCAACCACCATCCTGATGTGTACCGCTGGAACCGTGGTATCCTTGCCGCCATGTACGTTGGCTACCTCTTCTGGTACTGGGTCTGGGACAGCTGCAACAGCCAGAAGAACCGCTTCCGTGCCATGGAGAAGGGCAAGCTTGTCCTGCGCAACACCTTTCCCCAGGTCCCTTGGCAAACCCTTCACAACCCCAAGACCATCGTCACACCCCAGGGAACTATCCTGGTTGACGGTTGGTACGGCCTTGCTCGCAAGATTCACTACACCGCCGATGTGTGGTTTGCTGTTTCTTGGGGTCTGATTACCGGTTTCGAGAGCCCCTTCCCTTGGTTCTACCCGGTCTTCTTTTGCTGCATGATCGCTCACCGAGCCGCTCGTGATATTCACCGCTGCCGTCGCAAGTATGGCGACGCCTGGCTCGAATATGAGCGACGCGTTCCTTACCTCTTCATTCCTGTAAGTCTATGATCCAAGATCCATCTTTCCAACTTGTTGCTGACATTTATCAGTACGTTATTTAAGGAATTGCCGGAATTTACATTGAAACTATCAAAGTTTATTTCTTGAAGGACCATATTCGCATCCATTATTATCACCCAGTGGCTCTTATTGCCATCAATGAATGGTGTTTTGTTGAACGGACAAATGTGCAATAGACCCAAGCACGGGACGCGGCATGATGAACAAAAGGGGTAATCTACGCATGAAGAGACGAAGAGACGTAATACAAGAGGAGGTTTGAAGGAAGGCTGAACATGAGGTTCCAATGATTTTGGAAACGATCGGACTTCCTTCGGGGGTTCTTAGACCTTGTAATTATTATACTTGTTTATATACTTGCTATTATTAGTTTTGGTTAGAAGACAAATAATGTTTCAATCATTTCAAGTCAACAAAACAGTCACAAGCTGAGGTAACAACGCTGTTGGCATCAAGGCTTTACATGTATCGGTGGTAGATTTAGTGTCACATTGACGTCCAGAGCTCAGTAGTAAATAATAACAAATGCAATGCGAGAAACAATTAGCAATAGCATACACTGATTACTCGAGTTCCCTTCACCGTCTATGATGAGAAGCCACCCAGAGAATAACACGCGCATTGACAGTATTTTACAGAAACCATACTCATTGCGTACCAGCCCCCCTCTTCTTCCCAGTAAAAACATAACAAGAGCTCGAGTCCATTATCCCATATCCATGCGCAAAAAGGGCAGGTGCAAGATCAGCCCTGACCATGCGCTCACGTCTCCAATCCCCTGCTCCTAGATCCTTATCCGGAACAGGAAGCAGGGAAAGTTGTAACGCCATATATGATCTCATTCATTTATGCCATGCCAAAGAACAGCCCGTGTCTTTTAGTACGTTCTTGTCAAGCTTAGTTCCAGACAGGCGTTGTCGTGTTCCTCTAGCAGACAGCGTCGACGTTGGCCTTGGAGTTCATGAGCAGAGCAACAATAAGACCGTAAAGACCTGCGGAAGGATGTTAGACAACTGGAGGGTTTCAAGCAAGCAGAACATAACGACGTACCGAGGACTTCAGCGAAAATGAGAATCAGAATCATTCCGACGAAGAGACGGGGCTGTTGGGCAGTTCCTCGGACACCAGCATCACCGACAATACCAATGGCGAAACCAGCAGCGAGACCAGCAAGACCGACGGAGAGACCAGCACCGAACTGAATGAAGCTAGTGAACAGAGGAAGATCCTGCTTGAGACCGTCGGAGATAAGAACCGAGACGACGAGACCGTAGATACCAATAATACCAGCCATAATGACGGGAACAATGTCTGTAAGAATTAGTATTGGACTTTTCCTATAATGCCGATGCTAGAGGGTTGCGTACTCTTGACGATCAGGTCGGGGCGGAGGACACCCATGGCGGCGATACCGACACCAGACTTGGCGGTACCGTAAGAGGCACCAAGGCAGGTGAAGACAATGGCGCAGGTGCAGCCCATGGCACCGAAGAAGGGCTAGATGAAGGTCAGTCATATGCATTTCGATGGTAAACCGATGTTGTCGACCGCCTCACGATGCGAAGTTAGGCGTCGCGAGGTGACGTCGACGGTACGGATGACGTGGTGGACTAACCGAGTAAACGGGGCTGCAAAGGCGCGCATGTTAGCTTCAATCATCAATAATAATGTTATGCGAGGCCATCTCGACAGTTTTTCGCGTTGAACGATGATGCCAGAAGCTCCGTGTGATGCATAAGTAGCTTGGTGATGACGGGGGCAAGGAGGCGCGCAAGCACATACCAAAGTTCGCTAACCATCTTGACTGTTGTTACGCGAAATGGAGTAGATGTCAATCGGAGAAAGTATTGGAAAAGAAGGCGTAAGGTACGTGAAAACGGCGGACGAGCTGAATTATCGGGAGATGGATTCGTTGAACGACGGGCCGGTTGCTTGAGACGAAGATGTCGAGGTAAGGTGTGCTTGTTAAGGTCTCATTCCAGGTTGGCGTCTGGTTGGCGGCAAGTTTTGCTGTACTCTGGTAGGAGGGAGAGCACGGGGGAGCCTTACATAAGACGCCACGGGGCTCCCGCTGTTTCGGATTAAAGATGGACCATCACTAGTTGCGACTCGGTGGACCAGTTAGTCCAGTGGATTCCGAAAGCCTCGCATGCACCAGCCACACAAGGCTCGCCGCCACAAGTGAAATTTTCCGCCTCGGCGCATATGCTTCTAACTTTTTTTTTCTCTCTTCCTCTTCTCTTGACTCTGTCGATACATCTCCAACTCACCATTCCCAACATCAATTTTTAGTCCTCGGGGCGAGCCAACGCAAGGAACCCTGAATTATACCATCTTGTACGTTCGATACAGCCAGCGCCGGCCTGCGAATATCTCGACCGCCTTCCCCAGAACAGCTACTGACCGCCCGTGGATAGAATCTTTCCTCTACGCAAACCTCGGTTTAATCTTCAAAATGTCTGAAAGTGCTGCCTGGCCCCTTGCCGATCAGAAGCTCGAGCAGGAGCTTCTTGATCTCGTTCAGTCTTCTCAGCGTAAGTGCCCTTCGAGCTGTTCCATGAGAGATTGTCGCTAACTTCTTATGCAGATGCTCGCCAGCTGAAGAAGGGTGCTGTAAGTGTTGCCTAGCTCGCAACTGCATCTCGGCCCTCACTAACAACGATGTAGAACGAAGCCACCAAGACCCTCAACCGTGGTGTTTCTGAGCTTGTCATCCTCGCTGCTGACACTCAGCCTCTCGCCATTCTCCTCCACCTTCCTCTTCTCTGCGAGGACAAGAACGGTAAGCGCAATTGGTCAATCGATATCTCGATATGTTTCTAACTTGTGTCTGATAGTCCCTTACGTCTACGTCAGCAGCAAGATGCACCTCGGCCGCGCCTGCGGTGTCAGCCGTGCTGTCATCGCTGCCAGCATCACCAGCAACGACGCCAGCGAGCTTGCCGGCCAGATCCGAGCCATGCGTGACAAGGTCGAGCGCCTCGCTATCTAAGATACCCAAGGAGACGAGGAGGAAAGCAAAAGATGGAATTATTTTCGTCTATGGACAGACGGTTTTGAAAAGCCGTTAGTTGATACTTGGACCCATTGCAAACTTTTGATGCTTCGGGCTCATGTATCTGGTGCAATCATTGGTGTGTGAAATTGAGGCCTTGTTTGGGTAAAATAGTAATATCATCAACTGTCTTGACGAAGTCGCAATACGAAAACGAGCTAAAGTGGATATGTCGAATTATTTGCTGACGCGAATGCGGTTTCGGCGGCTCTTTGGCGCTATATACACTGGTTCCAGCGAACTGCCAAGTTATGACGTCTCCACTACCAAAAATCGATTAAACTGATGCGGTCATATCTGATTTCTGTCAAGTGAACTGCAGCTTCCATCCATGCCCTGGCTCTTTCTGCCGCTGGCTTGTAACTCAACTTTGTACCTCTTCTTGTTGCTTGATCGTCAATCTCTTACTATCGCTCCCCTGTCGTTTCTTCTGAATGCCCTTTTACCATCGCTAACAAAGTTCCGTGCCCCGCACAATGCCTGCCATCGCTCGCAAGCTCCTCATCTGCGCAGCGATTGATGGGCTTGTAATACAGCCTCTTTCCTCCAAGGGCCAACGACCTTTCCAACCCGTACGAGTTAAATACGGCGACGCGTCAATCTCTCATGTCCCACGCGAACATGTGCCAGACGATTCGAAGCCAGATTCGTCGTTCGAAGCTTTCGGAGTGATTGGTATGCGATCTTGTGGCGCTTACGAGCCTGACTTATGTCATGTAAGATCCAGACTAATTGTTTTATAACTTTAGGACTTATCACTGTATCAAAATTAAGCTACTTGATTACTATCACCCGGCGCCAGCAGGTCGCACAGATTTGCGGTCATCCCATCTACGTCGTTACTGAAGTCGCCGTCACTCCTTGTACGTCCAAGGGGGGCGCTGAAGAAGCCATAAAGAGAACCTCGGATCACTTATCACGCCAATCAAGGGACTCGGGGAACGAGAGTGATAGCAGCGAAGAAGACGTCGAATTTCCTTCCAGAACATCAGATGAAGTGGACGATGCCGTTATTGAGGACGGCGATGCGAGGCCAGGTTCGGCCAGGAGTCGCGTTGCTGAAGATGTAATTCGCAGAAGGGGAAGCTATGGCCGATTTGCGCAGCGCTGGTTCAGCCGAAGTGGCTGGACTTTGGACCAAAAGAGGAACATGGGCTTGAGCAATGCTCCAAAGGTTCCAGAAACTGGTTCTGTCGCAACTGAGACCTCGGCCCAGACTCAAGAGGGTTTTGAACAAGTCACGCCCAGTGAACCTGAACTTTTGCCAAAATTGCTGCGAACTGCTCAAGTTCTCTTCGGCTCATCCCGAAGTTTTTACTTTTCTTATGATTTTGATCTCACTCGTTCTCTAGACGAGAGATCTGTGCCTCCAAACACTGAGACTCCCTTACACAACCAGGTCGACGAGGTGTTCTTTTGGAATCGTCATCTCCTACAGCCATTTACATCAAGTGGGCAAGATTGCCTAGCATTACCATTGATGCAAGGTTTCGTGGGACAGAAGACCTTTGTCGTGGATAATCAACCTCCTCAAAATGATGACAAGGGCAAAGATTCGGTTGAACTTTCCGATCTTTCGCCTTCAAAAGAGCACTCGGACTTCCCAGGACTTGGAAGCTCTAGGGCTTCTATTGATCTTCGCCCTTCGGAGAAGAAGTATCTCATAACAGTGATTTCGCGCCGGTCCACGAGAAGGGCTGGTCTGCGATACCTGCGCCGAGGCATTGACCAGGACGGTTTCGTTGCGAACATGGTAGAGACTGAACAGCTTCTTTCCACGCCTACTTGGGATCCCTCTTCAAACATATACTCGTTCTTACAAGTAAGGGGCAGTATTCCTCTTTTCTTTACACAGTCACCGTATGCTTTCAAGCCCACCCCCATACAACAGCACTCAAAGGAGGCCAACCAAACTGCATGCCGTAAGCATTTCGAGAGCCTGTCTAGGAATTACGGAAAACTTCAAATAATCAACTTGGTGGAAAAGCATGGAGTCGAATCGATTATTGGTTCTGCATACGAGAAAGCGATGGAAGAAGTCAACAAGGGGACAGCTCAAGACCACGAGATACCATTCGAGTGGTTTGACTTTCATGCGGCCTGCAAGGGCATGAAGTTCGAGAACGTCAGCATGCTTTTGGATCAGCTTCGAGATAAAATTGAGAGCTTTGGCAGTACCAAGCAAAATGATGGCAAGCAACTAGCCCGACAGCAAGGCGTCTTCAGAACCAACTGCATGGACTGCCTTGATCGCACCAACGTCTGCCAGAGCTCGTTCGCAAAGCATATGCTTGAAGTCCAGCTCAAGGAAGAAGGGTTTGATATGAGTACACAGACTGACCAGGTCACGGCTTGGTTCAACACCCTCTGGGCAGACAATGGCGATGCAGTTTCAAAACAGTATGCGTCAACAGCGGCGATGAAGGGTGATTATACAAGAACACGGAAGAGGGATTATCGCGGGGCTCTGAATGATCTGGGTCTCGGTCTTGCAAGATACTACAGCGGGTATGTTATGGGCCTCATGTCCTCGATTTGTTGATTGACTGCTAACCAAAACAGCATGGTCAACGACTATTTTAGCCAGGCAGCCATTGATTTCCTTCTTGGAAACGTAACGGAAAGGATCTTTGAAGAGTTTGAAAGCGATATGATGACAAAGGATCCAGCCGTTTCTATCACCAAAATGAGAGAACTGGCTGTCGAGCTGTGTCAGAAACGAGTAATAGCCGATGAGAAGGAAGAGTTCCACGGCGGATGGGTGCTCCTCAGCCCAACCACGCCCGACACCATTAGGTCTTGGCCGCTGGAAGAAGTTGTTCTCCTGCTAACAGACGCGGCTCTATATTCGTGTCGTTTTGACTGGAAGTCCGACAAGGTATCGTCGTTCGAGCGTGTTGAACTCGACAGCGTCACGGGTATCAAGTACGGTACTTATATCACCTCCACGATCTCCCTTTCCCACGTCGACGAAATTAAGAACGCCGGCTTTGTGGTGACATATAGTCCCAGCAAGAGTGATATTCGACGTACCAATACACGGACCCTTTCGAGTCACGGTGCAGTGCCAGGGAAGGAAAACCCAGCAGAGCAAAAGGATGCTAGCTTACCAGCCAGCTTAGCCAACCTGCTTACAAGCAAGACGTCTTCAGCCTCGCCTCCAAGCGTTCGCCGTCTTGTCTTCAAGGCGACCAACGTGGATTCATCCGTCGCTGTCTTGGGCGATGATGGACCGAAGCAAACAGAAACCCAGCAGGTATCCACAATATGTGGTGATATTGACCGATTGGCACTGGAAAGACAACCAAGGCAGCCAGAAGAAGAGCGAAAGACTCTCGTAGAGACAGGATCCATCATTTCTCTTGAGGAGGCGAAGAAAAACACCAGTCTGTTGGAGCAACTGGGACACTCGCTCAAGAAGATGGTATGGGCATGATCGATCCCATCGCTCGACAGATGACTTAGATCATTGACCAATACGTAATAATGACATAGATAATACAAGACATAATACTGATGCATTGCTCGAATGGCGTTCTTCATCAAATTGGTTTTTGCAGACGGTACAAGTGCATCTGATAACGCATATTTTCCAGGGCGATCGGATACGATAAGCCTTCTGGAATACGGAACCAGATAGAGTCGTCCGATTCTAGCTTCTCCCATGAGTACCCAGAGGTGTCAGTTTCAAGAAGAGTGTGGTCAAGTAGCCATTGCATAGGGTATTTCTTCTTCTCCTTGCCCAAGGCTGCTTCTGAGTAGCTGCCTGGACTATCCACGACGAGCACGAGACTACCTGGGGCGAGTACCTGTCCCAGATTTTTGAGGAACTTGGTCGTCTTTCCGATTCCCGCCGTCGTATACAATTCATTGAGTGTAAAAAGCATGGTCAAGAGTATAGGTACCTTGCCATTGGCGCATTGAGCTGAAAGTGAATCGACTTCAAGGCTCAAGACATCTTCCTGGACAAAACTGAGCGAGAGCTGATCCTCTTCCAGCAGTGGACGGTTAGCAGCTTGACGAGCTGCAGAAGCATACTTGGAAATTGGTAGCGGGTTGATAGTGCTCGATTCTAGGAGGGAGACGACCAGCGCCCAAGGACCCGAATCGAGCAGTGTCAGACGACCATTCATGGACGTGGTTTGAATGTAAGAAGCAAACGCAACGTGCTCAGCAGCACAGCCACCGACAGATAGCATATGTAGAGCGGTGTTCCGTGTAGTGCTGTCAAGTTTGAGATCTTTGATGGATTCTATTCCACCTTCAGAGTCGAGTTCCGGCTTGTCATTCTCATCTGCGGGAACTTCACCCTGGTTCCGGCTAAGACCTGATTCTTCGCGTGGTGACTCCTTGTTAGAAATGAGAATACCATCAAGGTGATCCTTGATGCTGAGTAGCACCGTCGTATAGCAAAGGGCTCGTGTGGGGCTCCATCGAGCAGCGTAGGCTTCAAGATAATCCTCTCTCCCAAAAGCGGTAGCAAACTCCCTATTGAACAAAGCCTGTTTTATTTCCTGGAGCAGTATTGTGAAATCATCCGAGGCGAGTGTCTTGCTGAAAGCACTTGAAAAGATATTTAGAAGTCGCTGCTGTTCTTCTTCGCTCTGGAGAGCTGGTGAAGAGACTTCCACTGGCGGGGCATTTGACTTTTTGCTGCTCTGTTTCGAATGCTTGGACGAAGGAGCAGCCTTCTTAGTTGGGCCTGTTTTCTTGACCATTTCTTCCTCTAAATTTTGGTATCTCTGATTTCTGTTTTAGTTCATTGGCCGGGTTCTCGTTGGTAGGAGTCGTCGGTTGCCGGTTGATTTGATATTGGAAGAAAAATCTCGGACATATTTTACCGTTGAAATCGACAACCCCACTTGGATCGAGCGAGGATTGCCCTAGAAAGTGAGCTGGCGGTTCTTCGGTGAGAGACAGAGACGGCCAAACCAACGGTGAGTGTAAGTGAGTACCCGAGATCGCATGGTATAGGTACCTAGGTAGAGCAGGTCGGTAATCTTAGCAATCAATTGTGAATATTACCACATCAGATTTTTGTTTCCCGTTTACAGTTTGTCACAAGTCGCCGGCGGCCGCGAGAGTTCTGATCGGGGGACTGGACGCTCTTACATAGAAATGTCATATCATTCATCAGCAGTTACGGCATCATTGATAAACATTGGCATAGTTTATCCTTTGCCGCGTTGGGCTGGAGGTTGCTGCATGTAGGTACCACACCTTGACATCCATCTTGGCTGCTTTGTCTTGTCTTGTCTTGTCTTGTCTTGTCTCGTCTCATCCTTTGTTTCTTCAGCACCGGTATCGCTCCCCATCAAATTCCCAATCCCCAGCCTCAAATACGATAAAGGCGTTAGCTTACTCAACCAGTTGCGGCTGTGGCATATAACATTAGCCGCACCTGTAGAACAGCCAGTATACGGCATTGTACCCGACTCAATAGGAGCAGTCGGAGTTACCCCTCTCGTCCTCTGGACCCCTCCATCGTGGGGGGTCATGTTTTAGGCGTACCAATTCAAAACTCGTTGGAGTTTCTAGATCACCCATTGAATGGGCATTTTTGCCTGTTTCAGCGTTTGGTTGCCGGGTAATTTAACCAGTATGCGACAGTTATAGCCGCAGCTTTGGGCTTGAGGGAAATAAAAGCAGTCCGAGTCTAGGTTGTACAAAGCCCGGCTGAGATATGGGAGAGTGGAATCATCTGGCTAAGCGCGTTTAGTAATATCTGGTGTTTACTTACACCACCTCACTGTTAGGTACCTGGGTAGGTATGAAAATTTCATTATCGAGGCCAAGAATCGCCAGCAAAGCATCTAGCCATGCACGGTTCACATGCTGGATATATTATCGAAGAAATGTAATGCAATGACGAAGTGGCCACTCGACGTCACAGAGCGAGAATTTGTTGCAAGCAAGTGCCGCCGTTATGGAGATCCATGGATATTCATGGATGGATGCTGATGAAAGAGGGTCCACAGCTGTACCTGTCTGCGTCTATAGGTAAGGTAGAGGCGTGTCTTTGTAAGGCGAGACAAGACCCTTATGGCAACCAGGACCATGCTAAATGGTCTGTCTTGGGCACGCATTGATACCGCAGCCTGTGACTGGATTGCAGAGAAATGCTTTCATCCATTCGAGTTAATCATGCTTTGATAATAACAGCTGTCATGAGAAAGGAAACCAAAAAGTAAGGCAAAAGGAGGGGCATTGTTACCCTCCACTGGGTTGGCGTCACTGATGATACCCCCCATCTACTGTACAGTACAGTACCTAACAGGTCGGGTATCCCCCACCGGGAGTCTCCACTCGGCGTGTCGCCGGCCACATTGACCTCGCTCGGCGGCGATGGCGGCGGGCTTTGGATTGGATTCTCTGTGTTTGGTGAGCTTGAATCTGAGTTTGGCTGAGGACGAGGACTCGACAAGGTGAAGCTGTCGGTCTACCCTTTTGGGGGTGGCTGGTAGCTAAGTCACTGCAATAGGTACAGTACTGTACTCGAATTCGCATTAGATCCGGTTCAATAGTTCAGGTACTCGGTGCACCTCAAAAGTTTGGAGATATCATGGGACTAACTGACTGCCGTGGGCGGGCATAACATCAACATTAACATCTTCATTCATCCTCAACAGTTAGTTAAAAAGAACATTTCTCGAAACATAGCAATTGATCACCTACTACCATATTACTAGAAAATACCATCGTGTCAAGTTGAACAGCAACGGGATATCGCCCGGCCGAATTTTCTACAAGACTGGGAAAACTGGAGACCGCTAACATTTCATGACACTACCGTACCTGTACCCCTCCACCCTTGAGCTGTAGAGCGTGGTAGGTAGACGTCAGACGTGCTCCGTTTTATCTTTCCGTCATTCTACCATCCAATCCATACCTACCTTCCACTCCCTTTTCATTCTTCTTTTCCTTCCTCCTTCTTCTCCTCCTCTTTCTTCCTTTCTTCCTCTTCATATATCCAAATACTCATAAATCAATCAAAATGGGTTACGGCGAGATCGATCAGAAGGCTATCAACACCATCCGTGTCCTCGCGGTAAGCTCCCCTCTCTTTACTTTATTCTACTTTCCCCCCTCGAGCTCACTGCATTGGTTTTTACCCCGCCACGCTTGCCCCGCCATCTCTTCCCATGAGAAATGAGACATGAGAGACGAGCAACAATGTGGTGAGAGTATTAATCACAGAGACTTCTGTGGTGTGGTCTTTTGGCAGCTTGTAGGATTTAATCGACATGCTCGCTTTGAACCCGACAGCTCAGCAGGACCATGTGTGTGAATCGCATGAAAGAATCATGAGAACTAACGAGCTCAACAGGCCGATGCGACCGCTCACAGCAACTCGGGACACCCTGGTGCTCCCATGTGAGTTCACCCATCCTCATCCTGCGACTGGACGATAGAGAATACATACTGACTTCATTTCTAGGGGAATGGCCCCAGTTGCTCACGTTCTGTTCAACAAGTTCATGAACTTCAACCCCAAGAACCCCGACTGGTTGAACCGTGACCGTTTTGTCCTCTCGTAAGTTTACTCTTAGGTTATGACTTTGTCCATTGACTGACCGTTTTGCGCTTCAGCAACGGACACGGCTGCATGCTCCAGTATGCTCTCCTCCACCTCTTCGGTTACGACCTCAGCATCGATGACCTCAAGGCTTTCCGAGTATGTTACCCAAATCTCGTGTTCCCTCCTGTTTGTGCTAACAAATCCCACAGTCAGTTGACAGCCGCACTCCCGGTCACCCCGAGGCTCACGACACCCCCGGAATTGAGGTCACCACCGGTCCTCTTGGTCAGGGTATCTCCAACGCTGTTGGTCTGGCTATTGCCCAGGCTCACACTGGCGCCGTCTTCAACAAGGACGGTTTCGAGCTTGTTAACAACTACACCTACTCCTTCCTCGGCGATGGCTGTTTGATGGAGGGTGTCTCCAGCGAGGCTTGCTCTCTGGCTGGTCACCTCCAGCTCGGCAACCTCATTGCCATCTGGGACGACAACCAGATCACCATTGACGGTGACACCGCTGTCGCCTTCACCGAGAACGTCCCCAAGCGATACGAGGCTTACGGCTGGCACGTCATCAAGGTCGAGGATGGTGACCACGACCTTGCTGCCATCGAGGCTGCCATCAAGGAGGCCAAGTCCGTCACTGACAAGCCTTCTCTTATCCAGCTCAAGACCACCATTGGTTACGGCTCCAACAACCAGGGCACCCACGGTGTCCACGGTTCTCCCCTCAAGGCTGACGACATCAAGCAGCTGAAGGAGAAGTGGGGCTTCAACCCCGATGAGAGCTTCGCTGTTCCCCAGGAGGTCTACGACTTCTACGGTAAGCGATCCTCCGAGGGTGCCGCCCGTGAGCAGGAGTGGAACCAGCTCCTCGCCAAGTACAAGGAGCAGTACCCCAAGGAGCATGCCGACCTCGTCCGCCGACTGACCGGCGAGCTTCCCGAGGGCTGGGAGAAGAGCCTCCCCGTCTACACTCCCGCCGACCCCGCCATTGCCTCCCGAAAGCTGTCTGAGACCGTCCTCAGCAAGGTCGAGAGCGTCATTCCTGAGCTCTTCGGTGGTTCTGCCGATTTGACTGGCTCCAACTTGACCCGATGGAAGGAGGCTGTCGACTTCCAGCCCAAGTCCACCGGTCTCGGTGACTACTCCGGCCGATACGTCCGATATGGTGTCCGTGAGCACGGTATGGGTGCCATCCTCAACGGTCTGGCTGCCTACGGTACCATCCTCCCCTACTCCGGTACCTTCTTGAACTTCGTTTCTTACGCCGCCGGATCTGTCCGTCTGTCTGCCCTCTCCCGCATCCGCACCATCTGGGTCGCTACCCACGACTCCATCGGTCTTGGTGAGGATGGTCCTACCCACCAGCCTATCGAGACCCTTGCTCACTTCCGAGCTCTCCCCAACACCATGGTCTGGCGCCCTGCCGACGGTAACGAGACCAGCGGTGCTTACTACGTCTGCTTGACTGCCAAGCACACTCCTAGCATCATTGCTCTGTCTCGTCAGAACCTTCCCCAGCTTGAGGGCTCTACCATCGAGAAGGCCGCCAAGGGTGGTTACGTCTTGAGTGAGGTTGAGGGTGCCGATATCACCCTGGTTGCTACCGGTTCCGAGGTTTCCATCGCCGTCGACGCCGCCAAGTACCTCCAGGAGCAGAAGAACATCAAGGCTCGCATCGTCTCCATGCCCTGCTTCGAGGCTTTCGACCTCCAGGACAAGGAGTACCGCCTCTCTGTTCTCCCCGACGGTATCCCCTCTCTGTCCATTGAGGTCATGAGCACCATGGGCTGGGAGCGCTACACCCACGAGCAGTTCGGTATCAACCGATTCGGTGCTTCTGGTGCCTACAAGGACGTCTACAAGAAGTTCGAGTTCACCCCTGAGGGTGTCGCCAAGCGTGCCGTCGCCACCATCGACTTCTGGAAGGACGTCCCCAACGTCCGATCCCCCATCAACCGTGCTTTCCAGCAGATCATCTAGATCTACCATAATAACGAGTAAAAAGAAACGAAATATCAGCGTAAAAACCCGGTACAAAATGAGACCGGACAGAATGATTATGACGATGGGCTATGGAGCAAGGTTTTGTGGATTTCGAGCAACTTAGACGTACTACGAGATGAAATTAAATCTTTTAGAACAAAGAATTGCTATGCTGTATCGTGCTGTGATGACTGCCTGCCACATGATTCTATCGTCTATATACTTGTTTGTGGTAGTTGATTGATTTGAAATCGTGCCCGTAATCAACATGCGGGTGCGTATGCGCCTCCAACCTGTCTTGGATAAGGACATGTGAATTCCTCGTAAACCCAGATGCTCGCGGTTTTGAGCACCATCTCGCATTTCAACTTGAACTTGTCGCATAGGTCGTACATAATGGTCAAAGCCAGATGACGATCCACCAAAAGGTTTATCTTATTTTCCTCATATACTTCATGTCGTTTTCGCATTTCTCCTTCGTGGTATCGCTTGGTATTGCATCGCTTCGTAAACGTAGTTCGTCATGTCATGAAAACGACAAGCATTACTCAGATCATAGGCATATCCTCAGCCTGATCACTCTTGCGCATCTTCGTTTGTGCGCTCTTGACTACTCTCGGCAGCCCACTCCTTTTGAATCTCTCTTCCCACGCGCTCCAGTCTTGCCGATGCGCGGCGGGCCTCTCTTGCTTCGTCTGCGGAACCTGCCACGACTACGCCCACAAGCGGCGGAGCCGCATCTTCGGAGCGCGGGTCGTGGTGCGACGTCGGCGCTGGGACTGACCGAGGTGCTCTTGGGTCAGCGCCGTGACTTGAACCGGGCGCCGAGCCTGGACGGCTCGAGGCAGCCACCGCAGTGTTGTTGTTGGTGGTTGTATCGACAGCGTCGCGAGGATCAAGATATGAGTGCAGTACCACGGGTCCGCGGTCTGGGTACTCGACCATGAGGCGCTGAGGCCGGCCGAGACCAAGTCTTTGAGCGGCTGTCTGTGAAGATAGTGCGCTGGAGGTCAGAGCTGTGAGGGATTCGAGGTGCGATTGCGACGAGGCTGATGTGATGAGCGGGGTGAGAGTACTGTCGGAGAGGTGGAGGGAGAGGGTGGGGTGTTGCGATGGAAGGCTGGCCATGGTGAAGATGGCGAAAGCCCGAGGTATGGCTATGGCTGTCTACAAGATTTGAGAATGATGTATGTTAGAGCTAAAGAGTTCTCGTTGGACAAGATAGAATTTTGGCGCAGTTGGAAAAGGACGAAATATTATGGTGAAGTTGAGTGGAGGAGGGGGCTTGAGAATTAGGTCATGGACGGATATGGATGAATGGATGGATGATCTGGTGGTGTTGGAGGGACTGTCCGAATGGCGGCAGACAGGGGAGCTTTTTTTGGCGCCCTCGCTTGGGGCTTGGCTAGGTCCATAGGCTGAACCCCGCTGTGACTCTGTGAGCTTTCGGCTCTGTCACTCCCTTGTCTCTGTGGTGTGCTGTTGTTGTGTTGCAGTAGGTACTAGGTCAGGTAGGTTCCACATACGATAAATCCAGGGTTATTTGTTGCAAAGAGGGGAAGCTGTTGAGATATGGATATCCATTGATATGGGAAGATATCATATCTGGCTAATCTTTCGATATCCAACATTACCTAATACTAGAATCTAGAACCCAAATTTTGAAGCTTTTGGTCCTATGACTCTCTACATCCAAAAGCGTTATCGGCAAACCTGGTCTTGCTCTTAATAAAAGACCCATTGAATGGCAATCAGCAAGTTGAGAAGAGCTCAACGTGCATAGGAACTTACCGTTCCCCCGCCTTTACTTTCCCCACTGACAGCGATGGTGAAATTCATTAGACAGCCGGTCGAGGCCAAATGTAGCTCAACCTAAGTGACTGAGCCGCCGTTTTCCACAGCTCCTTCAGCACCTAAACCAGATCTAGATAGGTAGGTCTTAGCTAACTCGAGAGCTACGTCAGAGTTTGTGGGGAGAACAAGAATGCGGAATCTCAATTGCGATTACGGTGTTTCACTTGATGTGTTGGTTTAACAAGAAGGGAGAGTTGCAATCCATTTTGAGCTCCTCGCTTCTCTCCAGATGGAAACTCACGTACTGCAGAGGGGGCATGGCGTCAGAAAAATCATGATTGGTTCAGTAAGAGGCTGAACAAATCGTGGGGTACAGGAATGATTACCAGGGTTTTTGACAACGGTTTGCTTGGCTACAGCTCCCGATTATGTTAGTGTGGATGTGATAAATTTTGAAAGAGGGGGTCGACAAGATAACATATGCCTCACTTATGTTGTTAGCATATTATTTTTTGTGACGATATTATTAATAAGGGCACGATATCTGGTTGCAAAGACAAGATTTGTTGCAAAGTTGAAGGTGGTTATTAAACCTACCTAGACTTTGGATGACTTATCTCCTTAAGCCCCCGACTCTGCACATCCCGCACCTATATTGTCATATAATCACCAATACTTAGATTTCTTAGTGAAACTTAGGAAATTAAGTATTTAGTTTTATCTCTTAGGCTTCTGATTAGCTAGGCAACTAGAGGTGCGGGATGTGCACAGCCGGGGGCTCAAGTAGATGTTGAGGCGGTCAGCCCAGTAACAGGAACCGGGGATGTTCCAAATATTATGATTGAAGAATAGGTACCTATAATGACATGGATGTAGTCATACACCAAGGGATTAAGGCGGCTTGTACCCATTGAGTGGCCCGTTCCGAGATGAGGCGCTTGCTGCGACTCTCGAGAGATATACTCCAGAATGCTACATCAAATTTGGTTGAATTTTGAGATTATGGAGTACAATCGAAAACTTACAGTTCGGTCGATCTCAAAAGCGTCTTTCTGTTGGGAAGTCAGTCCCAATCCATGAGACCATCATTGTCAAGCTCACGGATCCGAGAACCAAGAATCGTCCCAATATGACGGTGTTGATCAACTTAGGCACTACAGGTCCATAGATGAACACAAGGTACACACCACAAGCTTGGCCTTAAATATAACAGCTATGGAAAACAATGCTTCATAGTTGACTCGGTCAGTTCTGCCAAGACTCTCAAGGCTATTGCCACCCAGGTGAAGCATTGCCTGTACATACACATGCGATCATAACTCTCGTGTTCGGAGGCACTACTTCGTGATCTCGAATGCTATTCATTTGAAGCACATCGACATATCTAAAGAACCCCGTTAAGTCACTCTTTTCTCTTATGTTTATGAGGAGAGAGACTGAAGGCTTGCATGTTGACTTTGTTTAATAGACTGAGAAGTTATGTCAACACGTAAGACTTCAATGCCACTGTATGTTTGAGAACCTAAAAGAGATGTTTGTTGTTATTCGTCTCTTTGATAGGAGAATTCTTGAATAAGAATTCTGTGCGATGAAAGCTTGGTTGCGGCCAGGACTGCATACGCTGGAAGATCAACACGGACGGCAATATACAGTTCGCAGCGATTGAATCTTGACTTGTACACTAATACATGTATACATTAGGTAGGTACCTAGAGGTAGTTACATTTTACAAGGCGTCGGGATCTACTTATAGTCCAAGAACTGTATATATTGTCTTGTACCGTTTTGTTTAAAAGGCACCCTCCGTGAACTTGCCTACCCTGGGGAGCATTGGCTTGAACTATTCTTTCATTTGCTTGCTTCCTAAACCTTACACCGCAGAATCAGTAGCCATCCCAGTTCGGCGTACAGCATGCATGTATGCTATATTTACCGATAGCAAGATATTACATACCCTATAGACTGAAGACGCATCCAAAGAGGTCGTAATTCAGACATCTAGTAGCTAGGCTTATCCGGGAGTATCCTACAACTTTTCAAGGCTGAACGATGTATGAACTCAAGCTTGACTAACGACGATACTCGATGTAGCACGGTAATAGAGACGTGTAGAAGGTTGCTGACGTAGAACTATTTTCAACCTGGCAGAATTTGGAGAGCTTGCGTGGGGCATCGTAGATAGCACCTACTAAGCATCCATGAGGCAATGTGGCCAGTAAAGGTCAAATAATACAGAATCGTAATGCATTGAACTGTAATTATAGGAGGCTAATCGGTCACGGTACGTGTATGCACATTCACAGTCATCATACGTTAGTTATCCATGCTTGTTTATGGTTCTGTGTGGTGCATCAGTAGGTTCGTGTCGTGAGTCGCGCAATGCGTTGAGCCTCGCTTGACCAGTCGTTAATAAAGCGGGACAAGCAAGACAGGGCAACAGAACTGAAGCAGTGTGTTGGTGCTGTAGTGGTGGTGATCTTTTTGGTGTGTCGCGCAGCGCAACCCAAGTGTCGACATTGAGGTCGGAATGGGCAGAAGCTGCATTCAGTCGGTTTCCCTTGGGATTTCGGATGCAACTAAGTTAGTTGAGCTGGTGCTGGGGTGATGTGAATCAAGCTCATCGGCGTTGGATGGACAATTTATTGTTAGCATCCATTGGAGTCGACAGTGGAGAACCATCCATTGGATCAGTCTGTCTGGGCAGCCATAGGTACTACTACTACTAGGCAGCTCACCTCACCTCAATGTTTCTGGCCTGGACTGCTAGCTGTTGGTGGGGTTTCTGGAAACAGGCTCTGTTTGACAAGTCACTGCGCACCACATATCTGCGCATGTGGTACTTCGGCTTTTGTATGCCCACCCAAGCTCAGTAACATCCATCCATATCCATCCCATCCAACGCACATGGGGCTGGGCCTCATCGGCCGGGGACCCAGCAGCTTTCTGGCGATCCGATTTACAGCAGCAGTAGCAGGTGCGTGCAAGTACCTTAGTAGACTTTCGTAGAGTCAAGCCCAGAGAGCTTACCTAGCAAATCTTCTCTTGGACAGGACCCGAAACCATCACCACGACACCACCATTTAGGTTATCCATACCTACCCATCTCATCTTCTAAATTTCCACTTCCTCTTCCCACTTCTCTTTTCCTCTCCTCTCCCTCTTCCTCCCTCCTCCATCTCCACAAGCCGCCTCCTCCTCCTCGCCAGGCTTCAAGTTCCTCGCCTTCCTCGCCTTGTTCTCCAACTGGGCCAGTGTTGCAGTTTTTTTGCAACTGCACCTATTCGCGGCTGAGAGCTGACAACGAGCCTTCTTCTTCCCCTTTCCCCCTCTTGTTTCGATCGATTTCCTCGTCTAGCGGCTGTTTGTTGGTTACACTTTTGACTTCACGATATACTTCCATTGATTATTTGTCTTTTTGGCTCGTTTCCGTCATTTACCGCCGGCCGGTCCTGGCTCCCATCGGCACTCCAACTACCCGTCGTTTCGTCATCTCATCGATTCCATCGCTTTCCTTCTCCGGCCTCCGCCGCCGTATGACCTGCAAACCCCGTCGCATCTCAGCTATCGAGTCTCCGAAGCCCCCTCTGTCGGTCCCTACGTCTTTTTAACTGCTGCGCAATCATGGCTTCTGCTGCCCCTCGCCGTAGAAAGCTTATCGGCCAACGTCGCCGTGTTGAGGACGAGGGTGAAGACGAGGGTGGCCTGGAGGGCCTCGACCTCGATGACGACTCAATCACCGACGGATCTTTAACCGACGACAACGATCCCGCTGACGATAGCGATACAAGCAACATTGACGAAGCCTCCCCCACGTCCCCGAATGCGAGAAGGAAGGTCAATGGCGCTACTAAGCACGCTGGCCACGGCCACAAGTCGGTGCCCGGCTCCGGCTCCGGCCAGAATGGCAAGCCTGTGACGGACACGGATATAATGCTTCATGGCTTGTCCATTGCAGATGAGGCACCTCCCGTCCAGGAGATGCACTTTGATGAAGTCGTTGCTCCATCGCCTAGCAAATCCCCCGCTGCTCCTATAGTTGTCAGCTCTGCCTCCGCTAGAGCACCTGCTGCTCCTGGGAATCGACGTCGGCAAGAGCATGAGGACTACAAGAAAAAGAGGGACGAGGATCCAGCCTTTGTCCCCAACCGAGGCGCCTTTTTCATGCATGACCACAGACACGCTGGCCCTGCAGCAAATGGCTTTCGTCCTTTTGGAAGAGGAAGAGGTAGAGGCGGCCGTGGTGGCATTGGGGGGCCGTTTGCTCCTATCAAGTAAGTCGTTATTCGCCAACTCTTTTACTTCTATATGCTAATTTTCCCAGTCAATTGCACCAACCGGGAGATCCTACGACCAATTCTCCATGGACACATGACATGCACGAAACGGTTGTAGAACCACCGCTGCCAGTACGACCCCGTCATATGACAGAGGAGGAGGGTCCTGCCAACGGAAATGGTTTCATCCCAACTTGTGATCCAAACCCCACGCCCATCAACCGGACTCTATCCACCGAGAAACACATTGGCAACGCCCAGGTTCGGGTATCCCTTCCCGATATGAAGGCTCCCGTCATTATTCCACGTCTTGCTGTAAAGCAATACACCAAACTGCCCGACCACCGACCACCTCTGCGTAGGGACAAGCCTGTCCGTATTTCGCTCCCCGACAACAATCCTCGATATATCTATCCCGCTGCTGATAGGTCCTTCATCTTCATACCCAGGGCAATGCGACCTAATCAGCAGCGTATGCGAGGAAAGCCTCGTCCTGGTTTTGGCTCTATGGGCGGTTTCTCGAGACGAACAAGTGTATTCGGTGGCAGTTATTACGGAAGCGTTTATTCGCCTAGCGTGGCTATGAGCAGACGGTCTTCTATCGTGGATCGTGATTATATGTTCTCTCCCACAGGTTCTGTCATCTCACGACCACCGATCCCGGTCGAGAATGCCCGGCCTGTTGTTCGACTGCCTCCTGCTCCTCGACCGGATATGCCTTTGAACGCAATGGCTCCTCCTATGGCTCCTCCTATGGCTCCACCAGGTCCCGGTTATGGGCCAGTCGATCCTGCTTATGCGGTCGAGAGACCCCCAGTCCCAGATGCATCGATTAACGATCTGCCTCCCCCTCAGACGTTCCCCCTCCCACAGAAACCTGCTTTCCAGGAGAACCGGCCCACATCGGCGCTGCCCATGCATCAACCCCGTCCTCAGAAGAACATATCTGTTGCCGATATCGAGTCTCCAACCTTGACACAAGGTCCTCAAGCTTATCAGCAAGCTTTTCATCAGCAAGTGCCTATTCAGATGGCCAATGGCCTATCCCAGGAGTCACATGCACGTCAGCCATCATACCCGTCCCAGCACTCTACTGGGACACCACTCTCTCAAATTCCGGAAAGAGCCATTCATGCTGCACCATTTCAGCCCAATACCTATGGCCAGCAGTCCTTTTACAATCAACAGCCTTACCAGGCGCAGCCTCAGCAAGGATACTATTACCCGCCTAACTACAATAACCCTGGTATGGGACCGGCAAGTGCAGGACCTGCTTTCGTGCCCGGCCAGTCAGGCCCTCCTGGCAGTTTCACTCCCCAGAACCAGCCAGAGCAGCCTGTTATGCCCAGCAATGGACCACCTCCACCAGGTTCCAATTTGGTAGCTCAAGAGGTGAACGGAATGGTCTACTACTACGACGCCTCCCAGTTGCCCCCTGTTAACAACTATTCTGCATACTCTGCGCCTCAGAGCTACCAGCCTAGTGTGATGGGCATGGGCGGCATGGTCACACCCAGCCCGGATGGTTTTTACTACCCCCAACAAGCATCCGGCATGGTCTACTATCCTCAGTAGAATTGGGACATGTCTGATTATACCACTTTCACTTACCCCAATGCCTTCTACTCCTATCCGATTTAATAGCTACAATTACGACTTTATACCTAAAAAAAAACACAAAAGCCCCCTACGGGCAAATAAGGGAGAAAGGGAGGATGAAAATTACCCTTTGATGTGAATCCATTCTTGGTCGGGCTACTTATGCCTTTTAGGAATGGTTTAATTTGCACTTGGATGGTTAGGTGGATGCATTCTTATCTTCTATAACTACGAACTCGACATCATTACCTGGGATGGATTAGCAGAAGGGAGTTTAGTGGACAGGAGTATCCTGACTGGTTGGTATCTTTTATCATCGGATGGAGGCGGAGTTTTCCTTGGTCAGGATTATTGGGAATGGGGTTGACGAGAAGTGGAAGCTGAAAGGACGTTGAATTGCTACGGGTTCTTATTTCTGCCTTAGCAATCCATCTATTTTATCCTCCAAAATTTCCGTATTCTGTTCTGGATAGTCGAGGGTGTTGTTCTTTCATGGCAATGGCGCTTGGTGTCTGGGGCATATATTATACCTGTTTCCGCGTACGGGTAGTCCTGATGAATCCATATAATTGTTTAACAACAGTGAAAGCCATGATATGCTGCTCTTGTGAGCATATCTGGGTATTCAAGATGAGTGACATGATCGATCGTCAAGATGTCGGTTTCGCTACTACCCGTCCGCTTCTTGGTTTCCCCAAATTTCTAGCTACTTCCTGAGTCAGCGAGAACTCCAAGTGCCTCAGACTGTTACGTTTGCTTTGCCAGCTGAAGAGCCGATGTTGACTGGGGCCAATTCGTAGATGGGACCACCAGAGAACCAGTGCCAGCCCTTTAAGCTTCCCAATAGCAACGCATGTTATTTGATAATATGTGCCCCATGAGGATTGACGAAGTGAATTAGCGTTTGGGGCATGGCGTGCGGAGATGGAGTGGAAATAACTAGACGAAACGCGGGGACAAAGATGGAGAAATGAAGTCACGAGTTAGCAATGGATGCATAGGTAGCTAGTGCAGCTTCTGTCTCGTTGCATCTTGGTAAGTGCTGTAGCTTGGCAAGCTTCTTCGAACGGGGAGGTTCCCCGGTGCTAAGTATGTACATCGCAGAAGAGATCGTTTATACGAGTCTCACGTGTTTACTGTACTGTACCCGGCCAGCAGGATATAATATGCTACCGCGTAGCTATGTAAGCTGCATGGAGCTCTCACTTAGCTTGGTCTCCGAGATCTGCGTAAGACGGCCATGGTTTGGAGAGGCGGGGGAGACAAGAGGAAATCCAATGGACCGTTCGAGGAACCCTGTGAAGACTGTTGAGAACCAAACACACATCTGATCAATCCCAAGGACAGGTCAAAGCCTTGACCAAAATCTTTGATGCACAAAGTCCTACCTAGACAAAGCTCATGTTCAATCTTGGGTGGATCAGATGCAAGTACAAGTATATACGTAGTAGCAGGGATGTTTCTCCATCACCGTATGCTCGCTTTGGCAGTACATAACCAGGCTGCCAGGTTATGCTGGCTGTTTCAAATACAGAAGAATCAAATCTGAAGAAGTTAACTCCTTCTCCAGGCATTGGCGAGGGCGACAAATACGTTAGGCGGCAGGGAGCACGCGGCCGGGAACTCTTTCTGAGACCAGATGCAGATGCACCCCCTCTGCCTAGGACAGACAGCAATGGAGGCGATAGATGTGCCACTGCACTGATAACATGTTTGGTCCAGAACCCCGGCAAACAAGACAGACTGACCGAGCTTATTTGGCCGCTGATCTCTCTTGAAGGTTTGGGTGTTTTGATTGACCCGGGTTGGTGGTTCTCTCATGGCCCTCGCATTGCGATACTGAACCAAGACAGGACAGTACGTATCTACATAGGCCGAGAGAAGACCGACTGATATCTAGACATCCAATGGCATGACCTGAATCTAAACTGTACGCGGGCACAACTTGACTTGAAAGCGGGGAGCATGGTTCAAAGTCCAGGACTCTTCTAGGTCTCCAGGGCCATCGTGGCTTTGGCCGTGACCACGACCCTGAGTCTGTGACCTTTTGGAACATCCAATAGTGCAAATGGAGGGCGGCATCGGTGAGGTGAAAGCGGCGTCGCGTTGCGTATGGGTGTTTGCCGTCATGTGGTACCTGGCCGCAGATAGCGTCTGGAGTTTCGACAGGGCGTCGGCGAGGCTCTTGTCCTATCGTAGGTCAAGTCGCAGAATTCGGCCCCTCTTCACTTCACTTTCAAGCCACGACACTCCACAGGCGAAGAAAGGTAAGATCCACTCTCCACTCTTTTCAATCCGGGGGAGTTTCAAGAGCCAAGTGGATGGTATGGAGACTAGACCTGACCTGACCTCCATGATAGAATGTTTGCTGTAGCTAGTACCTATCTAAGCACAATGCTGAGTGAGCTCCAGGCTGTTATGATGTAAATTTACTGGCAAGGGACGATATATTCTGGTGTTTCTCGGCCGATTAACGAGGCTTCATGTTGCTGTACCATTTATTGACTTCTGGGCGAAACCCTCTGAAGCGTGTCAAAGTTAGATACAGTATCCGTAGACTTGGTCGATACATTAGTCGTGCTCGGTTTGCTTCCGCCCAATAGAGACTCTATACTGGATCAAAACAGCCTGCTCCACCCCATGAGATGATCACAAGTCACAGGACACTGTAAGCAGAAGTCCTTACATCTGGGTACCCTTTTTTATGTATCAACCCATCGTTTGCCAAATCACCCATTTGCCCAGATACGTAGACTCGTGGCAGTACAGTCAGAGACAAGATAGGCAGGCAGTAGATTAATCCAACTTCTGCAGTGCTCTGTGTTGGATGAATGAATGGAACACGCTGGACTTGACCAGAAAACTCAATGCTCCAGGTACATGCCTACGGTACCACGGTACGACTCAGCTAGACCTCGTCATCATCAGTATTGCCTGCATCTTTTACCTTTTGCCCCATGGTTGCGTTTATCGCCATCCGTCCATTGACGAAGCGCATCTGTCAGTACAAGAGCTCACATCATCCTTGATAGGTGACTCTAGTCCCGCGCTAAGACTGAAAAAGTGCCCCGATCGACCGACCCCCCTCAGTACCGAAGGCAGCCCATGCCAAGCCCCAGCCCGGACCATCCCCCGGCCGTCACCTGGTGTAGGGAGATTTCACTTCACCAAGTACATCCAATTGCTACATGTTACCTCTTGGAGCTGTTCTCTTCAGTTACAGCGGATACAGCCACGCTACTTTAACTTTCGCCCGACGTTCACAGTCGAGTCTGGGCCTGGTCTTGTAGCTATCAAGTACCTCTGCTCCCTGACGTGACACGGAGTCGGCGGGATTCACAGTACAGTAACCTGAGGGACTCAGGGAACTTGCAGTGCAGCGCGTCCCAGGCTACAACCCGGTTACAGGCAGCTCAAGCCCGTGTACAGCAGAAGCTTCTATTGCATTACTACTTCTTCTACTCCCGCCTCATCCATCTTCTTTTCTTCTCCTCCATCAACTTTCTTCTCTTCCGCCATCAAAAAGTCTTCTTTCTTTCCCAACCCAATATTTCATCTTATTTCCCTGCATTAATTCCTTCCATTCGCAGAGCGTGTTATCACAGGAGAATTAACAACGGGCGACGGTCGCGCTGTCACCGCCGATTGCTTATCTCGACCGCCGATAACAGCACTCAGGTCGTCACCGCCCCAGACTCGGACTGTAGACTGCTTGTAAGACCCAGACTCCACCATCCCCAATCGTCATTCTTCCCTTTATCATCCTCGCCCATCGCGGATCGAGGCACGAATAGAGCTTGTTTTTAATCGTTTTTCTTCAAGGCAGCCGTATCAGGCCGTTGCGAAAATGGCTTCCGCAGCACACACCTCGGCCCTCGATCATAACATCACCGTAAAGGTGATGTTCGAGGGCATCACCCGCCGTACCAAGATGCCGCTTCGAGATATGATTCCAGGAACCCTCGAATCTAACGTACGTTGAGCAAACTGTTTCTATTGTTTGGGCTCGGGCTCACCATTACCCTCACGGGGCGATGATGGCTGTGTTCTTTTTGGTCAATGACTAACATGGTATCAGATCCGCAATTTTCTGCATCTATCTCCAGACGCTGATGTCGCGTTTGAGCGATACTCAGACTCTGCGGCTTCCTTTATTCTTCTCGAGCACGGGAACATCCCCATCTACAAGCAGCTTTACCGCGCCGCCAAGGCGAAGTCTAAGCTTAAGATCCGAGTCACCGTGAAGGAGCAAGCCAAGCCCACAGTACCCAAGCCCGTCACTGTCGAGGATGAGCCCGAATCTTCTGCATCGGCCGAGGCTCCTGTCAGTCTAGACGAGCCCCCTAAAGAAATTGATGATGCCGCGGGGGAGAACAGTTCGGCTCCCGCACCCGCCACCGACGCTCCTGCGCCAACTCCAGTACCAGATGTCACACTGCCCGAGACTACGCTTCCTGTTCGCATCAACCCTATCTCCCGTACTTACGATGCTGCTCTCCTTAGCGATGCAGCACGACTTTGCGGGGCATCACAAGCCAGAGGCCAGGAGCTCGAGAACCGATTTGCTAACTTGATGGATCAAACATCAATTTCACACTATGCGCCTCTAGCATTCAGTTCTGACAGTCAGCAATTCCCTTTCTGTCCACCCAGGCCTTCGCCCTTCAGAGGCCCCATCATGGGCCCTGGTGGCACCACCTTCTCCGTGGCCTGCAACAGCTGCGAGAATAACATCCCTAATATTCATTACCATTGCTCCACCTGCGATGACGGAGATTTTGATCTCTGCCCATCTTGCGTTGACCAAGGAATTACCTGCCATGGCCGCGACCACTGGTTGATTAAGCGTTCGACCGTCGACGGACAACTCGTCCAGAGTACAACTGAGACGATCGCGCCCAAGCCTAAGCCTAAACCTGAGGTCAAGGTTGAAACCGTCATTGAGACCAAGATTGAGCCCCAGGCTCAGCAATTGCCACTTCCTAAATCTGTCTTTGAGCCGATTCCCCCTCCCTTTGCACCGCTTGGCATTATGCGAACATGCAACTGCTGTATGCAAGGTACGTCGTTGAAGATTCGTTGCCAATAAAATCGAGCTAACACAGCACTAGAACACCCTGAAGCTGAGTTTCTTCACTGTAGCGTCTGTGAAGACTTTGATCTTTGCCAGGCATGCTTCGCCAAGGATACCCATGGCCACCATCCTAAGCACGGGTTTGCCCCTGCCGTAAAGGGCACTAAGATGCCTGACCGTATTCATGTCAAGATGAGCCCTGGCCGCAACCGCATGCACCACGCTATTTGTGACGGCTGTGACCAAAGCATTTTTGGTGTTCGTCATAAGTGTCTTGATTGCCCTGATTGGGACTACTGTGCCGACTGCATCAAGGCTGTTAAGCACACTCACCCTGGCCACCGATTTGCGCCTATCTACGAGCCTCTCACCGATGTTCGCTCACGCGCTCCTGCCGCTGTCCATGTTGGCATCTGCTGTGATGGGCCCCTGTGCAATGGAAGCAACGCTTATCCCAGCTACATCCGTGGCATTCGATACAAATGTGCTATCTGCAACGACTTAGATTTCTGCGCCAATTGCGAGGCCAGCCCTGGTAACACTCACAACAAGACCCATCCCTTGATTCAGTTCAAGACTCCCATCCGTGCCGTCAGTGTCACTAGCACTGGCGAGACCCCCGATGGTCAGCGCATGCCAGAAATGGGTGACCGTCAAACAACTTTTAAGGCTACTGAGACCGTGCCTGCTGTTCGCAGCAATTCCATCAACCCTGTGCGCACGATTGTTAATGTTCAGCCTTCTGAGCCTGCTCCCGCCAAGGTGACTGTCGAGACTCCTGAGCCCGAGATCAAGAAGGAAGCCCCTGTTCCAGCGCCTACCCCAGCCCCTAAGGCTGAACTGAAGGGTGTTTTCATTCGTGAGACCACTCCTGATGGTACTATCCTGCCCCCCAACCATGTTTTCGAGCAGACATGGACCCTCCGTAACGAGGGCAAGGAGAACTGGCCTGCTGGCTGCTCTGTCAGGTTTGTCAGTGGCGACTACATGGGTCATGTAGACTCTAACCATCCCGCTGGCATCTCTGAGCTTGTGTCGGCTTCTGAGTCTACAGTCTGCTATGCTCCTCTTGGGCCTGGTCAAGAATTCCCCTTCACTGTTCTACTTCGAACACCCGCTCGCCCTGGTAAGGTCATTTCTTACTGGCGCCTTACCACTCCCACCGGCGAGAAGTTCGGTCACCGACTGTGGTGCGACGTGAACGTTCGTGTTGTTAAGGAGGAACCCAAGCCTGAGATCAAGAAGGAGACTACACCGGTCGATGAGCCCCAGCAGGAAGATGAAAGCCAAGCCTCGAGCCAGATGATTTTCCCCAAGCTGGAGAAGGAGTCACCTGTGGCCAGCATTCACGAGGCCGTTGACCCTGTCCCTGTTGTTGAGCCTAAGGAGTCCGACAGCATCGATGATGAGTGGGACTGCTCTGAAGGTGGTTTCATGACGGATGAGGAGTACGACATCCTAGATGCTTCCGACGAAGAGTATCTCATGGAGCAAAAGAAGAAACTTGACACCAAGTAGGCGCGAATTTGACTTTTTTTTTATTGGGAAGGATACGGGGTTAACGGTTAACGGTTAACGGATCTGATATTTTTGTTTTTGGTCAACTATGTGTCGAGTTCCCCTCTTTACACTATGTATTATTTCTTCTTTCTTCTGTCTGTCCGTCATCAGCGACGACAAGATCTACAAAACCAAACCATACAACAACTCAGCTGTCATAGCCAGTTATTTACGGATCTTCGATTCGAAATTGGTCCGTAGGGGCCCACGCTCTTTTTGTAGCAAGGACTAGTCAATAAGGAAGGAAACAATGGAACTTGATTTTTTGAGTACTGTATATTTATGCTGGTCGTGAAGTGTGCGTGTGCGTATGGTTGTTGGATCATTTGTGAAGTACATGTAAGGCGTGCATGCGCAGTCACAACGTTCGCAGTCTCAGGCTTGAGGCCCAACGCTGATACGCCATCAGCTTCGAGAACAAGTGAAGCGGTTTCACCGGAATGAGTAAACCAGACGACGACAATAGCTACTTTTAGTATGTCACGCATCGGAGGAAGTGTTCATTTGCATACCAGACATTCATCATCCTTCATCATCCTTCATCATGGTCGGGCTTAATTCACGGTCCCTTTGTACCTGCAAAGAAATCCATGATGTAGACCAGTCACGGGGCGTGCATGCCGCCGACCTCCACTGAGATGCAGCATATGATGTCTTGTTCTGGTCAAAGTGGAAGTGGAAATGGTTGCAACCGGTTTTTTGGTGCCTGAGAATCTATGGTGAGGGACCTTGTGGCCTGGCAAAGACGGGACCTACCACCTTTACAAGTAGCATCGTTCCTTCCATATGGTAGTCCACCTCCTTAGTACCCTACGTACTGTGAACAGTTAAGGAAGTTGGGTGGGTCCACAATTATTTTTTGAAAGAGGGTCAGCAGCAGCTCATTAGCAGTCGCCCCCCCAGCTCAAAGCACGGTCAAAACATCCGTCGCCCTCTCGTACAACTCTTCTCATATTTTCGTGACGGTTTCCCAGGGCGACCCCGGGCTTATTAACCTATGCGACTGCGCTGCCATCAACGCCGCATCGCTTATCGACAAGAACAGCTTTTCTAGCTGCATCTGGATTGTTTCTCATCAATTTTCACATCTGTCCTTTGTTTATATTCCCTTTTCTTGTCCCAGGTCACGTCACCTGCCTGTCCTCGCGCACGTCGTCGAGTTTTAAATTAAATAAAAAAAACGCGACCTTCTGGCCTTGGCCTCCCATCGTGGTTCATCATCACACCCACCCTCTACAGACTTTTCCGTCTACCTCCTTTCATCCACCATCGCGCAAGATGGTTACATTTTCTATCCCCGGCGACAATGAGCTCGCTGAGGCTGGCAAAAGCACGCCTCGTCCTCGTCCTGCGCTACCTTTTGCCAAGCGCGGCTACGTCTCAACGCCGTTAAGAAACAGTCGTCTTGGAGTTCCTCAGAGTGCGCCGTCGCGAAGGTCCTTGGTGCCTCGCGACGACCAGCCTGCAAGCAGTCTCAACCGATCAATCTCCACTGCCCGCAATATCTTCCGGGCCTCTACAACATCCGACAGTCCTTCCGTCACTCCTTTTTCTCCAAGCATTCCTCAAAGCACCCCAAAGAAGGTGTTCGCTCCCGGCGCTACCCCCGAGCCGAACCGTGTCATTCGAGAGTCGACCGCACAGGCTACCCCTCGGGGCATGGCAGCCAAGACTACTTCCAAAGATCTTTTCCATATGCGTATAGAGGATCCCGATCCTGAGTTGTCCGGAGAGGTTCTTACGAGGAAGATTCCCCAAGACTGGAACAACAAGGGCTCTATCTACGCCGACCAATTCCTCTCGCATCTCTGCCCTCCCGAGTTTGACGATGAGCAGCGACGGCAATTCTTCTGTATCCTCGATCTTCGACGACTCAAATACGCAGCCAACGAGATCTTCTCCAACAAGGATTGGAAGCTTAATGTCATCAACTTTGCAAAGGAGTTTGAGAAGAGCAGGAGCATCATTCTTTTGCGATATGGCCTCTACGAATTTCAAAATGTCAAGCCCTCAAAGGATGTTCTCAAGAGATGGCGTCGTGAGCATGGTCTTCCTGAGCCAGAGGATGAGAACGACGAGCCCACTCCTACCAAGGTCACTGCACCCAAGAAGCGCAAGGCGGATGAAGAGATGACCAAGGACACCGAGATGAACGGCGTTTCTAACAATAACAAGCGACGCGCTCCCGAGCCTGAAGAGAATGTCCAGGAGCAACAAGCGCCGGCGCCAACTCCTGTCCCTGTTCCTGCATCTACCCTGGGCAAGAATAAGCGACGGTCGTCGGTCAGTGATGAAGGCGATAGCCAACCATCCAAGATGCAAAAGGGAACTGCATCTGCTGCCAAGTCACTTTTTGAGAAGATTGCCAACAAATCATCTACGACCCCTGTCGGCTCTCCCTTAAAGCCTTCAACTAAGTTTGCCGACGACAACGCTGCTGCCAAGCCAAACCCCTTTGCTTTCAACAAAACCAATGGCTCCAGTAGCTCTCTTGCTCGCAGCATTTTCCAGAACCCTAAGCCTACCAGCGCTGCTGGTGCTTCTGGTGGCAACATCTTTGGTTACCTTTCTGATGCAAGCTCAGCCAAGAATAGCGGTGTTGATGCTGATGCCGAGAGCGAGGCTGACTCCGACGCTGAGGATGATAGCCAGGGTGACGAGCCAAGCGCAGCAGCTAGCGGCGCCGACACGGCTTCTCAGGCTGGCAATGGTCTGTTTGGCCAAAAGACTATTCCTGCGAGTGGCCTGGCTGCTGGGTCTAGTGCTCCTGGTACTAGGGAAAGCACTCCTGGTCGAAGTCTGTTTGACCGCGTTACAAAGGATACCGACGGACAGCCCATCCGTGCTGACGATAAGGTTGAGGCAGCAGCTGAGAAGCCTGCCACGAAGCCTGTCGACCAAACCTGGAACCCTAGCACTACTCCCATCAAGTTTGCTCCATCTGCCCCTGCCTCTACAGGCCAGGCTGGTTCTCTCTTTGGAAAGGCTACTACAGCGCCAACAAGCTCTTTGTTTGCCAACAAGCCCACCACTACATCTAACCTGTTCGGTGCCGCCAAGCCTGCCGAGAAGGCATCAACGCCCTCATCGGACCAAGCCGACAAGACTGGAGGCGATGAATCCGACAAGGAGAATGATGAAGCTCCCAAGAAGTCCATGTTTGAGTCCAAGACACCTGCTGCCCAGCCGAGCTTTGGGTCCCTTTTCTCCAAGCCTGCTACTGAGCCTGCTAAGACGTCGGAGCCGGCTAAGCCTGTCACCAACCTGTTTGGAGCTAAGCCAGACGAGAAAGCAACAACTGCGCCCACTACCAATATCTTTGGTGCTGTAAGCAAGCCTGCTGCGTCCAGCGGGCCTGCAATGCAATCATCAACGTTGTTTGGAGCCAAGCCCTCTGGGGATGAAAAGCCAGCTACTACCGAAGCGCCCAAGACATCGCTGTTCGGTGCCCCTAGTACCTCAGCGACAAGCGGCGAGTCGACGACTACCACCTCCTTGTTTGGTGCAAAGCCCACAAGCACCACCAGCAATCTGTTTGGAAATGCTTCAACACCTACTGCTGCGCCTTTGTTCGGTGCTCCTAGCTCTGGCGATGCAACCGCGGCCAAGAAGGATGCTCCTGCAGCAGACAAGCCCGCAGCAGCCCCTATCTTCAGTTTTGGAGCGGCCTCCAATGGTGCTGATAAGCTTAACGGTGCTGCAAAGCCTCTGTTTGGTGCGCCCCAATCTCCTAAGCCTTCTGGAGCAGCCGGGCTTGATGGTAGTCCCATGAAGCAGGATGAGCCGTCGCCGGCTAAGAGAGCGTTCAACATTAACGGAGGAACTGCATCCGGCGCGTCCGCACCCATCTTCAGCTTCGGCGCTTCAACCACCCCTGCTGCTCCCCCTTCATTTGGTGGTGGTGCTTCAGGCACTTCCACACCTTTGTTTGGCGGTGCTTCTACGACTCCTGCTGCTAACAACGCAGGCGCGTCTTTCGACTCAAACTCCTCTGCATCCGGAAGTTTCGGATTCCAGTTTGGAGGTAACTCGGCTTCTTCTTCGTTCAATAACCCCTTCTCGTCTGGTAACAATGGAGGCGACTCGGGTGCTGCCCCATCATCTGGAGGCATGTTCAACTTTGGAGCATCTGCGGCCCCCTCCGGAGGTTCCTCGCCTTTCCAATTTGGCGGTGGCAGCAACAACACAGCCGCACCAGCCTTTGGAGCAAACAATACTCCCGCTTTCGGAGGCGCATCTGGATCTTCTGGGGCACCAGGATTCAGCTTCACCGGAGCCTCACCAGCACAAAACTCGACACCGACATTTGGATCCAATCAGTCTGCTCCGGCCTTTGGCAACAGCAACCTTCAACCGCCTGCTGGTGGTTCTACCACTGGGACCAGTAAGTCTCCTTTTCCACATCGGAAAATCGCCCCACTAAAGCGACGGGTGTAGACACACCGTTCAGTCTTGGGGGAGGCTCTAGCCTGGCGACTACACCAGCTGCCGGGACCCCGGAACCATCCACCCAGGCCGGAGGAACCGCCGGAGGCGATGAAGAAGGCGAGAAGCACGAGCAGGTTAACTTGGCCGAGAACCTGGAGCAGGATGAAGATGTTATGCACGATGTACGAGCAAAGGTGTTGAAGTTTGTGCCGGCCAGCGAGAAGTCGGACGACAAGAAGCCCAAGTCTCAGAGTCCATGGTCTACACAGGGTGTGGGCGCTCTTCGATTGCTCAAGCATAAGGAGACTAATGTTGTACGTCTTCTGTTGCGAGCAGAGCCTCGTGGACATATCGCCATGAACCGAGCTGTTTTGGCCGATATGTCATACACGGCCGACAAGAAGTATGTCAAAATGACTACATCGAATGAGAAGGGAGATGGACTTGAGACATGGATGATTCAGGTTAAGACCGCGGATATGGCTAAGGAGCTTGCAGAGGCATTGGAGAAAAACAAGGTCCATAATAAGAAGTAATGCGGATGGGAACTTGGGGGCAGTATATTAGAAGCATACCATAATGTGCTTGTGTAGAAAGGTAAGGTTCAAGGAGCAGCATTGCCGGCGTTGTTAAGCATTCGAGGTTTATACTTTTTTTTTCCCGCCGGGTGGGTTCATCTTTTAGAACATCGTGGGAGGAGCTCAAGCAGGCAAAGATTGACTTGACCATTATATGGAATACAATAAAAGTTGCTTTTTGGCACAATGATTTTGAAAACTATTTGCTGGGCACTTGGAACTTTTCCTGCGATGCGATAGGACTGATCCTCACCTGGGAACACTCGACATTTCAGGTTTGAGTAAATGCGTAAGAATCTAAACTGTTATAATACAACAGGCGACACTATGTGAGTCGGCTCAAACTCTTACTCGGTAGCCAGACAATGTAAAGAAGTTATACAGCACCTAGATAAACTTGGTCGCTACCTGCCCATACCTATATTCATACTCATACTGGTACCTACTACCTAATCCCCCAATCCAGTAACTGAGGTACCGTTGAGTGCGGGCAGGTGCAACTGGTATATTTACCTTTGTACCCAGGTAGAAACCCTGTCTCTTTCCATCTTCAAACACTGCTTCGCAATGTCAGGAGAAGCTTGCACCTGCAGGCTGAAGATGGGAGGCTCATGTGTAACGCAAACGCGGGGGCGGGGGCCAGTAAAGCCGGGAAGCTCAGGGCAGCTAAGGTGCGGCACGCGTCGCGTCAGCTCCCCAAGACGGTGCATGAACAAAAAAAGATTCGGCCCTAAAACAACAACTTCTCAGTCGCTGATCGGCCCTTGACAATATGCCCAGGTAATTTAATCTTCTCTACAGGAAACAGATTCAATTCGGAAGCTTATTTGCAATCTACAGGGAAATTATCACGATCCAAGCCGGACAGTGCGGCAACAGCAGTCAGTTCTATCTCCCCCGCTACCGTCCCTGTAAACCACACACCGCATGTATCTACGTCTGCGGTGTGCCCATGGCCTTCCTTTCTGGCTCTCTACTCAATCCGATATACATACAAACATTGGCCGTGGCTGACTCTCCTCCCACCTATAGTTGGAAGCCAGTTCTGGCAGCAACTTTGCCAGGAACATGGTATTAGCCAAGACGGAAACCTCGAAGACTTTGCGACCGAGGGCGGCGATCGAAAAGATGTGTTCTACTACCAGAGTGACGATACACGATATATTCCTCGAGCAATCCTGATAGATCTGGAACCTAGGGTGCGCCTCTCTAAACAGTGAGAAGGCGGTCGAATGCTAAGCAGCTTTTGCAGGTCATCAACGGTATCCAGACAGGGCCTTACAGAAATATTTACAACCCCGAGAACTTCTACGTTGGTAAAGATGGTGTCGGTGCTGCCAACAACTGGGGCGATGGTTACCAGAGTGGCGAGGCGGTGTATGAGGACATCATGGAGATGATTGACCGGGAGGCTGATGGTAGTGACTCTCTCGAGGTGAGCTATTTCTGATTTGTGTGGAAATCGTTTACTGACTCTAAGTGTGCCAGGGCTTCATGATGCTTCACTCAATTGCCGGCGGAACAGGTTCGGGTCTTGGTTCATTCCTTCTTGAGAGGCTCAATGACCGATTCCCTAAAAAGATCATACAGACATACTCAGTCTTCCCGGACACGACAAATGCAGGCGATGTCGTCGTGCATCCTTATAACAGTATCCTTTCTATGCGAAGATTGGTTCAAAATGCCGATTCAGTCGTCGTTCTAGATAACGGTGCTCTGTCACATATTGCTGCTGACAGGCTACATGTTCAGGAGCCATCTTTTCAACAAACAAATCAACTGGTGAGTCGTCGTGGTATTATCCGGGTTCTCGAGTATCAGATGCAAGAGAAGACGAATTTCTATTTGTTTAGACGATGGGGCATAACTGACAACTATCAGGTCGCCACTGTCATGTCAGCCAGTACAACAACTCTACGATATCCCGGTTACATGCACAACGATCTTGTCAGCATTCTAGCATCTCTGATCCCAACTCCTAGATGCCATTTCCTTATGACTGCCTACACGCCATTTACTGGTGATCAGGTCGAGCAAGCCAAGACGGTCCGCAAAACGACAGTGCTTGATGTGATGCGACGGCTGCTCCAGCCTAAGAACCGCATGGTGTCAACAGTTCCTGGCAAGAAGAGTTGTTACATCTCCATTCTCAATGTCATTCAGGGTGAGGTTGATCCAACGGATGTTCACAAGAGTCTGCTTCGTATTCGAGAACGACGTCTGGCTACGTTTATCCCTTGGGGACCTGCAAGTATCCAAGTCGCTTTGACGAAGAGAAGTCCATACATCCCCATGAGTCACCGTGTAAGCGGTCTTATGCTTGCCAACCACACGAGCATCGCAACGGTATGCAATGGCTTCCCTTGTAGTACACTACATTCTGTGCACATACTAACACATTCACGTGCAGCTTTTCAAGAGAATTCTAAGACAATACGACGGTATGCGCAAGCGCAACGCTTTCATGGAAGGATACAAGAAGACAGCACCCTTCTCCGAGAATCTCAACGAGTTCGACGAGGCACGGCAAGTGGTAGCAGACTTGATTGGCGAATACGAAGCTGCTGAAGATGCGGATTATCTCAACCCAGATGCAGGGGAGAAGCCAACGTCTGCGGAGACAGATCGACGAGTAGCGTGAGGGACTACAGAAGCGTAACGGTGAAAGGTCGGAGACCACGTCTGAGATAGCGGGGTTGAGACGTCACGACGGGTTGGATGTTGATATTGCTTGTGAGCGCATTGGAGGCGTTTTGGGCGCCGGGCTCGGTTTTGGTTCGGCTGTACATGTATGTATGTACCTGGCTGGCTGGTCTTTATGAGATCTACCCTAGTACTGTAGAAAGCACGTTCTTTTTTTGTGACCGAGACCCCATTGAATGCTTGATTGCCTTGGTCAGAGTCGATATGTCGATAGTCGCGTGCTCCCCGCCTCGAGTCAGCCTCAACCAAGGCACTGACTTGGTACCTGGCGATAGCCTTGGTCGAAACCCTTGTAGGACTCCTCTTTACTGTGAAACGGGTCGATCCGCGATCTGATTTAGTGTGATCCGAGTAAGAATTGTGGTACAGAATCTGTCAGAAACATCGTGGAACGTGAGAGATGATGGTTGTTGTGGGGAATAGCCCGGACCTTTACGTACGGGTGAGGTTGTTGTGACGTCAGTGAGTCACTGACGTCACGTTAGTAAAGAGCCATCGTGATGTCAATTTCGGTGTTTGTTTGGAGGGGAAGAAGTGTGAATTATGGAGAAAAGGTTTGCTGTCTGGGCGCCGAGAAGAGATATTAAAAGGCCTTTGGGAAGCAGTCAGTCTTCATTCATCATCATCATCATCACCAACTTCATCAACTTTCAAACAACATCATCATAAGACTTCTACACAACCACAACTACAACCTCCAAACCAGTAAGCTATCCAAGATTCTACTTCATCACGGTCAAATTTCTAACCTATCATCCAGAAAACCAATCAAGATGACTCAATCCAAGGACCAGAAGATCGCCGAGACCCAGGCCAACCTTCCTCTTCCTGACCAGCCCCCCACTGCCTCTGACTGGCAGTCTGCTGATGCCCGTAACGTCAACGTCGGTTCCGGCAAGGTGGAAGGCCCTATCGGCACCGATGCCGCCGCTCAGTCTGGTCTCCGTGAGCCCGCTACCAAGGGCGAGGAGGTCGACCTGAGCAACGTCGGCCGTGAGGGCGTTGAGAAGAACCAGCAATAAATATGCTGCTTGTAACAATATTGAAAGGAATGGCACGGAAAGGAAGGAGAGCGAGACTCGAGGAGGTTAATGATACCTACGTACGATCAATGAAATGAACTACGAGCATTGAATGCTTCGCTATTTTGATGCAATATAACTGCCCCTACTGCTCTGGTGATTTGTTCCCTCTTTGTCTGATTATGCCCGACCCTCCAACGGCATTCTGATCCTGTCGCTGAAGGATTACCTGGAATCTTTACGAATTTTGCTGGTTGGACTACTGCAGCATTGACCTAGACAAATAAATGACTGTTGGACGGAAGCATGTGGTTGCCCAAGCGATCCTCCCACAAAGCATATACTATTGTTAGGCAGGCATTGCGATATCTACACAGGAGGATACTCGAGACACGACACAACCCAATCGGCTTGTTTATTGGCATTCTGCTTCACCGACCCAGCTACAGTGGCCTACCTGGATATTGCAATCGTTGCCCGGGATATATCAGGAGTTAAGCGAGGGTGTAGGCAGCAACCAAACTTCCATGGACTTCTTGATGAATCACTGACATGCTTCCACCTCTGCTCTTTGGTCGACCTACAACGCCAGGGCACTTTCACTCCTCTGTGATTGATCGGTGAGGCAGTGTCATAAGCGATTGGTTTACCCTGGTCAACGACCTTTATCCCAGTATCTGTTTGCATGTGCTCAGGAACCTTCACGGGCAGTGTTCTGAATCGTAAGCAAATGGTAATCAGCCCTATTGGCTCGCTCCCTATCCTTGTTCATTTATCCTTCCGGGGCTCTGCTGCTTACAACCTGGTAACCACATCCTTCGCAGGGTAATTCCAACTATACACCGAATCGCAATCCATTACTTATACTGGCAGAGGCTTACCTAACCGACTCGTCGTCGGCTCTTCTTACGTTTCATCGACCAGATTAGGATTGCTGCAGCATAATGTGATGGGTGGTTGGGTTATCTCGTTTTCCATACAATATAGATGAAACAAACTTCTGGGGTACTGCAGCCAAGGATTAAATGATAAACCAAGTACGTAGATGAACGACACTGGCGGTATTCATCCGCTCCGGGCCAACATAGTTACCCTATATCTTGGCTTCCTGAGCTCGCAAAACTCAACCAACTGACCTGTTACATGGAATTCAGAGACAAACATATATTAAGGAAACAAGAGTCTGGTGACACTCAGCCATGTCTGTTCATTTCTCTATCTAAGGGTTTAGACCAGCAAACAACCAAACTCGATCATATGATCATATCATGTTGAGAAATGGGGGAACCAGCATATCCAACCATCGAGTTGCGCGGTACCGAATCAATCTTACATTTGGCACGACGCAGGCCCCAGAAATCTCTCCCTACAAGATCAGAAGTACAGACGGGAATGTCACTCTCATCTCTATCCTGCAGAGTACATACAGCAGAGTAACATCGTTAGACAACAGATTTGACAATCGCGATTCAATAAGTGGAGCTAGACTAAAATGAGGAAACGATACCTGGACTGTGCCATCGAGATGTGATATAATATGACATGACATGATATGATATGATATGATACTCCTGTACCACCAACAGATGTGCAGAATTTTCAGCTTTACAGACCACTATGTTCCGTTTCGCTCGAGAGGTAGGAAATACCGATACTATAACTGTATCACGACTAGCATTGCAAAACACCATAGCAAAGGAGCGCTCGAGCGCGCGTTAAGGCTTGGCAGCTAGTAAAACTATTAGTCAAGCCAGTTCCAAGATATAAAAACTCAAAGGGGAAGGCATTCCACAGCCCCACGGCCGGATTCTACAGCCTGACTTGGCAGTTGATACTCAATTTGAAATAGAAATTCACCGTCGGTTTGTGTTTGACTCGACTTATCTCACAGTCAAGATGCATCTGCATGATTGCAGGGCGAACGAGGTATGGCACCTACTCAGCTCGCAAACCATTACCAATTTAGTATGGTGCTGCCCCATAGAGCGGCTGGCGTTCGCCCTAACATCAGCTTCAAGCTATTGGACCCAATACGCTTTGATAGCCTCGATGCTGCACAAGCAATAGGGGCGTGTTTTGATTCTCACGGAGCAGAGTCAGGAATTTAGGAATTCCTCCCGATATGACTGCTGAATCAGAGGACCCTGGATCGGTTACGGAGCCGCTGTCTCATATTCCCACATCATCTCTTCTGGGTCTGGCTAAGGAGCCTTCTAGCGCTGTGACTGACTCCATTTCCTGGAGCAAGGTCGGCGGTGAGCAAACACCAAAGGCAACCCCAGCCCTTGTCCGCAAGCCAGCTGATGGGGATTCGAGATGGCGCATGAGTCTTTGGCATTGGTCTAACTCGCTATTGAGCCAACCACGGGAGCCCAGGCCTGATGATCGACACAACTACCCGAGAAAAAGGGATTTCAGGGTCCTGGGGGCTTGATCTTATCGACGCCATGATCAGTGCCATACCCCAGCTTACGAGCCGGATCGTCAATAGCTCCGGGCGATTTGTGTTGAGCAGAGTAATGTTTTGCTAGACGGACCCATCAACGGCTCTTGCAATGGGCGGAAAGCGAACCGGCGAAAGATCGAGTTGCATGAAGTAGGTATTCTGCTCGTGGCCACATTCTGCCATGAACACTCGCGACGCAAACTTCAGTTTCGCACCCTCAAGCGAGATCCATCATGGCCTCGATACCATCACCTTGAAGGTCCATAAAGACACCATGCTATCTCCACAGGGGCCGTATGTCGCAGCCTGGTAGACGGCAGTAGTCTGTATCTCCATATCGGTCAATAATGACCAACTCAGGGTCCAATATGGCCCGTGATCTTGATCATTGAATGCGTTGTCGGGCAAAACCGAGGACCCCTAATAAGGCCCGCCTTGAGCTTTTTGACCTTCTACCTGAAGCTCCATGATCCATTGACGCACTACAAGGTTAAACACCGTTAGGGCGGTCGCCCTCGAAGCTGAAGGGTTGACGATGCAACTAATCTTTTTGATCACCTCGTGTGAATGTAGTCGTTAGCAGTCTTCACAAAAAGTTAGCAGCGGGAAAAGGGGACCATGTGTTTTTCCCATGCGGACAAGAAGAAGAAACAAGTCACCACTGCACCACGATCAACTGACATAACCCAACTAAAGCGCAGCTAGAACAACTCTCAATATGCAAGTTATTGGAGGGCTTGTTGCAGGGGTTAGAAGTGTTGTAATAAAGGATGAGAAAGAAACATCTTCTGGAATATTGATTTTGTGGAGACTCCAATGCATTGCGCTCTGACGCTTGCTTGACTTGACTCGTGGCCATGTTCAACATCTCCAGTTGATTTGTGAATGGAAATGACTTGTGCAGGTTGCCTGCGCATGGACATGCAACACTTCGTCCTCAGGTTTCAGCTATGCAACGGTAGTTGTCTTGTTGATGTAACGAGACTGTTCTGATTCCAGCGCGGAGCCGGACGTTAAAGAGTCTGTTATAGGCATCGTGAATGGAATAGCTGCAAATCTGAAGGAACTGCTCACGGAAGAGCTCAAATCCCTATATGAACGATTGAGTCGCGCTTTGCATCAGAAGCAGACCTAGTAAAGCGCCAGTTTCCGGGGTCGTGGCACCCCGCCACGATGCCGGGGGATGCGATACGATACGATGCGATGAGATGCGATACGATGAGATGCGATCTGGTGCGATACAACGATATGATTCAGGGCAATACACGTTCCAAGCCATTTCATTCGACCGACAGAAATCCCGAGAGAAGAGAGCTTTCGCAGGTTCCGTACCGAACTTCATCACTCAGCCACGTCGAACGACTTTCCGTGCCCAGGCTTGCGTAGTTGAAATCGATAGTTGTTCACTATTAGCATGACTGGTCATCCGCCTAGAAGACTAAGATGTTATCGGGTCACAAACGAGCAAGCTATCCGTCATATCGTATGATGAATCACGCCAGTTTAGATCAAAGAAGGGGCAAACAAGCCTCTAACAAACCCTAAAGGGCGAGCCATTGGTCGGTCTGGTTAAGCTTGTCTTCTTAGCCAAAGCTAGTAAGGCTGAGACGACAAGTCGGTGCCAAAAGAAGAATACGAAATACTTCATCTCGCACCGAAACTTCCGCGAGAGCGGTCATCGACTAGATCAGTAGGCTAGTATTAGCTTAAGAACATTCCACCGCGCTAACAATGCTATTGAGTTCTGGTGCGGAACAGAGTCCGAAGCCATCGACGCCAAACTCCACGTCAATGCAGAGCCGCCAAAAGGTCCATGCGACGACTACGTACATAGTACGTCTTCAGTGGCGTCCCTAAGAACTCGGTTAGAGGTTAACTGCCAGATCTATTGGGGATCTCATTAAGCCCTAGGTTGCTAGATGAGAGTTGCAGTTACCTGTTTTCTTCTCTCCCTATATTGCCATTAGTCGCCTGAAAACGTGTCGTCAACCTGTCGATAACAGTGGGTGCCTTTATGTGGTAGGTTATGGTATAAACGTTCTGCTGTCAGCCTTGTCGCAAACGTGCTTGGCTTGGAGGCTGATATACAAATTATCGACATTCTCAATCGGTACAGTATTGGCTTGTGATTGAGATTAGCTGCAACATCCACAAGTAACCAACAATGACATTCTGCCAAATGAGGCCGCATGGCAATGCCAAGGCATTAAAAGACAACCGCGCGGATTGAAGAAATGGTTATCCGGTGTGGTGTGGCTTGCAGTTGGTATTTCACGCCTTTTGGCAGTGCAGTACGTACAACAAGGCACGCTCAGTAGACACAGGGATCTCAGGCTTTCAGCCTTTTCACCAATCCGAAGAGGCGGACTGTCTGGCCGATCCTTGTCAAGGCTGTCAACATTCAAGCTTGCTACCGACCCAACACGACCAATAACTTACCAGTCATTGATGTTTCGCGGCAGTAAACAACTATGGCTTAGGCACGTTAAAATGCCAGACCTTGGTTGTATTTATGGCTATGTTTGGCTCTCATTTTGCCTATGGTTGAGTACGA